CGAGAGCCCCACACCCCCCCCCTTGCACCACCCTAACTATTTGCTTGCATTAAAACCATACATGAACATGCCGGTCTGCTGGTCTAGTCCGAGTGTTACTAGCCTGCTTTAAAACACGAATTTTAGTCCTGGGAAAACATGATCATTTTTTACTTTTTACTTATACTTTCACTTGCGTCACAAATTTTACGCTTCTTAGTAACTTTTGCAATTCGTTCTTTTTCCTCTTGTGTTTCTGAGGCGTTGCTGAAAGTAAAGCTTCATTTGCATGCTAATTGGTAAACTTGAATGATGTTCACCCGATATTATTGCATTATTCTTCAGTTGGTAGTTATTGTTAGTAAAATGCTTAGGGTATTTCACCAGTCTGCATAAATCGAAAGTTACATAGCATGCATTTTTTCAACTGCTAGTGCAATACTAGTATTTTTGTATGTTCATTTACGCGGATTGAAATTGCTGGAGAAATGCGGGTTGGCTGAAGGGCCGCGACGCGTGGCCTTGTCTGCCGTGACCTGCGCATGAGGGAACAACCGCACGCGCTGGGTCACGAGTTAGACACGGCACTCAGAAAAATCAATTAATTGGCGAATATTTTGGTCATAAAGTAACTTGGATGATAAGGTTGAAAATGAAGCTGTACACTCAACAAAATTAAAGAGCCAACTTGTTCAAATAGTGATACTTTCTGCAGGTAGCACTGATACGCCGCCTTTTTGGACGACCTAAAAAAGATTTAACGATGCATCGCCATTTGGACAAAGCCTAATTTATTCCTCTGAGTGTGTCAGGCTCATTCGCGTGGGGCAAGCGAGCCATTTTGATATTTGTATGATTTCAGACTCGCATTTACATGGCTTTTGTGTTTGGAAAGTAGTTGCCAACGTTTATAATGATGTACTATATTTACGGTACAAATATAGATGTTACCTTTTTATGCATAAATTTAGAAAGTTTATTCATTGTAATGATTGTGTATAAAATTCCGGGATTGTGGTTCCACTATTAAGTAAACATCGTAGACTTGATTTGAATAATGCTATGCGTGTATAATATTTTGGAGATTTTAATACACATTGAGATTATTATCAGTGTATGCACAGAAATTTTTAAAATAATAATACAACCAAGTTCAACTACAACCAAGTTCATCTACAACCAAGTTCAACTACAACCAAGTTCATCTACAACCAAGTTCAACTACAACCAAGTTCAACTACAACCAAGTTCATCTACAACCAAGTTCAACTACAACCAAGTTCATCTCGNTCGAGCAGACTTCCCGCAAATCACCCATTTTCCCCTAATATAACCCTGTCTCTTATACACATCTTTCATTTTTAGTTTAGTCGAACTGATGATGGAGCTGGACTCCGAAACGTTTTCAATATCGATATGGTGAATTTTCTTGGCGTTTTCTTTGCTTTTAAATTCCTTCAAGCTTTGTCTAACGATGCCTTCTTTGAAAAAAAAAATCCTTTTGTGCGTAAATTTCTTTGTACGAACCCTGTTGTTGTGGCGCTAAACGAAGAATTCCAGTCTTTCTTATTATCTTTACTGTGTTTTTTTTCGTACTTGAAAATTGTTCTCGCTCTCCATTCTTCGACTCGTCGGAAGGTTGTGAAGACAGGGACCCATGGTTGCCATAGACGACATACGTCCTCGCTCCTAAATACTGAATAGAATTAATTCATCTGCCTGTCTGAATACGAACTGCATTTGAACTTGTCTCGTTTATCAACGCTTGAGAAGGAACAAAATTTAGACTTAATTTCTTTTATTACCCAAAATATAATATAGTTTGCCAGGTTTGATTATTAATTATCTCATGTTGGTCTGTCACCAACGTTGGCAACTAACCGACTATCGTGCTGATTTCTTTCAGAGTTTGTACGATTTGTTGTGTGTTTTGAACCCTCGATTTGCTGCTTGATGATCTTAACCAATCTGCCACCTCGAAAAATCCATATGGCTATTTAAATATAACTCGCGAAAAAATTATTTCTATAGCCAGTTATCACGCTAACATACTAAGTCATCGTTTAAATCTACCAGCCGTTGAAATCTCAAGTATAAAATGTAACATTTTAACCAACTCATATTCATCATAATGTGATGCCTGAAATACGTTGTTGAACTCAAAGCATAGCGATATCATGTAATCAATTGAATTTTCCGAATCTATTTATTTACGCATATAGCAAGCACAATTATAGTGAGGATACTGAGCAGCATCCGTGACACCTGCATTATATATCTGTGCTTCTGTCAGCGGTCCTTTGAAACCTTGAAATAAGACACTAACTTTCGCTGGCCTCTGAGCCTCCAATAATTCAACGTTCTTTATTAACATAACATAGTGATGTCGGCGCTGAAGTGTAGGCCTGATGTGGCCTGTCGCCGATTCTTTTCCTTTTCGTGCCTTGTTCATAGATCTAAACTTGTGTCATTTGACCGGATCTTTTCATGACTGGCGATAGTTTGAAGTAGCTACTAGACTTTCACCGGGTTCGATAAGGAGCTAGGCATTTCAAATCTGAACATATATTTTTCCATAGCTTTATCTAGTCTGTTCTTGAACGCGTTCCTACTTGGAGCGCCAACGATGTCATCGGGGAGGCTATTCCACATGTCGGTGATTCGAAGCGAGAAGAAATTTTGTCGCGTGGAGAAGTTGCAGCGCAATTTTTTTAGCTTATAGCCGTGGCCCCTGATGTTGGTTCTTGTTTCAAATTCTAGTAACCCTTTAGGGACCTTGTATAGACCATGAGTATACTTGTATACTTCAATGAGGTCCCCACGCAGACGTCGATAACTGAGGCTTGGAAGCTTCATAATCTTCAATCTTTCTTCATAGGACTTGCCCTTCAAGCCTGGAATTATCCTTGTTGCACGTCTTTGAACATTCTCTATTAAATTTCTGTCCTTTTCAAATCTCGGTGACCACACAACGTTTCCAAACTCTAGACTCGGGCGGACGACGGCAACAAACAACTGCTTCATCGCTTCTGCATCTAGGAACTCGTACGAGCGTCTGATTAGTCCAAGAAGTTTGTTGGATGTGTTAGCTTGCGTTTCAACATGCTTAGAAAATTTCAGGTCCTTGTCGACATAAACTCCGAGATCTTTTTCCACACTAGACTTTTCAATCATTACTCTCTCGTTGCAACCATGTCTTCTCATACTGTAATCTTGCTGTTCATTGTTATTCCCGAGGTGAAGTACTTTACACTTGTCAGCGTTAAACCGCAGCTGCCACGTATCAGCCCAGTTAACTAAGCTGTCAAGATCATCTTGCAATTGCGCTTTATTTGACGCATTCTTCACTGTATTATAAACTTTTGTGTCGTCGGCATACATGGAGCACACGCTGGACACTATACTTCTGGCAGATCATTTATAAAAGCAACGAACAAAATAGGCCCCAGGACGCTTCCTTGTGGCACGCCACTGCGCACTGATGCCCAGTCTGACACGGTTCCGTTAATACTGACACGTTGTCGTCTACCTACTAGAAAATCTCTGATCCATTGGAGTACGTTTCCCTCAATCCCCAAGGACTTCACTTTACGCAACAGCCGCTCATGCGGAACACTGTCAAATGCTTTGGCAAAATCGAGGTACAATGCATCCACTGGCTCCCTTTCGTCCAGCAGGCGAGTCCATCGTTCAACGTAGATAATAAGTTAGTGGTGCAGGATCTGCCGGCAATAAAACCATGTTGACAATCTGATATGAGATGGTGAGCAGTCAAGTGAGCGATAATCCTATCCCTCACAACAGATTCCATTAGCTTAAAAACAACACTTGTCAGACTGACAGGGCGATAGTTGCCGGGGCTGCTTTTGTCACCTTTTTTGAACAATGGTGTTACTTGAGCTTCTTTCCAGTCGGACGGCAAAGTTCCTTCGTTCAAGGTTTTTTGAAAGAATACTGAAAGAATTTGACGCTTTGAAAGAATTAAACGCTTATGCTGATTTTGGTGCTAGCGCATCAATGAATAATATTGAACGTTATACACGAAACGCTCTTGCTAATTTTGGTGCTAACGCCTCAATGAGTGTTACTAAACGCTGTCGACTAAACGCTCATGCTATCTTTGGTGCTAACGCCTTCATTAATGAGTGCTACTAAACGTCGCTGACTAAACGGTCATGCTATGTATGCAGCGTAGGCTTAATTATAGTTTTCACTAGATTTGCGCGAGGAGGGCTCCTGACGCCGGTGTGTACCGATGACAATTAATTCCTATACTAGGCAAGTCCAAACAATAATTGAACAACGGAACGCTGGTGTCGGTGGATGAAAGTCATGCCAGCAGCGCCGGATGAAATGGAAAGTCTGGCCGCTCCGCGCGTCACATTCCGTGTAGCGCCCGCGGCGACACGAAGCGATCATGCGACGCCAGGGCACCGAGCTCTCATCTGCGTGCTAAGCTGCTTAGAAAATTTGCTAAGCATTGCTGAATGCAATGCTAGATCTATACAACTGAAGGCAAATGTACAAAACTCCATGTGCAAAATTTAAGGATTCTAACCGCAAATAACTCAAGTTTCATTCTTATAACTATGGCTAATTATAACCATGACTGATGTAATAAACTTAAATTACCGTACAATGTCTCGAGCAGACTTCCCGCAAATCACCCATTTTCCCCTAATATAACCCATGGCTGAACTAATAAACATATAACTATGAAACCAAACTGTTGGACAGGGTGGTCCAGTGGCTACAGCTGAGTGATAAGATTGAGCAGGGAGGCGCGGGTTCTATCCCAGGGGCGACAGTTTCTGGTCAGAATCGGCAAGGAGGCCGGGCGGTTAGGCACAGCAAAATTAGAGCAGTGTTTTGCGTGTTCGAGACCGGAAAAAGCTGCAAATGTTCTGCAATGTTAAGTTTCGGCGACGGCCAAATAAACGCGTAAACCGCTATTTATTATAGATATATTATTATATTATCATCATTATTATTATGAACAATTTCCATAACAGACTACCCAGAAGCGGGTGCCAGGATGTCGTACTCTGGTCTCAGTGAACACATCGACTTCGATGCGCTGCCAGACCCCAACACGCGCTTCGAGCTGCTCGAGGTGGTGGGCGAGGGCACCTATGGCGAGGTCTTCGCAGCCAAGGATCATGACGATGGTGAGAACTCTTCCTTTATAATTATATCTATTCTTTTTTCATTACTTTGTGCAAAATTGTAATATAGTTAAAATCGTGTGTGCAAATTTCGTTTACTCTTCCGATGACTTCAAGATCAGTTTGTGCCCGTGGAAAAAAGAACATCTCAAAAGAATCTCTCACTATGTGATTTAAATTATGGTAGGTTATGAATAATTTCATACAATCGCATTTTTATTCAAGGTAGTAAAGCAAATATAACTTTGAGGAAATTTATTTAATGTAGTAGTCTAAAAATTGACTTTAAGCTTGAAATGATGTTGAATTCTGGAGCCGGGACGGTTTCAATTGCGCCAAAAGGTAAAGCCAAGAATTAATGAATTGCTGGTCCGCGTCAAGTTAAGCGGCAACAGGTAAGTCGCGGCTGCTGCTCCGCCACCAGCTACGCACCAAATTTGCGGTTCACACTGTGAAAATTGAGTTACTTTGAATATAAAGATCATAGAAAACAATGTAAAAAGCATAAAGTAACTTAGAGCAGTAAATTTATACGAGGTTTAGGTAAACTAAACAATCACCTGAGATTAAATGCCACTCAGTGTGCAAATAAACGCACTTTTTGGAAGAATTGAATTGGGTGAAAAAATAAGAAATCAGTTGAAGGTGGATGCTTCAGACGGAATTAAAGTAGGAATAGTTGAAGATTGGTGCGTTGAAGTAAGAATTAAGGTAATAAAGCGATTCGGCGTGAACTCTAAAAATAGAGCTCTAGTAGAAGCCTCATCTACTTGAAGTTGAATTATTGAAGTTGAATTTGAACAAATTAAACAATTGAAGTCTGAAGCAGCGCGCACGTTAATTAAGCATAGATTTGAGCAAACTGAACAAAACGAAAGAATATCGGGCACTCAAACCAAGGAATAGATAAATCAAAGACCGAGGAAGAAATTTAGACTTATGGTTGAATGCAGGTGAAGTAGCGGCGGCAGACAACAGGCAGGCTGGAGATAACGAAATTTGGTGTGGCAACCACGGTGTATTAGTGCGAACTCTTTTTCTTTGCGGAAAACCGGGTCTGACCTAAATTACCCTAACATTAAACTTACCCAAGACTAATTTTAATATTACCCTAACATCAATTATAACTAAATTCAGTTTAAAGAATAGTAATTTGATTCACGGTGGGAAATTTCCCACAAGGTTTAATAAACAAGCACTGAAAAGATCTGAAATTAACATAAATGGCATACAGATAATAAAATATTTAATGCATTGGCTCAGGCGAGATCGTGGCGGTGAAGATCCTGGAGAACATCGCGGAGAACTTGGAGGAGATCGAGGAGGAGTATCTGGTGCTGCGAGACCTGAGCCTCCACCCCAACCTGCCTGCCTTTAAGGGCATCTTCCTGAAGAGGGGAGACCGAGGGGAGGACGACCAGGCCTGGGTCGTCCTTGAGGTGAGGGTCCAGGAACTCCACTCCCAGCAGGATGAGGTGAGGGTTGTCCTTGAGGTGAGGGTTGTCCTTGAGGTGAGGGAAAATCGTAAGCGCCTTGACCAAGTGACAGTTGGTCGTAAGCGTTGTTTCTATATATCAGGCATGAGCTCTAAAGCTCTTACCTTAAGCATATTTATCAATGTTTTACAGTAATCTCTGACGTTTTACGCAGTAATATATAACTTTCACTCCAATTAAGTAATTAAATAAATCTTTTCTCAATACAAATCAAATTTGCCACAGTTGTGTCCCCGCGGGTCCGTGACAGACGTGGTGCAGGCGCTGCTGCGGCGCGGCCAGCGTCTCACTGAGAAGCAGATCGCGTACATCTTGCGCGAGACTGTACATGTGAGTACAGCTGTGTACGAGACTGTACATGTGAGTACAGCTGTGTACGAGACTGTACATGTGAGTACAGCTGTGTACGAGAATACACTGTCTTGCGGTGATTTCAGTTGCTTCAATTTAATTCTGTTAATGTATACTCTGGTCCATTACATTTTATCCTTCATTTTTACTTCATTTTTGTATACGGTTTTACAAGCGCTTCTGCGATTCGTTTGCTAACATCGTGAGATTGATTCCTATTGAGTATAATATGTAAGATATAATTGGAATATTATATAATATGGTTTGAAAATTATGTAATATAATTATAATATCATATAAAGTAATTAAAATCCTGGATAATATAATTTTACACATGGTAATTTTATATAATTTAACATAAGTTGGGGCAAAATTTATATGGAAGTAATGTTAAAAAACTTTGGTGTTGGTTAGTTCTGAAGGCACTGAAGCCAAAACAATGCCTCAAAACTAACTATATTTATTGTTTTATGTGTATAAAGTTAATTTTTACTTACTTTTAGCGACTATCCTTGAAACTCTGTCAATAAATAAATTAATATAAAATACAGTACCATAAGTAACTCTTTGAAGATAGTTTTTATTTAATAAGATGTCTACATTTGAAACAATTAATAATATAATCAAAGATTAGTTGGCCCATGTCAAGACTCAGAGAATTTCGTGGGATTTTGTTCATATATCGATGCACTTTTTGCCATGCGTGGGTCATCCTACAGATCCATTTTGGCTGGGCAAAAGAGCCTATCAGTGCTACGTCTTATCTCTGTTCATGCTGTGAGTGTGTCACTATATAGATAATATGAGCCATTAATTGTTGCATGAGAGATTTGTATTAATGTCTGCGGCTATATAACTGTACTATCAGAGAAACGAGTTAGACTTGTCCAAGTTGCGACGCAATTTTTACCGCTGCTTGTGTCACCTTAACCAGGAATTTAAAAGCAAAGAAAATACCACAAAAATTCACCATATCTTTATAAGAGAAAACGTTTCGGAGTCCAGCTCCATCGTCAGTTCATAACACACAAAATTCTGTTCAGAAAAAATTCAGTCCTAGAAACACAAATAAATCAATTAGTAAAGTAAAATGCACAGTCAGGTTTCAAAACGAAAATAAATAAATAAGACATGAAATTGCCCCTAGTAAACGGTCTATCTATTTACTATTTCAAGAGGAAAGGAGCTAAAAGCGGCATTAAGACTAGGCTTCTGTTTCAATATATACAGGGATTCTAAAATTCGTAGATCACTAACACCGGATGCGGAAGCTAGAATTTCGAAATCACTACCCGATACAGAGGTGTTGCACTGCTCGGCATGAACACGTACAGCAGAATGAGGTGGATGTGCAAGTAGGTTCCCTGTTCTATAACTCCTGCCCTTATGCTCAGCCAGCCTAGTATAGAAATTGCGTGCCGTCATACCGACGTACGCTGATGCGCACTGCGCACAACTATATCTGTAAACTAGTGACGATCGCATAAGAACAAGTAGGGTATCCGTATATCTGAAAAAAGAGCCGATTCTAAAATTGTTAACCAGCAACACATGAAGATTGACATCCGGAAGATATTTAGCAAATAAAACTTATAATTCCTTTGACATAGTCTCAGATGCGGGTCCAAAGTAGGGAAAAGTTGTTAACTGTTCTTTTCCAGCATCTGAGCATCTCTTATAAAGATATGGTGAATTTTTGTTGTATTTTCTTTGCTTTGAAATTCCTGGTTAACTTGCGATTCAAGCGAACAAGTGATTTTAATACTTGCGTCATCTTGAAACAGTTTGGCCCAGCTAGAGGACGTTTCAGTGATTCTTGCCAAAAGTGTTTCACTATTAGCACAACATGAACTGTTCATTTGTCTGCCTCCACGCTTTATGCAGGTGTTGCCAAAAATGCGTCACTATTAGCACATCATGACCAACTTATGGTTCTAACCACGCAGGCAATAACGTACCTGCACGAGAACCACTGCATGCACCGCGACATCAAGGGCCACAATATCCTGCTCACTGCGCACGGTCACGTCAAGCTCGTCGACTTCGGCGTGAGCTCGCACCTGGACAGCACCTGGGGGCGCCGCAACACCTCCGTGGGCACCCCCTACTGGATGGCGCCTGAGGTAACCTTTATTACAATAAAAATACAAATAATAATAGTAGATAACGTTAAAACAACGTTATATAACGGTAAAACAACGGTATATAACGTTAAAACAACGTTATATGACGTTAAAACAACGTTATATAACGTTAAAACAACGTTGAATAACATTCGATTCGAGTTAACGTTAAAACAACTTTCGGTTCGAGTTTATTTTGTTGAGTTAATGTTAAAGTCATGATGAGTGACGAGTGACGACTATGATGGTGATGACTATGATGGCGATGACGTGCAGGTGATAGCGTGCGAGCAGCAGCTGGACTACAGCTACGACGTGCGCTGTGACGTGTGGTCCCTCGGCATCACCGCCATCGAGCTCGCTGATGGGGAGCCGCCGCTGAGTGACATACATCCGATGAGGGCGCTGTTCCAGGTGAAGCATGTTGCCTCATGTTCATGTCATGTACATGATGATACATCCGATGAGGGCTCTGTTCCAGGTGATGCATGTTGCCTCATGTTCATGTCATGTACATGATGATACATCCGATGAGGGCTCTGTTCCAGGTGATGCATGTTGCCTCATGTTCATGTCATGTACATGATGATACATCCGATGAGGGCTCTGTTCCAGGTGATGCATGTTGCCTCATGTTCATGTCATGTACATGATGATACATCCTATGACTGAGGCTATGAGGACGTTCTTCCCGGTGCCGCATGTTCATGCCATATTCATGTCTGTCTCATGTTCATGTCTGCCAAAACCCACTTTGATGTTGTGCGCGCTACTATATTCGTTTCATGTACGTGCTGACATTGAGTTTGTAAACACATTCCACACTCAAAGAAATGCGTGAGACTTTGTCCGTATCAGTGCTACACCAGCTCTCTACTCGTGCTGTGGATATGAAAGTGTGTCACTATTTGGACAACGTGGCCATTTGTTTTTGAGTGTAATTAATGTAATGTCAATAAACGTATTGACGAGAGTCTTGTCTTGCATTAAATAAACAAGTTTTGCCGCCCAGATACCCCGCAACCCGCCCCCGACGCTGGCCAAGTCCACGGACTGGTCGCCTCACTTCGTGGACTTCGTGGCCGAGTGTCTGGTGAAGGACTTCGAGCAGCGGCCCTCCAGCCGCGAGCTACTCATGCACCCCTTCCTCAAGTCCATCCCCAGCAACCCCGAAGATGTGCGTTACTTTCAATATAAATAAAAATAACATTATTAAATACAATACGAATTTTCCCTACATTAAATATAAATACTAATAATATTATTAAATATAATACAAATTATTTTCTGATTTAACTAACTTATTAATAATTCAAAACACCATGCATCCCTTCTTCAAGTCCAACCCCAGCAACTCCGAAGACGTGCGTTACTTTCTTTACATTAAATTAAATACTAATAACATTATTAAATACAGTACGAATAATTTTCTGATTTTACTAACTTATTAATATTCAAAAGCTCATGCACCCCTCCCTATAGTTCATCCCCAGCAACCCTGAGGAAGTTGGCTGCTTTCCTTACATTACTCGGAATTTTGGACATTTTTGACAAAATGATTCAATAAAAATGGTTCACTAACTGGGTTCACTAACACAATACTGTGAATAATATAATGCAAAAATAGAAACTAATCACAGTTAACGACTAGAGTGAAGCACAACTGCTGAAGGGGCCTCGGCATTTCAGTAGATAAAGATTTTCACGTTTATCGATTGAGGTGAAAGCAAGAGCTCGGGTGATTCAACGGTAAATATAATCCAAATTATTGCATTATCTGTAATCAAAATCATTTTGATATTTTTAAGGTACTATGGGCTTATCCAGTCCCACCTTATCTCTAGTGGTCCTTATCAAGAAGCACTACGGATTACTCTTACTTGTCATTGTAACTGAAAAATTCAACATGATATCGAACTGGAAATGATTGTCGCAATTATTGATAAACTATCATTTAAGAACAAAATGAATGAAATGAATAGAGTGCACAAACTGGAAATGATTGTCACGATTATTGATAATCTAACATTTAAAAACCAAATGAATGAAATGAATAGAGTGCACAAACTGGAAATGATTGTCACGATTATTGATAATCTAACATTTAAAAACCAAATGAATGAAATGAATAGAGTGCACAAACTGGAAATGATTGTCACGATTATTGATATTCTAATATTTAAGAACAAAATGAATGAAATGAATGAGTGTAAGCTTTTCATTCACATGCAGGTGCGGCAGGAGCTGGTGCAGCTTTCAGACGACCTGCGCAAGCGCAACCAGCTCGTGAAGAAAGACCCGGAGACGACCATCAAGGGCGGGGCCATCAAGGCGGACCGCCGCACCAAGAGGACGCCCCTGTGGATGGATGACCTCGCCTCCCTGGAGAAACTCACCCCGGTGAGTGTGATGGGGATGTGAGGCAGGTGAGTGTGATGGGGATGTGAGGCAGGTGAGTGTGGTGGGGATATGAGGCAGGTGAGTGTGGTGGGGATGTGAGGCAGGTGAGTGTGATGGGGATGTGAGGCAGGTGAGTGTGATGGGGATGTGAGGCAGGTGAGTGTGATGGGGATGTGAGGCAAGTTGTTTGGTCTAGCCTGTGTTATGACTGTATCGGATTCTGCCTCAATCTGACGTTGAAATAACGCTGATTTAAACGTCCTTTCAACAAAATCAAGTCATGATCAACGCTTTTTAACGTCATCGAAGTAATACTGCCTTTCTGTGGTAAATTGTCAATTAAAATTAATTGGATAATTATATGCGGTGATAATTTTCGTACGTGATTCCGGCGGTATACTAAATAGATTACTAAATCTAGGCCGTCCCGAAGCAATCGTTTCCGCCAGATTAAGGATTTACATTAATACCTCGTTTTAAGTACCGCGTTTTAAAGAGACCGATTAATTTTCCGTTTCGTCAACTTGAGGCTTTATGCCGTACTAATTGTAATTGTACTTATTGTATTTCTGAGCTAATTGTATGGTATTGTCGGTAACAGGACAGCATCGTGGAGCACATCCAGAGGCGCTACGGCAACGACATCATCTACACGTACATGGGAGACATCCTGATAGCTGTTAACCCATTCAAGTACATGCCCATCTATGGTGAACGTGTGAGTACAATATAGTGCATGCCATCTATGGTGAACGTGTGAGTACATTACAGTGCATGCCCATCTATGGTGAACGTGTGAGTACATTATAGTGCATGCCCATCTATGGTGAACGCGTGAGTACAATATAGTGCATGCCATCTATGGTGAACGTGTGAGACCACAGGAATCTCGCCTGCACCGCGGGATGATGACCTGCAGTTAGAACATTAACATCGGTCCAGAAATATGACGTTGAAATAACGTTTAATCAACGTTATATCAACGTCAAATGCCTGGTGGAAAGTTGAACTCTGAATGTGAATTTAAGACAAAAATAATGAAATGCCACCAGAAACCTCGCCTTGACCGCTGCTTGGTGAAGAGGCATATCCATGTGTAAATAAGACTTATATGCTGTATTACGAATGTGAATTCAAGACATGAATAATGAAAAGTCCCAGGAATCTCGGCTGCACCGCGGCATGGTGACCAGTCTGTGTAAATAATACTCATATGATGATCTCTGAATGTAAATTTAGGAAATAAATATTAAAATGTCGCAGGAATCACGCCTGTACCGCGGTATGGTGAAGAGCGAGAACCCGCCCCACATCTACGCGATGGCAGACGCTGCGTACCACGCGCTGCTGCACCACAAGACGAGTCAGTGCATCGTCATCTCCGGCGAGTCCGGCGCCGGCAAGACCGAGAGCGCCAACTTGCTGCTCAAGCAGCTCGTTACGCTCGGCAAAGTGCGTTGTACAAGTTATTTGCGTCTGATTACTTAAGATTGAATAAACTTGCTCTTTTAGTAACTCGTATTTATTAGCAACTCGGTGCTGCAATTCACACATATTATGAAATCATACCATGTACTATGATATGGTACTATTATGCATGCCAATTCATAATACGTGTTATGTATTATGACTTCATAGTAATTCATACATAGTATGATACCATAGATATATGTATATATAGACATACGCACTGCATTTCATATATCAAATAACGCTGCATCAGCAGCTCGCTGTTGCAATAAAGAACAATAATCTTGCTACTTCAGCAACTTGTTACGTTCGGGAGAGTTCGTTGTTGAAGTACTATGCACGAGATTGCTTGCGATTAAATTAAGAAATACAAAAATATAATGAAATAATACCAAAGTATTGTTCCATGATGTGCCTGTAGACTAATGTGAACAGCAATGATTGTTAGGTCAGTTTGGTTAGAAATTATTTCATTTATACTATGAACTGTCGAATTTTTGGTTTCATTTTTGTATTGGGAACTTAATTATTATCGAGACTCACAAAAAGAGATTTAATTCTTATTAATATTTGATTACGTGCAGGCGCCGAACCGCAACTTGGAGGAGAAGATTTTACAAGTGAACCCAATAATGGAGGCGTTCGGTAATGCCAAGACCGGCATCAACGACAACTCCTCCCGGTAGGCCTTGTGGGGCCCTGTTGGGTGATGTAGTGTGGGGCCCTGTTGGGTGATGTAGTGTGGGGCCCTGTTGGGTGATGTAGTGTGGGGGCCTGTTGGGTGATGTAGTGTGGGGCCCTGTTGGGTGATGTAGTATGGGGCCCTGTTGGGTGATGTAGTGTGGGCCCTGTTGGGTGATGTAGTGTGGGGTTCTACTGGGTGATGTAGTGTGATTGCCTGTGTGTTGATGTGTTTTGGTGATGTTGTGGTGCACGCACAGGCTGCTGGTGTGGTGATGAGTTGGTCTTGCTGTCTGTGCGGTTGTTTAGTGTGTTCATCTCATGCTTGGTGTTGCGTGTCTGGTTGTACAACGAGGCGGTGAATGTTGACTCTATAAATTAAGCGAATTTACGGTTGTTGCACGTAGATTTATAACGTTTTAATATCGGATTCCCATAGTGGTATGAATGTCTCAAAGTTCCGCACGGCCGTTATTTCCGACCTCGCCGGCCGACGGCCGTAGGTGACAGTACCGTGGGGTCCTTAGGGTCCTTTTTTAGGGTCCTTAAATAGGCAGGCGTCGCGCACACATAAACCTATCATGGGACGTCACCAGTTTCGAGTTCCACCCCAACTTTGCTGTCAAGTCACATCCTGCCTATAATTACTTATCATCGCTCGGGCCTTCTACACAACTTTACGTAAGCTATGTTTAATATTAAAATATAAACTTGAGTCCGAATTACCTATGCTTTATTAATGTGGTACCAGGTTCGGAAAGTACCTGGACCTGACCTACACGAGGCTAGGGAAGGTGACAGGGGCGCGGGTGTCGGTGTACCTCCTAGAGCAGAGCCGCGTCGTGCACCAGGCCGCGTAAGTCTATAATATAATTTTTAAGTGAATTACTTACTTCAATTCCACTTATTGCAAGTTTCTTCAAAATTATTACATTTTTTGAGTTCATCAATTATTTCATTTATATTCATAGCGTCATTTTCTCTTTGGGAAATGATTAGTTATCTGCATTTCATAAGTATATAATTCATTAATAATAATAATACGTTAATATAATACATTAAATTTAATATAAGTGCAGAAGAAAAGACAAAGTCTCTAATTCAGTGCATGCAGGATAGTTTATAATTTATATGATGCAGTACATGTAATATAGAAGCAACTTGGAATGCCTGTTAATAATAATGATGGTGGTTCTTGGGCTGTCGGCACAGAGGTGAGCAGAATTTCCACATCTTCTACTACCTGCATGACGGCCTGGAGTACGTGGACCGCCTCCGCGTGTACAGCCTCGATGCGGGACGCCGGGACAAGCACCGCTACCTAGCAGGGGACAGCTGGTCCCGGCAGACTGCCAAGGTAACCATGCTGGGACCCGCAGATGGCACAATGAGTAGCTATACCAGCCTTTGGGGCACACAGCTGGCATGATGATGTTGTTCCGAGTTGTCGCCGAGAAAATTGCTTTAAAGCTGGCCAGCTGCATCCGTAAATGCTTTGAAGCTTGGGCCTCGATTCTTTTTAACAATTCCTTACAAAAACCCTCCCTGATCATTGGATTATATTGTGTTGCATATAATACGAGTGCCAAATATTGATTTACTGCCATCTTATGCCGCAGAACAACGTGCGCCAGTTCCAAAAAGTGGTCGAAGGCTTTAAGTCGCTGGGCTTCAATGACGACGAACTGGACTCAATCTACAGGATATTGGCGGCCATCATCAACTTGGGGGACGTGGACTTCTACCAAACTGTCGACAAGGACAACATGGAGCAGGCAACTGTCAACAACGTCGACCAGGTCATCGTAGGTGAGTGCGGCAACCGGCAACAATGTCGACCAGGTTATCGTAGGTGAAGGCAGAAGGTGGTGGTGCACATGAATGTACCTATATCGACACCATATCTCCACTTTGTCGTCAACATGTCATTTACGACGCAATATATCTTGACATTATTTTCCTATCTGATACCAGCGCATAGTATAAGAAATAGTTATTTGATAGAGTAAATACTCGTAAATCTTGAACATTGGATATCGATTGCTTATTTTGAACGTTTGTTTGTTTGTCAGTATCCGAGTTACTGGGTGTGGACGCCACGGAGCTGACGGAGGCTCTGACGTCGAACTCTGTGGTGACGCGTGGCGAGATCATCACGCGATACAACACCGTGGACGAGGCCATCTGCACCAGAGACGCCATGGCTAAGGCTATGTACGGGCGACTCTTTGACTGGATCGTCAACAATGTCAACCGCCTGCTCTCCTTCTGCCGCACTGTCTGGTGCGTACCATGTCTGCTTCTCCTCAGGCATATAGCGTTGAAAATACGTTGAATAAGCATCGTATCAATACAATCAATTTTAATCAACGTTGTTTTAACGTTATTTGCATTTGAAAATTTCACTAGATTTAGCAGTAAAACCTACGACCAATAAAATCCCAGGAAGTTTCCTCTGCTCTCTTTGTTGACTGGAACAATCGTACTATTTATCAGAACGATCATGTGGAAAAGCAATATTCCTAGTGTTCAGATCGACAAGCTTCATATATTTTCGCCTCCTATGTTAGTATTGCCTTTAATAAACACTATTTTCTAAGTTTTCGCTTATATGTATATATTTTAGCAGTAGAAAGACCTTGCTGAAGTTTCATTAAATTCTCTCCTTTTATAGCTCGGACCAACTGGCCGTGGGTTTGCTCGACATTTTCGGCTTCGAGAACTTCGAGAAGAACTCCTTCGAGCAGCTGTGCATCAATATCGCTAACGAGCAGCTGCAGTACTTCTTCAACCAGCACATCTTCACGTGGGAGCAACAGGAGTACATGGCCGAGGGCATACAGGTATGGTTAGGTTAGGGTAGGTTAGGTTATAATAATAATAGCGGTTTCAGCGTTTATTAGGCCGTAGGCCTGTCGCCGATTCTTAGCATCGCAGAACATTCACAGCTTGATGTGGTCTCGAACACACAACTCACTGCTCTCATTCTGCTGTGCTTAACCGCCCGGCCTCCTTGCTGATTTTTACCAGAAACTGGCGCACAGAGCTGGGATCGAACCCGCGCCTCTCTGCTCCAATCTTGGTACTCTAAACTTTAACCACTGGGCCTCCCTTAGGTTATGGTTAGGTTGTGATAGGTTAGGATTGATTAGGTTAAGTTGGAGCAGCAGGAGCACATCGCTGAGGACATGTAAGGCTTTGCGACCAGTCTTTGTTTTCAGATTGATTTACCACGTAAGAATCATGCTTATTTTGAGTATGTAATTTTGATATCAAACTAAGTTCCATCTAGATCCAACTTGCCACTGCGGTTTACTGATTAACTTCCTTGATATCTATTTTCATCTGTCCCACTACGACGCCCCTATATCATCATCTGCCCCCACTGTGACGCCTCCATGCATATTATCATTTGCCCCCACTTATAGCTCACATAACCCACCCAGGTTGACACAATCGAATTCGCGGACAACCGCCCCGTGCTGGACATGTTCCTGGCCAAGCCGCTGGGTCTGCTGGCGCTGCTGGACGAGGAGAGTCGCTTCCCGCAAGCCTGCAACTCTTCCCTCACTGGTAACTCTTGCTTTCTTTTCTTTGACTTGATAATTGGGATTAAAATAATATTTATTGTAATATTATTTGTACAGCAAACAGGAACAACTCGATTACCGTCGACACTTCTATTCTATTCTATTCTATTCTATTCTATTCTATTCAAGAAGATTGTTAAACATATAACATTTATTATCATCATAGAACAGCTCATTGGAACAGCCATAGAAGGAACGACCCTCACTGGTCACTTTTGCTTTATTATTTTCTTTGACTTAATCATCGGTAAACGTAGAATATTTATTTTAATCTTAGCTCATATAGGAAAAGCCTGATTATCATAGAAGTAACGTCACTTTTATTTATCACGCTCTGACAGAGAAGTTCCATAGCAACATCCGCTCCAAGTTCTACATTCGGCCGAAGAGCACCGCGCCCGAGTTCACCATCCAGCACTTCGCCGGCAAAGTCACCTACGAGGTTAAGAACTTCCTCGACAAGAACAAGAACTTCCTCCCTACTGAGGTCATCCACTTGCTGCGTCAGAGCTCCCATGAGGTCATCCGGTCAGTGCGGGGCGCTAACTTTTTCTCCAAAGATCCTCATAAATAATTAAACCTTAGCAGTTTGGAATAATTTAAGTACATTTTTTATGTACCTTTTCATACATCATGTAGTTATTCAGTTATTTATTTAGTTGGTTGTCCATAATTTTCATCACCATGGGGTTTTCCCATAATGTAAGTACGTCCGTTGTATATTTTATTGAAGCATCATGAAGTTTTGTATCGATTTAAGTACGTGCGTGCATTATAATTTCACACATAACAGAGTAACATATCGCCAGAGAGAGTATTATAACAGAGTATTGTGAAGCACAGTATTGTATCACTATTTGACAAGGTCTCACTTATTTCTCCGAGTGCGGAGTTGCTGGAGAGCGGAGTTGTTGTAAATGCCCATCCTGGTAGTGGCGACTAGGGAGGGGGGCGGAGTTGTAGCCGTTGAAGGCGAGGCTTCAGCATGAATTTGGTATGGTGTCGCAGAACAAACTTGGGGCACGTGTTACCTGAGATGATAATAATATTAAAGTTAAAGTATGTCCGTGTTCTGCTGCAGGTTTCTCTTCCAATGTCCGCTGACAAAGACAGGCAACCTTTACTACGCGTCCCCCCGGGGCTCGCCACCCGCTTCCTACAACTCCTCCCTCTCCAACTCCAGCAACAAGGTGATGCTTCTCCGTGTTTGGTTCTGGTAGTTACACCCAGAAAAAGGAATGAAAATTTATTGACATAGCGCTGTACTTTTTGCCCTTGTGAAGGTCCAATACAGATCTAGTTTGAAATTGTGAAATTCCCTTAATTTGAAATTGTAAGTAATTGTATCACTATTTGGACAGTATTGCCCATGTACAGTACTTTCTGAGTCCTAGTTGCTAGAGCGCACATTTATATGAGTCCAATGATGCAAAGGCGCTATTATAATTATATCGCTAGGTGGTACAATTTAATTCAAGATACATATGAACTGAGTGTATTTAATGCCTTTTTTATTATACCGGATATTGGATGCATCTAATGAATTATTTTCTTTTCATATTTGAGATTTGTGTGATGTTTGATGACATATTTTCTATTTTGTTGTTGTTAGTTTGACAGCCGCGGGCTGGCGTCGCAGACGAAGGCGCAGCAGACGGTAGGCACTTACTTCAGGTACTCCCTCATGGACCTCCTCCAGAAGATGGTTAATGGAAGTCCTCACTTCGTGCGCTGCATCAAACCCAACGACCAGAAGGCCAAGAACTCCTTTGACCGAGACAAGGTAAGTCTTCGATGTATTCTTTGACTTGGAGAAATTAAGCTAACGTTATTTCGATGCTCTCATTGAATTCATTCATTGAGAATTCATTATACTGGGATTAATTGTATTGAATCTATCACTTATCGATTCTTCCTGACTATTTATCATCTGTGCGATTTTTTACAACTGTCAACGATCTGGAAATTTTAGGAAACCTGAAGTTTCATCGAAGTTTCATTGAAGTCTCCGTCGTGTAACAAAGATTTTATCCAGCATCCCTCATAAGTTGACTAACATTTTGTCCATGAAATAAACTGTCATCAGATCAAAAATTGATCTGAACACTGGAACAATGTATGTCGAAAATTGATCTGAACACTGGAATAATGTATGTATCAAATTGTCCGAATGGTAACCCCTTTTTCTGCACGCAGCACTGATACTCGCTCTTGCGGGGGCCAAACTTGACCATCCAACCAAGGGCAAGAGTCAATTGCTATCTGGACAAAGTATCACATATTTCTATTATCAACAAAAAGTGCGTCGCTATTACGACAATAGTTTCACTTATTTCTCTGAGAAAAGGCTTGTGTTTGGCCTGTCTAACCCCGCGTGTCACTCTCGTCTCAGGTGGAGCAGCAGCTGCGCTACGCAGGCGTCATGGAGACCGTGCGTATCCGGCAGCACGGCTACAGCCACAGGATTCTCTTCGCAGACTTCCTCAGGAGGTGAAGGATTGCTTTATTCGTACAAAACTGGAACAGTTTTTTCTATCTTTTATTTTTATCTTAACTTTATCGAAAGATCACTCACATCAACTCGAAGAACTCTGAAACGATTCAATTTTCAATTGAATTGAATTAAATTAAATTTTATCGATTTTTTAATTTTTGCTAATTCATTCATATAATTTTGAAGCAATGTTATTACTGCCGACCATAACTGGTGGATTATTATTGGATGCTTCGTATAATTTACCGAGATTTGGTTCTTTAACGTGATAATTTATGCTTGATATCATTTGATGAAATATCAGAACAACTAATCATGAAAACAATTTTCGACGCTGGCCGTACTAATTCTATACATTTTTACTACAGTCTTATTCACTAATCCTATAGTCTTCTATATTCTTCTTTACGTTTTTTACAGTTTCGTCAGTCTTATTCACTTTTCCCACAGTCTTATTCACTATTCCCACAGTCTTATTCACTTTCCCCACAGTCTTATTTACTTTTCTCACAGTCTTTACACTTTTCCCACAGTCTTATTCACTTTTTCAACAGTCTCATTCACTTTTCCCACAGTCTTATTCACTTTTCCCACAGTCTTATTCACTTTTCTTGCAGTCTTATTTACTTTTCCCAGTCTTTTGAATTTTACCCAAAGTTTTTTACATTTTCATCACAGTATTATCTATTTTCTTCATTTTCTCCTTGACTTTGATGCCCCCCGGTCAGGTATTGCTTCCTTGCGTTCAACTACGACGAGCGGGTGCTGGCGACGCGGGACAACTGTCGCCTCCTGCTGGTGCGCCTCAAGATGGACGGCTGGGCGCTGGGCAAGACTAAGGTCTTCCTCAAGTATTACCACGTCGAGTTCCTCACCAAGATCTACGAGAAGGAGGTACTCAACTTTTATTCTGAAAATTTTTTTCGAAGACTTTCGTCTCAATTTTTCTGATGTTGAAAATAGAAAAAAGTTTAAAAGATAGAAGTTAGATCAAAACTTCGTCTGATTCAAATCTTTTGGGCGCTTTTTCTAAGTTTTTAATTGTCTGCACTTGAACAGCGAAGGAAATGTAAGAAATAAACTTAATTGGGTAAAGATTTTAGCTCTGTTAGAATTTTTCACTACTTCGTTCTTAGCAGGTCGGCTGTACTTAGAATAAGACTATAAAATTGTTTAACTATTAATATTAATGTTAATTAATTTAAATAATGAAATTTAAATAAATAATTAAATTTTATTGATCAAAAAATGTAACGAATTAATCAATTAATTAATCTTAATTAGTTAATATAATTATTTAATTAACATTAATTTAACCCAGCGATGCTTTACATTACCGCGTCAACTATGAGTTCGTGTATGGGCTATTATTTTAGTCTAATTTATTTGCTGATGACTTCTACTATTTGATATTGTATTTTCACCGCGTACTTGACATAATCAACTATTATCATCACTACAGTTGCGGCGCATCATCACAGTGCAGGCGTGCGTACGCAGCTGGCTGGCGCGCGTACGCTTCCAGAAGCTGCAGCGCAAGCAGTGGGCGCTCGCTACCTCCGTGCTCACGCTACAGAAGTCAGTCTTGTTGTTCTTGTCACACCACCTATCTTAATAAATTATTCATTTAATTAATTTACTATTATTTTAATAATGTCACTCGTTTGCTTGAATCGCAAATTCACTAAAAACTTAAAAGCAAAGAAAACTCCAAAAAAATTTATAGTATCTATCTAAATAATTTTTCTATTTATTGGTCAGAGTGAAGAATATTTACAATATGTTTCAACAGACACGTTCGCGGGTACCTCACCCGGAAGCGGCTCAACGCAGCGGCCGCACCCGCGGCTGCGTCTCCGCCGCCAGAAAAAACTGGCAAGCCCCAAAAGTCTCCCAAGAAGGGCAAGGAAAACCGCAAAGAAAAAGCCCCGCCACCGCCAGAAAACATCCAGCCTGGTGAGCAGCTCAGAATTTTTTTAGATAAAACCTGACGAGATAGGTAAATTTCTATGTGAAATGTCATAGTCTATGCGAAATTTCATGTATATGTGAAATTTCAAGTCGATGTGAAATTTCAAGTCGATGTGAAATTTCAAGTCGATATGAAATTTCAAGTCGATGTGAAATTTCAAGTCGATGTGAAATTTGATGTCTAGATTATCATTCTACTTATGTGCTGCCTGTTTTGCATTTGCTTCTTGCGCGAACAAATGCACGCATGCAGACGGTAACTGTTTCTTTACTTCGTCTTATACTTGAATAACTTTAAAGATTCAAATGTAAGTTAGCATGAGACACATTCATTTTAAGTGAATATTCTCAATGCTTACCTGCATGTAGCTCGTTAAGAACCACTTCATATTAATCTTAATGTTAAGTGAGGGGTTATAATTAAGTGGAGTTATAATTAATAAATTGATTCAAAACAGGCTTAGGTAGCTGCATTTTTTGTTTGAATAATAAACTCAAACGCATGTTCGAGGGCTGAATTTAACTCGTATTTCATTTAATCACTCATTTAATAAACAGTTATAGAGGCTTCAGTTAGTAATTAGTTTTATCTATTTAGTTAATAATTAATTTGAACATAAAACAAGCTGCTGGGCGGCCCCCGCGACGAGCGGAGGAGATGACGAAGGAGGACGCAGCGCTTGTGATCCAAACACGTCAGTCGCTAGTCACGTCCTGACGAGCGCTCTTATTGCACGTCGCTGCTGCATGTGTTGCTTGGTGCTTGCGTGTGTAGTGGAGATACGTGAAGCTGGGATACGTGGTAGCCTTGAAGCTTGGATACGTGGCAGCCTTGGATACGTGGTAGCCTTGGATACGTGGTATCCTTGGATACGTGGTAGCCTTGAAGCTTGGATACGTGATAGCTTTACAGCTCAGCTCGTAGCAACCTCGTTTGTGTCGCATGTAGTGATGTTAACCTTTTTTAAACCATGTTGGCCTGTCGCTAATTCCATCCTGCAAACTTGCCGATTTCAACCTAAAATTTTCCAACCAGTTGCAGGTTTCAAACCCTCAACTCTCTGTTCAAATCTTGGCGATCTTAACCACTAGGCCATGCCGAGCTTCCACTAGTAAACTCTATCGTAGTGTTACACTTGCATCGCATGCTTCAGTCATCGTAACTGAAGCAAGAAGCAAGGAATCATAATTGAAGGGTACTATCGTACACTTCAATTTCAATCCGTACCCTTCAATTTCAGTCAACGACCGATTTAAAACCTATAGTCACCGTGGGTTCTTTCGAGCACCTCGTCACATCATATATTTGTGCCTGTAAGGCTCATAAGAATCGTCTTTTTAAGTCAACAAATTACAATGATCATGAACCGCTGACTATTGCTGCATTCTTGAACCAGCTCATGCACTTGCGGAACAGATGCAACCTATTCAGTCGTTTGTCGCAAACGCAAATCAATTAAGAGCAACAGTAATGTGCACTATCTTAGTAGCTGTATTAGCTCGGATAAAAGGCAATATTCCGGATAAAAAACAATACATTGTCCTTGCAGCAATCATTATTGCCGTCTCACTAGCGAGAGGCAATGCAGTATCAGTGCAGTGAATATCACCTTGAGCCCTACTTTCAAAACTCGCCAAGTACACGAAGAGGCCTAAGTACATGTAGCGGCCTAAGTACACGTAGCAGCCCAAGTACACGTAAAGGTCTAAGTAAACGTAGCGGCTCAAATACGCGTAAAGGCCTAAGTACACGTAACGGCTCAAGTTCAAGTAAAGGCCTAAGTACACCGTTCACGTAACGGCTCAAGTACAAGTAATGCCTAAGTACACGTAACGGCTCAAGTACAAGTACAGGCCTAAGTACACGTAGCGGCCCAATGACACGTTGCGGCTCAAGTACAAGTAAAGACATAAGAATACGTAGCAGCTCATGTACAAGTAAAGGCCTAAGTACACGTAAAGGCCTAAGTACACGTAGCGGCTCAAGTACACGTAAAGGCCTAAGTACACGTGTGGCCCAAATACACGTAAATTACACGTAGCGGCCGATAATTTCGTCGGTGACTGATCAGTTTAGCTTGAAGAGTACTCAGCGACTGCCTGACGGAGCAATAAACTCTGTAAGTATTTATGATGGTACGGCCACTTGTCTAAGTAAACTGACGCCCGCAGGGTTCCGGGGCTTCAAGGTGCGGCAGGAGTGGGGCCCGGTGCTGGAGGAGCGCCTCAGGGCGCTGGTCGAGGCCCAGGACACCGCTGAAGAGGCCGAGAGGGCGCTTAAGGTACCAACCGCCATAGGACCAACCGCCACATTTGCCAGATTGTTTGACGACTTTCATGGACGCTGTCGTGCCTAATATCTATGCAAAATATCACTCATCTGATTTTTGTTAGGTGTTTAAAAGGTTTTATGAGTCCCATTTATTGTTATAAGGCCCATAGGCTCTTATGAGGCTCTCAGGTTCTTGAATTCCCTCACAGGCGGAGGGGCTGAGTCCTGAGGAGGCGGCTATGGTGATACAGAAGTTCTGGGGGCGCCACAAGCGGGCGAAGCAGGAGAAAAATCCCCATCCAAACCCCACCAAACGGGGCTCTACTCCCTCAACTCGCATGTCCGACCTCATCATGTTCTCGGAGCAGGTGAGTGACGTCATCATGTGCCCCCCACTAAGGACGCCGTGCGTCCCCCACTAAGGGCGCCGTGTGTGCCCCACTAAAGGCACCGTGTGTCCCCCACTAAGGGCGCCGTGTGTCCCCCACTAATGGCGCCGTGTGCCCCCACTAAGGGCGCCGTGTGTGCCCCACTAAAGGCACCGTGTGTCCCCCACTAAGGGCGCCGTGTCCCCCACTAAGGGCGCCGTGTGTGTGCAGGTGCACGTCTGTAACCAGGACGTCCACAGCGCCCTGCGCAGGATCAAGGGGGGCGTCGAGGACATAAGGGCGCCGCCATCGGACTACAAGCGCCCCCGGGGCTTCCAGGACGTGCCTGAGATGCTGCACGAGCAGCGCAAGCGTCTGGCGCCCCAGGTACGTATATAGTTATTGCTGGTAAATAGTTTAGGTAAATAATAAATAATAATATAATGATGATTGGTGGTAAATAGTTTAGATAAATAATAAATAATAATATAATGATGATTGGTGGTAAATAGTTTAGATAACTCTTGCCTCTCCCTACCCTCAAGTGACATGTCCTCCCTCACCTCTTACCCTCAGGTGGGGGGCGGAGGGCGCGTGAATGTGAGGGTAACGGCCATGAGAGACCAGCAGCCCTCGCCAGGGTTCACAGACCTGCTGCAGATCAACAGGTGAGCCTTCGTCCTGACATGACGTGAGCCTTCGTCATGACATAACGTGAGCCTGAGTCCTGACATGACGTGAGCCTGAGACCTGACATGACGTGAGCCTGAGTCCTGACATGACGTGAGCCTGAGACCTGACATGACGTGAGCCTTCGTCATGACATGACGTGAGCCTGAGTCCTGGCATGACGTGAGCCTTCGTCATGACATGACGTGAGCCTTCGTCCTGACATGACGTGAGCCTGAGTCCTGACATGACGTGAGCCTTCGTCCTGACATGACGTGGCCGGGACCATGAGGAGACGTGGTTGCTGACGTGAGCCTGAGTCCTGACATGACGTGAGCCTTCGTCCTGACATGACGTGGCCGGGACCATGAGGAGACGTGGTTGCTGATACTGCGAGCCACCATCGTTATTTATTTATTTTTTTTAAGTGCAAAGAGAACTTTGCTTCAAATCTGTGAATTATTCAGAGTATTGTTTGTACTAAATAAAGCTCTTCGGGTTGATGACGAGACGTTGTTGCTGATGGTTAGAGGCTTCATTGTTATTATTGTTTAATTTTTGAAAGCAGAAAAAGCTTGTCTCAAATCTGTTTTTAATTATCTTAACATAAAACATGATTGTTATTCTTATTCAGCTTTTATATCCAATTTGGAACAAAACGAAGAAGAATTTTATCCCATGAGAGAGGGTCCAACGTGTCATACCAGATTATTAGTTCAAAATCTTTCCCTGCATGAAACGTAAGCTTTCCATTCTCAACTGCGAAACACATTTCCTATTTCTTCCAAGATTAAAAACAAATCTTCTATTTTTAAAACATCGAAGCCTTTCATTCACACTGATCTAGTTTTTCTTTTAATATTCAAATCACATTTCATTTGATGTCTCCACATTAATTTCCTTCTGCAGCAACTCTTTATCTTGTGCTTCCCTCTACTGGTGTCTGCTCTATAATTTCACTACATTACTATACCTATTGTTTACTATCGTCAATACTTTAATCTGGACACATCAACTAATCTTACTCTTCATTCCTTCAAGAATACCAAACATAATGCGGGTCGCTGTTTACCTTGGAATTTCTTCAATTTTGTGACTCAGAAAGTTGCCTTAGGCAATGTTTCATCTAATTTACTTTGACAAATGAGGCAATAATTCACCTCAAATTAGTTTCGCCGCTATTTAATGATTCACTGACATGCGTAAGTTCATTTGTTGAATTGAATGATTCACTGAATCATTCATTCATTCTCACTGAATCTAAGTGACTTAGTAAGTTAGTAAGAGTGACTTACTAAGTGACTTAGTAAGTTAGTAAGAGTGACTTACTAAGTGACTTAGTAAGTTAGTAAGAGGCTGAATGATTCACTGAATCATTCAATCATTCTCGCTGAATGATTCACTGACGTGCGTAAGTTCATTCATTTTAAAATTCACTGAACGCAGCGATGAGGACCTCCTGCCAGACGTGTCGCCTGACACGCCCTGGGACGCGCCCCTGCAGCGCAGGCAGCAGCCGTCCAGGTAGCGCTCCGGCAGGCGTCCTGCGACTTCTTCTTACGTTGTCTCCTACTTAATTAGAGTGCCATTTGTCCCTACGTTGTATAGTCCTACTCCTCTCTGCCGTCCCACTTAGTCCTGCTCCTCCTTGCCGTCCTACTTAGAGTCTACTCCTCCCTGCGCCGTGGCTTCATGTTGAGAAAGTGGTGTTTTCTCTCTTCCCGTCTGCTGAGTCGCCACTTTGTTCCAATAATGTGACATCATCCATCTTCTTATGCTTCTATTTTTTGCTCTTTTCTTTTGCGCGTTATTCTTCCTCCGTTTATTTGAAGTGCATAGCACATTTTAACGCCACTCTGTTACTCTAAATCTCGTGCCTCTCATTGCCGAACGTTACCCTCTCTACGCGCAGAAAATATTTCAAACCCTATATTTTGGTAGCTCCGCTCCTGAACATTGTTTATCATCTTCACTACGTCCATGTGTAGTCTTCCGACGAGTGTTCAGCAAGAACTCTATACTTATTACGCCCACGAAACCTATAAAACTTTCAACTGATTCAACACAACGGCTATTATTCGCAATGCTCACAGCGTTTGAAATGCCTTATCTCTCATGGCCGCAAACGCTTTTAAATGCTGCAATCTCTCGCTGAAAACTCTTTTATTATTCCCTAGCGCTTGTCACTGAGGCTGCCATTGCCGATCTGTGTGCGTTTAAAGAAGTTATTCCTGTTTACTATTTAGTAAATTGAAGTTATTCCTGTTTTCTATTTATTAAATTTGGGTTGAAATTTTGCCTACAGACACAACAACAAGCGCGTGAAGCAACACGTCGCGCCCCCTGTCAGGAGCCCCGCGGGGGGCGAGGCCCCTCGAGGCGACATGTTCGAGGAGCACAAAGCGAACCTGCAGCACGGCGCCCTGCAGAGCCAGCGGATGCTCAACGAGGCGAGGGAAGCTCAACACCTGCGTCAGTGGCCTGACGCAGGCCCTCTCAAGGGCGTGTCTCCCGTCGACTTCAGGCACGACGGTCCTGAGAGGTGATTATAATTTATGATTATTAATATATTTGGTTATCACTATTTGGGGGAAAAATTATCTCGAATTCTTTCAAAATAATAGGATGATTCCAAAACAGAATATTGTGAAATTGTCTCTTTTGTTGTTAATGTAAATGCATTTTTCCCAGTCGACCCAACCATAGACTTGAGAACCTCGTATAATTATAGAGCAAACTAATTATGGCGAAAGATTATCACAAATCCCTACATTAATTTTGCATAATTATATAACAAAATATTATAAAATGATCTCTGTTAAAATATATAGAATATATTTTTCTCCTTCTACTACAACTATACACTAGAGTACATTACCGTACGTCTAAAATGTCTCGTACCCCAGAGGACGATCGACACCCACGACGAACCTGCAGGCGGCGAGCGAGTTGCGTCAGATGTTACGCACGACCCAGACGCCCGTGTCAGGATCACGTGTAGGACCTGCTGCTGCTGGAGGCGCTGACGAGGAGCTTTCAGGACCCTTCAACTTCCAGCAGTTCCTTCGCAGGACAAACTACGCCCCCACAGACACCATCAGACTCAGACAAAAGGAGCGCGAGAAGCGCAGCTCAAACGGCGCTTTCTAGGGAAAGCGGCTCTGCTTGAGTTACTTTCTTCCCTGAGTCATGAATATTGTTTTATGTTCGCGTTATTATTGCGACATAACTTGATGACCTGAACACTTGGGAAAATGAATGGCTCATGTTGTCCAAATAGGGCCCACTTTATAATATAATACACAGCAGGATCAGGAAGCGGACGTAGCACTGATACCCTTTTTTAAATGGCCAGACTGAGCCACGATGACCCACATATGGGCAAAAAATGCATAGTTATTTGGACACTGTCTCACTCATTTCTCTGTGTGTACTTTTTCATATGGGAAAATCAGCCAAATTATTCGAGCTACGCGAGAAATGAGTCCCTACAACAGATAGCGTGTTTTGTGATGGACCTTCTATTGATATTCCTTTCTGTTGCCCAAAGTTAAGACATTCTACGAGTATATGTCTGTCTAAAAGTGCAATGACTACTCCTCCCTTGAATGATATATACCAGGTCCATTAAGTCGCCATGCTTTGGCCTTTGTATCATTCGGTAATTGCTGAGCCTTGCCCCGTTGGTTAATTTTTTCAGTCATCACCTATAACGGCATTTAGTGCTGTGAGCTACTGCAAATTGTACAATATTTGAACAGAAATGGATCGTATACTTTCGATCCAATTTCTGCCATTCCTCCTCAAAAGCTTTGATACAACGTGCTTGACGAAAAAAAATCTTCTGGTGTTTAGAACACTCAGTTATTGTGGAATTTTGTAGGTATATAGAACGTAGAGAAGGTATATGCACTCAACATTCTCCTCGATTTCAGGAAATTTCCTTGAAATCGGAAAATGTAAATAGCTTTACTCTTTAGTGTTTTCGTTGTCAAGCGCGTAGTGTGAAGCTGAACAGTGTTTTTCTCAGTTTTTTATTTTTATTATTGAAATATTTTAATGCTTATTGTTGGAAATTCAAAGTTTTTAGAGTATTTATCTAAACAAATTTATTTATTGTAGATAAGACATTATTGTTCTTTCTTACCACGTTCATAGTCTTAATGTTTATAAACTTACATGTGTGTGTGGCGGTGTATGTCTCAGTATATACGCTTTAGAGCATCACTCTAAAAAATGAACGCGTCTTATTGTACAAATAGTGACACAATTTTTTACCTACATCACTGGTCGACATCGGACGTATCCTTGATATGCTCCCCGACCAAAATGAGTCAGGATTACTCACACAGGGGCAAAAAGTGTATCACTATTTGGACACAGTCACACTCATTTATTTGAGTGTAGATTTGTTTAACATGGCATAGTTCGTGTAGTTGAACGCTGTATTTTCTGTATTACCGATGCTAGTCATTACAACAAAAGCAAAACAATGGAGCTAGAGTTCGTAGTTAGTAAAAATTATTGTATTCTTTCAGTTATTAGATGATAGTTTTTGTAATTTAGTTTTACTGTAATTCTAGCAAACTTTAACGAATCGTCCAAGTTTCGTGAGCGAAAAATATTTCCATTTTGATTTTGTTAGGCAAATGTGCGAGCCTTCACGTCTGAGTGGATATACTTGTAATGTCGCGGCGCTGGATCATACATGGTGAAGCTTTGTGCACGATTTATTTACCCATGTTTCAGTTCAACATTTAAAGACGTTTATTTACAGCATTTCTACGCCAGGATAGTAACGTATTAATTGAAACTGAGCTCATTTGTGATGAAATGGAAGCATTGACTTCACACTATATGGCTCTACAGGAGTTGATAGTGCGTGCTGCTTCATACAAAGTTACTCGTCAGGGAAGAATTTCGAGTCAATAATGTTATAAATTTTAATCCAGTATTTTTGAAGTTCAAGATCTAATTTACAAACTTAAAGTTCCTACAACTTCTTACTTGGTCCTTTGGTTGCGATAAAATGCAGTGAATTCACGACGTAACGCTATCGTCATTCAAATTCTCACAGGTGAAACAAAAAAATTTCTGTAACTTTTTGCTTTAAAAATTGACTGAAGGTTTGACCTCAATGAGTTGAGCTAATTAAAAGGGTTTTAAAGTATAACTGAGTGTAGGTTATTTAATCTCCTTTAGTTCGTAGAGTCGAGAAGTTCGAGGAGGTCCATGTCCTGGTCCTGGTTCTCCTCCAAGCTGAACTGCTGGAGCAGCTGCTGCAGCTCAGGGGCTCGTGAGGCGTCAGGCTTGACGTGCACCACCTCGTCTGGCTCGTCGTCAGCGCCATCGTCAGCAGCATCGTCTTCATTCCTGTTCATTACAGACGTGTATTGTTTGATGCATGGCAGGGGTGATGAATGTGAACATGTGTAAAACTCAGCCAACTGCATGTATACTACGACATAGATCAGCGAATTATATATGTATTAAAAATTAAATCAGCCTATCGCATGTGTATCATGTAATAAATCTGCCGATCACAAATGACTTGCGACAAAAACCAGGCAATCACATGTGTATTACGATTTGAATTTGAACCAATCAGTTGATTTAGAACATAAACCAGTCAATCGCATGTATATTACGATTTAATGCAGGCAATCACAGATGTAGTACGACAACCTGTCAATCAGCTGCAATATGTTAGCTCACAAGAAGAGGTTGAGTCGGAAAGTCGCTTGAGCAGAGGCCGGCTTCAGGAGCTGAGCAAGTAGATTTAATTCCACGCTCTGGCCTTCTTCCCTGCTCAGCATTGTCGAAAATATTATCATTAAAAACATCTGAAAACACATTAACCACTCAACTTTACCAGCTATTCACTGTACTGAAACCCCTGACATTTACTCATCTGCGCGAGTGAGTTAGGTCGCCACTAGAAACATCCTGTTGGAGTATCGCGTATCCTGCACAGTAGTCTTTGCTTGAAGATGATTTGTTATAAGTTTCAATATTCGTATTGATCATGAAATACATTACGGCCGACCAGAATATGATGTATTTACCAGTCACTATTGTTAGGAGAATTGTCAGCATTGTGTTTGTGCCTCATTCGAAATTACGAATGAGTTCACTTATCAAGAAATTACCTCTGCAGGGGCTAGTGCCGTATTACCTAAGTTCCGCTTATCAATAAATTATCTCTAACTAACAGAAACAATGAAAACTTTTCCGTTGTACTGAACGTAATTAATTTCACAAGCTATATTCGTGAAAAATTGGATCAAAAGCATCCTGAATCTTGACGCTCACTTTCCCCGCCAGGCCGAACTGAACCCGACTGAGATGCGCGTTGTACGGCGATGGGTATACGCAATAACTTAGCTCTGCTCGGCAACAAATTTAAAAATAATCTTAAATAACAATAATAATGGACTGATTCCATTGAAAGTAAGTACATTTGTTCATGATCTTTGTCAATCAATAATCAGAGTTCCAAAACATGCCTCATGTAGGAAGGCTCTGGAGTCTCATTTTCTCTGCCAGGGCTGCTGTCCACTTCGCTGTCTAGACCGTCGCGGATTGCGTACCTTCAAAGTGCAGATGACATATCCATGAACGATATAAAACTAACCCTTACATATTCTTTTATTAATGTTACTTCAAAACCTCAAAACTCACAATAATATGAGCGTGTTGAGCAGCAGATTTGTACCGAGTGTACAAATCTGTCAATTTTATTTCATGGTTTTCTACGGGTCGAAACACGAGTCCTTTACTTAAGTGACTCGATCACTGACGGCTTCCTAGGTTAATTATTTCCATCTGAGGATCCCATTAAGCTGGAGTTTTATACGGCAATATTTCTAGTCCTGGAAATTGCAAATTCATTTCTAAAATAGTACCACGAATTCTTGTAAGACTTCCTGTAAGACTTCTAGTCTTTGTACTCACAGGTTTATTCCTAGATTTGTACCGCGCGGTCTAGGGGAAGGGTCGAGGCTGCCAGGGGACTCAGGGGGCTGGAAGTCCCCACCGTGTGGGAAGTATGAGGTGCTGGTCAGCTCCCCGGCGCTGTCGAAATACCGGATCAGCCCCGGCATCTCGGTGTCTGGTGGTTGTTAAGCGTTAATATAATGAAGAATTAATCACAATGAACAAGATGATTTAAAAAACGCCAAATGGACATGAGCAAATAATTATCATAGAAAAATAACATATTATTCAACAAGTAAAAAACAAAATTATCAAACAAAGTTTTGAAAATTAAACATGGCATGAAATTTAGTCAACTTAAGTCTCACTTAATACTCGTATATAGAACTTGAAGTTCTATCGCGTATACTGGAATACCATCGATGGGCACCAGAAAAAAGGTCTTCAGTTTACGAAAGTCACGTAAGAAACAGACTTTATTATTAACAAGTAACGTCGGTCACTGCATGTGCTTCACTTATAATAACGGCGGACATAACTCGGTAAATTAATTGGTCATAGCGTCCTAATCATGACACACTTCCTGCATGTAGCATTGATACGCCTGTTGCCGGGCCAAAATGGGTCAGGATGACCTACATATGCGCCAACAGTGCATCGCCGTTTGGACGAAGTTTCTTATTTTTGAGTGGCACGTTCTCCGTGGGAGTGTGGCCTCGCTTGGGGAGCACGTGTGTGGGATCTCACTTGGGGAGCACGTGTGTGGGATCTCACTTTGGGAGCACGTGTGTGGGATCTTACTTGGGGGAACAGGGCCTGCCACGGGAAGAACGAAACGCCCCTCGGCGGTCTGGATGCCCTCCCTCAGGAAGATCGACACTCGCGTGTTCAGGTCCTGGACGAACTCCAGCAGCAGGCGTCGGATCTCTGCCAGGTCTCCTTCAGGTATATCGATGTATGTCTGCACTCGGTAAAATAACGGCATCAATGAAAACATATGAATACTTTACTCGAGGAATGTATCAGGTATACTAGCATACTATCACTATACTAGTCTGAACCACACGTAAAGTTATAGGATGTGATAAATGAGATGGTTAAAAGAGAATATTAACGACCTTACATAACTGTGTTTATAGTATACAGTCAAATAACTAAATATTTTTATTACAAGTAAGTTGAGCAGATATTGCTAAAACAAGTGAAATTATTTGTTGGACTGTAGTTCATGCTCGTGTATGCAGTTGAAAATACCGCAATAATAAGGCCAAATGTGATATGTTCTGGAACATAGGCTTAAGTCTGGCCGGAACAAAGGAGATTTACTTAACTTGAACAGAGTTCTTATACTAAATGAATTCTCTTCAGAGCCTTATGACGTCATGGTCGATTTAACACATATCCTCCTATGTGAGATCGAAGCTTTTTGAATTGGGCCCATGTAACTATGAAAGTTATGTTAGGTTTTACATTGACATTAAATTTGTAAACACTTCAGTTTTAGCTGAATCAGCTGAAACCCTGAGCTGATGAAACGAGGGAGAATTTTTCCGAATAGAATTGCGTTTTTTCGCCCTTGCGTGGCTCTTTCTGACACAGTTTGACAAGCAAAAGGTCGTGTCAGTGCTACGTGCAGAAAATGTGTTACTATTGAATATATGACATATTAACTTTTATGAGTGTAGCTTTAAGCCTTTGTTTACTGACAGGACCCCTCGCTTTCAGCTCAATAGTAACGAATAACATTGATGAAATTTAATGTATCCGTACACGAAGGGATTAAGCTGATGTGTTAGAATACTGTATGCCATGTATCCCCTAGAGAGCTGACCTTTAAGAACAACACCAAGGCCTGGTCTGATAGGGTTAGAATACGTTATGCCTAGTAGCCCCCAGTGCGCTGACCTTTAACCTCACCTTGTCCATGCTGACAGCATTGAGCCGCAGCACGCCTCACCTTGTCCATGCTGACAGCATTGAGCCGCATGATGGACCCGTGCGCCAGTCTCTCGAAGACGCCCCTCAGCGCGGCACGGCTGTACAGCGGCTGGGGTTTGAACACTTCCTCGATGAAGCGACGGTTCAACATGATGCTCAGGATATCATTACGCACTGAAAAAAAAACAGCCGTTATCTCACTCTCAACTGCAGTAAATTACAGAGATACGATGATTAATGTGACCGCATAGTTAATGGTTTAATTTTACCTGTACTGAATTAAGAACATTATATTGTGAAGGGCTCTAAAAGTCTTATTTCTCCCGAAAAAAAACTTCAGTTAAGAAAGCTGATTGAGTTAATTCGACTAAAGAGTTGTACCTTTGGCCGCGCGGTCGGGCGGCACCTCCTGGGCCCTGAGCCGCTGGTCGATGATGTATAACATCTCACCGCCCAGGTTCAGGAACTGCAAGGGAAGGCCGTGGTCCACCATTACCATCTGTCCTCCTACGCTTTCTATTTTCTGAAAATCGTCGAATTTTCTTAATTCCCATAGGCTTCCTCAATTTTTTAGTTCCTAATGTAACTCGACGCCACAAGTCTGAGAACTGTGGTACCAAAGCTCGCGTTATGAAATACAGTTGAATTTCGAAAAAATCAATAGTTTTCAACAACCGATATCGAAAAGAGCCAACCTTGTATGAGAGTTTAATGATTAAACTAATAATCACACACTACAATGTTGCAGTTAATAAAAACAAGCGTTTCCTTGGAGAATGCATAGAAATGGATCTAGCACTGCAGAGGGGATTTCAGCGAAGATTTCATACCCTCTCGTCGTCATGGCAACAGCGGGACAAACGTAGGAATAGCATTTGTGGAAAATTCATTGACAATAATAACGATAAAATAAATTTCATGTCTATTAATGTGTGATTTAGAAGTTAACGGATGGCACATATGAGCAGCTTGTAGCCTGTATAGATGTTGTTATGTAACTCGCGCTTACAACGTTTAAATTTTAAAATAAATATCGCACATTAATAAACTCTATAAAATCAAGAGAATTTGATGCCAAAACACATCTTCTTTAGCAGTGTAAATGATAGTGAAATGAAGTTTAATTTAATAACGTTGCGATTGCAGTATGGTATGAAAAATAATTGCTCCATCATATGCGCATCATATGCGCGTAATTTAATTGATAATATTAACTACTAAGTATGCTTAAAAAATCTTCCGGTGTAATAAATTGCTTGCTGATGCTCTTCTACCTCACTTTAAAAGTTTGAATATGTGGGTCAACAGTGAGAGTGAAGGTCAAAAATGACCATATTTAACTGTGACCGCAAATACTGGGTCACTGGCTAGAGCACATTTTTGTGAGCTGATGGGTTCGTTTCCGGTTGAATACGTTTAATGGATTAATGTGCTTAACAATTATAGTGAGCAGGGATCCACACCATCTACGATGTCGTTAGCCGCAAATGTTTTTGAATTAGATTTGGAAGAAAAGAAAGATTCAGATGACGAAATTCTTGACTATGAACAGGTAAGATACCTTCAACGGTTGAATTATAGAGTAGGAAACCTAGTACTAGTTTAGTCAGCTGTCAGAGTAGTAATAAAGTTCCTGCTGACGAGTGATAGCATATGTCGTGACATGAAAAACTTTTGTAACAGGTGTCTTTAATTAACTTTACCAAAACTTATACTATGGCTCCTAATTTTTCTATTTTGTGTTTCATGATTACAGAATAAGTTTAAATCACATAGTTGAGCTGCAAAATTTATGCTTGTTGAATTAGGTAGGTATAGTACTTTCTTTGAAATAGTCAAAAAATGACCATGATTAGATAGCAAGAATAAATATTTATTAAAAATATGCTATGTGCATTTTCAAAATTCTTGAAAAAAATTACAAATAGTAGTGAAATAGGCATACAGAAAGTTTAAAGCTTTTGCCTAATGCCATGGTCAGGAAGATGTGCCAGGTGCGCGGGAATTTATATTGTCATTTTAACGACCTGCGCGGTGCGCCGTCATAGTGACAAAGCAGAGAGTTTTTTAGACTCTCCCTCAAGTTCATTTTTGAATCCAATAAGCAGATCAGTAAAGTATCCTGGATACCAGCATTATGAAAACTGTGTCTAAATCAGAACTGTGTCGGACGGCTCCGCGGCCCGCGCCAAGTGCTGCGCGGCGCGGAATCGATGACTGTGATTTGCACGAACGTCTGCGCAAAAAAAAATATAATTAGATTGATTTACGTGAGAAATTTCCCCGTTTATATACATCTTCCTGAGTGTGGGCCTAATGAGCCTCAGAAATCAAATTAGGGAATTATTAGCTATATTTTGCATTGATTTTACATTTGTGTTACAGGACAGGAATGGCCCGGGACTGGATATTGATTCTTTGTCCAGGTGAATGATGAATATTCTTTGATATATATATAAATTTATTATTTAAATTGTAGAACAGCTGAAAGTTAGCTAGCTATTTTAGTCATAGCTAACTTTGTGTTTAGCAGGACCTAGTTAGCTTTAGTTGAAAAGATATGCCACATGTGAGGGAATGAATTTATTTCTTCTGATAATAGGATAAAACCTTGGGTTTAAATGCCATGTTGTTAATTTGTTATATCACCCTGTTAGTATTAAAACTTCTGAGTTCTGAAATTAATAGTACTTCAAGTTCAGATTTGTGCAAGCAATTAGTTTGTTAAAAATGTCCCATAATAATGGTTAATTTCTATAGTAGGATTTACCATATTTAACTAATGACAAGTAAAGATACTTTCTTCTTATTTTATTAGCCAGGCCAATGTGACAGTAGTTTCTCTAGATGACCAAGAAGTTAGACCTCAAGGATATGACAAATGCTCTACTCAAGACTTCCAGCTTCTCAATGTTTTGGGCAAAGGAGGTTATGGAAAAGTTTTTCAGGTATGCTACATGTGCACATACATTTCATAAATTTTTATTATGCAATCTCTTAATAAATTGAAGATCTGTGGTTAAAAATGTTAATTCTACCAATAATGTAGATCATGTCATGAATTTTGAAATTCATGTCTGTAGACATTTTTGTACCTAGCTTTAAAAATGTACCAGTATTCAATTTTCTTCAGTTTATGCTAATAATTTAATGTTATGTGTATAACATTTTATAAACATGTCAATGACTCTAATTTTAGTGCAAAATATAACTTAATTAGTTTCTTATACATTTTAATTTTTTGGGGATCTCAGGTTCGGAAGATCACAGGCAAAGATTATGGCAGTATTTATGCCATGAAGGTTGTCAAGAAGGCGGTGATTGTAAGGAACCAGAAGGACACGGACCACACCAAGGCAGAGCGGAACATTCTTGAAACTATTAAAGTGAGACTAATCAATAATCACTAATCCCTTTTGCTGACATGTATTCTTGAACATTTTTAGACTAAGTGATAAAAAATTGTTTGCTTCTTATATTTTTCCACTATCAAATATCAGTGGTGCAAAATTCTTGATAATGTAATACGTATTGTAACTTTGCACCTAATTCTGGCCAAGTTTAGCTTTTGTTCAAGTTCATTTCTAGGAATTAGCTGTAAGTGTATGTGCAAGAAATATTTATTCCCATTATATAAATCACAATTGACAAAGAAATGCTGGATCATTTGTACCTACACTAGGTGTTCAATAACCTCTAAAATTATGAAAAAATTAAAATGCATGAAAAATTTTAAAACCAACAATATTTTATGATGTATGTACTACTTTTTGAATATTTTATTTGTCCTCTTGTCCCATTATTTGCCTTTTAGTGACAAACGTATTTCCTATTGTTTTTTGTTCAGCATCCATTCCTGGTGGACCTTGTGTATGCCTTTCAAACCCAAGACAAACTCTACCTCATCTTAGAGTATCTCTCTGGTGGTGAGCTCTTCATGCATCTTGAGAGAGAAGGCATCTTCTTAGAGGACACTGCCAGGTGATGTAAAGTGCATGAAAAACACTAATAGTAATAGTCAGGTTCAAATCTTGTGTACTTTTAAAATTGTGTAATTTATTTTAATTTGAATTTTATTACAGTATTCTTTCTTAACAGGAGGTTTAAATTGTGCTGCTTTGTTTAGCATCTTTACTCAAACTATGATTGATGTTTTGTGTTGGCATACAAATCAATTTAATGTTGTTTGTGTGCAGCTTTTACTTGGCAGAGATCATTGTGGCTCTTGCTCACCTCCACAAAGGCCATGTACTCTACCGCGACCTCAAACCTGAAAACATTCTGCTTGATGCTGAAGGCCATGTCAAGCTTACTGATTTTGGATTGTGCAAGGAAAAGATTGGTTATGTGAGTTTTATTATATACTTTAAGTTATGGTGCTCATATTCTACTGGAGCCCTATGATTTTTATTAACTTTTCTGCAGGATACTCACACCTGGTTTTTATTCCATAGATTGATGTTGGACTCTTGTCTAAAACATTTTCTTCAAGAAATATTTCTAGCAAGGACCATGTTTGAAGGTTGGCTTTCAAGTTTAAATGATCTCCAATTTTTTACTTTCTATTCCATTTTTCAATTTAAAATGACATTTGAAAACAGTTCTCTTTTTGTCTTTAGTTTAGGACCATTTTGCTCAGTGAGTTTTTTTCAGTTCATATTTTATTTAAAATTTGTTCTATCACACAAACCAGAATAATCTTTTTAGTTGTGATAATCTGTTAATTGGCAAAGTATTCCCCAGGATGGCAGCAAGGCACACACGTTTTGCGGCACCATTGAGTACATGGCACCAGAAGTGATCTTGCGCCGGGGCCACGACCACGCGGCCGACTGGTGGAGTCTTGGTGCTCTCATGTACGACATGATGACCGGCTCGGTGGGTTCTGAGTTTGCTACATTTTTGGTGGGTTGTGAGCTTGGTACATTTTCGGTGGGTTATGAGTTAGGTACATTTTCGGTGGGTTGTGAGTTAGGTACATTTTCGGTGGGTTGTGAGTTAGGTACATTTTCGGTGGGTTGTGAGTTAGGTACATTTTCTGTGGGTTTTTTTCGGTGGGTTGTGAGTTAGGTACATTTTCTGAGGGTTGTGAGTTTGGTACATTTTCGGCGGGTTGTGAGTTAGGTACATTTTCTGTAGGTTGTGAGTTTGGTACATTTTCGGTGGGTTGTGAGTTTGGTGCTGCGTACATTTTCCCAATGTGGTGTTCATGCAGTACATTGCTCAGAGGAGGACATTTTATTTAAAAACATTTTTCGGATGCTGGTGTGGCCTTGCTTGATGACAGTCTTGGTACTGTATGACACACGAGTAATAAAGCTGTGACTTGCGATGTTAGTTTATAGGCCGCAGCATTGGGACTTATTAATGCAACCTAACCTACAAGTATTGTTTACAATGCTTACATAACCAAGGCTAGTCATTGTTCCTGTTAATCCGCCTTCAATTAGAGAAGAATGAGTTTGTGATATTTTTCTTTGCGTGGTAACGTTTATTATTTTTAAAGCTTTAACCTGAATTCTTCAAGATATTAAGCTGTTCATTATTATTCATGTCATGTAAGTTATAAATCATTTTCAATCCTAGATTTTGTGGCAGAATATGATTTCATTTGATAGTGTCTGCACATCCCTCATTTCTGTATGGAAAGTTGATAACGTTTTCTTGTACAGCCGCCTTACACTGGCGAGACCCGCAAGATAACATTTGAGCGCATCATGAAGGGAAAGCTGCACCTGCCACCTTACCTTTCCCCGGACGCCAGAGACCTCATCAAGAAGCTCCTCAAGGTACGAACAAAATACCACTTCTTACTTGAAGTGCCACCAAAATACTACTTTGTACTTGTAACACTACCAAGTGAAGCGCAACCATAATACCACTTAGAAAAACAACCTCATGAAGCGGGATTCTGGCGACCATCTGCTATTGTGCATCAACCGTGTTGAAGTCCCGTGCCTGTTATCTGAACATTGATAATATATCCAGATGCAAGGCTGGTGAAATGAAAGATTCATGATGCTAAGAATAGTTTAATAGTTTCACTAACATGTTCAATAGTGTTACCTATTCCACTTAAGTGAAGGTGAGTTTGTATACAGCGGAATGCCAGCGCCCGCCTTGGCTCTGGCCCCGATGACGCCAAGCCCATCATGGAGCATCCGTTCTTTAAGGACATCAACTGGGACGTGGTGCATCTCAGGAAGCTCGAGCCGCCCTTCAAGCCTCCCGTCGTCAGTTCCGGCTTGTTTTCCTTCTCTTTTTTAAATGAATAATCATATTTATTCACATTAATTTTAATTTTTTTTAAATCCAAAGTGTTTGTTCTGTTGATAGAAAATGAATGTGCTCATGAAATTTGAAAAGTGTCATATGTGTGTGCAATGGGAAAAATATTCGAGATGTAAGTGTAACCCGTTCTAGTCAAATAGCCTAGTTGAAACTATCATATAACGTGTAATTCTCGTTTTATTCTATGTCTATTTTTTATTTAAAAACATGTTGGTAGCGATTTATAAAATTTTCAGAAAGGTGTTGAGGATGTAAGCCAGTTTGACGTCAAGTTCACAAAACAAGTCCCAGTTGACTCACCGTGCGACACGATGCTCAGTGAATCGTACAACAAAATCTTTGAGGTAATTATAATTAATTACTTGTCCAACTTTCCTGCTGAAGGAAACATACATCATGCGTTTGTGAAAAGCTAGTCTTTCGGATCGAGGGAGGGTTATGCAAATCTTGGCATCCTAATTAATGACGCCTTCAAATAGTTCTAGTACATCATTAAAAAAATGCATTGTTAGCTCATCTGCTCATCGAGTGTCAAGATCAATATCATATCATATACGGTAATCAAATTTTCATTTTAAAAATTTTAAGCTTGATTTCAATTTTTCATAGGATGCACTAATTTACTTAGAATGTGCTTCATACGTGGTTTTCTTTAAGGGTTTCACATACGTGGCACCCTCGGTACTGGAGAGCATGTTCAAAGACAACAACTCCTTCGGGCCATCGCAGTCTCACAGGACGCGTAGCAAGATCTTCAGTCCCCCTGGCGGGCCATGCTTCTCGCCACCACTCTCACCAGACAAGACCTTCTCTGTGACGCCGTCAGCGTTCAACCCTGGTGCTGTACCCTTCATTCCTGGAGGCGCTACTCATCACGGTGTTCCGATTGTTAACAACTCCGTAGCCTTCAATCCTAATGCGGTGCCTTTCACGCCCGCGGTCGGCGGCTGCGCCGCTCCTAGTTCATGTAACGGAGGAGACTCCGAGACCATGGAGGTGTCAGAGCCTATTGCTGTGGTGGGTGGCTCTGGTCCTGTGCTTGTTCCCAGCCAAACACGACCATCAGATGTGCCTGCGCCTCGTGGCAATAACTGGCACTGGCCGCACTAATGCTGGCTTCTTTAGGATCGTCGTAGGAATTCTTGGTTTGGTGACTAGCTCGTATCCTCAGTAGAGGCTTCTCTTGTGATGACCTATTGCAGTGGCTCAAAGTGCTGTTCTTTATTAAAATGTTGACAGGAATTCATGGCAGAAAGGAATCATCCTTGTCCTGTTATTTAATGTAATTTTTAGTGACTCAAATTGAAAATTGAAGTCTCATTAAAAACTCGCATTGATAACATAAACATCTTAGTCAATAGTTCAATTGCACCCTGACACTTCATTGAAGTAAGGGTGCTCATGAGCGAGGCAGTTGCTTCTCTCATGTTTACATTGCAGACGCCATAGTATGATATTCATAGTAACGCCTAGTTTTAAATGACTGAAGCAAGTGTTGCAGGTGTGTCAAAGCCCTCACCGAGGGAGCTGTGTTCTGGTTCTTCCATGTGCCGAGCAGCTGAGAAGCTCATCAGTTGTACTCATGAAGTCATTGCCTTATCGCACAGTTGGAACCACAAAACTTTTTCACATTGTTTGTGTAATGAGTTAGTTAGGTATTCCTTTGGTACTTTTATAATTAACTTGGAAATTGTTGTATAGCTTATCTTAGCGTTTAATGGTAGACATCGATCGTGATTTTTAACTCCTACGGTGTTATTTCTCCGCCCGCTGTCCTATATGAGTGTGGTTAGTCTTAGGAATGAGCTAAGTTTTGAAGCTCCGACTAAACAATTCTTTCGTTTCTGTTGTAATATTTCCTTCTTTTTTTAAACTAGTGACCTATGCAATTGCAAGAGATTTTCTTTTCCATGAACTCGTGCTCCTGCCTATGTGCATCCTTCCTACGCCGTGGCATAGTTTCATGAAGCTTCAGGCTTTATGTTTTTCCTTTTGTTCCTCGTGGCACAGTTATGCCAGTTTTCTCCCTTGAACCTTGCGCGACGCTTCTGATTTTTTCCTACGTGTCTTGGCTGTCGCTCGACTAGTAGAATTTGCATTTTATGCTTCGTGTTTTCCCAATTATCTTTGTCTATTTTAAGGTGTGTTGGTCGTATCGTCTTGAACCTTGGAGAGATAGTGCCTTTTGATTACTCGAAAAACTGGCTGAACAGAGCGCCTGGCTTTAAAGAGATGGTAGTGAAATTCAATGGAATCGTCACCCGGTATTCCTCATGACTACCAATTGAAATTCAGCCAACAATAGGATTCATCCACGAAATTTCTTGATTGTAATAATAAAGAGAAAACCGCTTGGATGATGGAAAGAATTTTTTTCCACAACTTGAATTTTGCCTTGCTCTGTCTAAGAGGCTAGCTTTCGATCATAGATTACTGCTGATTTCCTCAATTATTACGTATATTCCGGCAAATTTTCAGGTGGCCGAATGAATTTTTTTTAGTTCCCATAAAATCGCTTAACCTTCCTAGTGCGGTGGTGCCTTTTGTCTGGTATTGATCTTATCTGTCTGGTATTGATGGTTGTCTGTTCAGTTAACCTCGCACAAATTTATTCAGATACTCTTGCGTTAACAGTGACGCACAAAGACTGTAGCTCAGAAATGGGAGAAAACTATTAAGTCCTAATTTACATTTTATCTGCAGTGGCGACTCATATTTGTACGAATCAAGGTCGAGTCTCTCAACATACTCGTGCGTATGATGCGTACTGCACGGATACGTGCAAGTGTATTGGTTGTTAGCTTCGTTTCGTACAGTATTGGCAATGATTAACTCATTTCTTATATTCATTTTCATAGTCAGCTTTGATCTGACTCCGGCAAGGAGAGAAATGAACGCAAAATTCTCAGTTTCATTGTATTATTACAGGACTCTTGTGTACATACTATACCTACTGCTGTTCAGTGAACTGCAATGTGCTGGTCCCGCTCAGCAGAGCAAATTAATATGATTACGTAGCTTTGATACTCCATGCCAAGCTAACTCTCCTGTTGGCTGATATTTTTTCCGTGCTATTAACGCAGAACGTTGTCATGGAAGCAGCACAATTAGAGCCGCTAGACTGTTTTGGGGGACATTAAAATCTGAGTCTTGAAGCATGCAACTGTTCAAAGCCATGAACATATCACATAGGCGTTTTAGATTTCGAGTTAATAAATACTATATGTTATTGTTTCAGCACTCTCGCACTTGTTCTAAAACTATTGTTAATGATTGAGTAAGGATTATTCATTTCTAGAGTCTTATACGAGTTCATTTGGTATTTCTTTGACCTAGACCGGGGACTGTGTGGTTTGGCATCAGTGTGTGAACGTAATTCTAAGCCTCCAGGGTTCTGCACATCTAATTTATACCGCACAGTTGCGTCACGACAACGAATTTACATCTCCCTTTAATTTGCTCTTCAAATATATAGAGATTCATTTATCTTTATTTTTGATGCATAAAAATGAAGATCCTAATGATGCTTCCTTGTGAAGGATTGTAGCCACATTACCAACGAGAAGTTGTCCTAACTCATCGGGTGGTAAACCCGCCAAATTTCCTCCTACTGGGATATTATTGACACCTAAGTCATGCTATAGCCTGAAAATCACGGAGCTAATTTGACTGAAATAAAGTTTATATCTGTTTTTTATTTCTGGATTGCTATTAAAGTTTAATGTGTGGGGGCACAAAAATTCATAATTCGAAGCAATCATTTAACATTGAAGTATTTGTATGTTGAATATAAATTGAGGGATGTTACTTTTTAACGTCCTGGATGTTATTTATTCTGGGTTCTTATTACAACATTAATTTAATAATTAGAAAGCATTGGGGTCGTGTATCTCCGAGACTCGTTTGTTACCAGTGGTGCCGCTGGCATGAGTTATTGATCGGAATCTATCGAATTGAATATTCCTTTCCGCAGTCGAATCTCGACACCTACTCAAGCACGGAAACTCCCTTCATGTGGTTTCCTGCATTCGTTGCGTCGCAGAGTCTGACACGATCTTCGTTTTGCCATCAGAGAGTCTAATGATTTAATGGAGTTTACTATACTTAGTGAATTTGCAACGTCATTTATTAACCCTTATTGCAAAAATTGCAGCTAACTAGAGTATGTATTATAACTGGAAAATAATAGCTCAGGTACAAATGTAGTCAAACTTTTATGATCTACTTCCAGTTTGATTGCGAGAGCAGTAAATAAGATTTTTTTTGTTGAATATCGTCAAATTGACGACCTCTCTTCAAATAACAAGGCACTGGAAACTGAGGAAGCAATATGCTTAGATTTCACACAAATGTTCCACTTTCTAGGCTCATAAATGAACACCAGATATAAATTGAGTCCATTAGTGAAGAACTTGGTGAGTGGTTTAAAGCTTATCGAAAGCCCCACAGGAGGGAACCCAATGCCTTTCCCTTTGTACTGCAAACAAATAAAGGTAACTTCATCCGTGAAACAATCACTCAAGACAAAAATCCTGAAGCAAAGACTAACAAAATAAGAATTTATTAATAAACTAAGAACTAGAGCCGATATTAACCAAGAATAATGCCAAACTGATGCCTAAAGAATAGGTCTTTTACGCAACGCCGCCCGCAAACTGGCGAGAAATTACACCAAGCATTACAGTTGAGATCCAGGCTCCCGAAGGCACAGTGTACCCAATGACAATTTTGAACAAAGGCAAATTGTGAGACAAAACAACACACGTGATGGCCTTTGGTGCACAAATAAGCTACAAACCTCAACAATAATATTAATGCTCAACACAAAGCAGCTTTGTAGGTTATTATCTTGAAATCACTACATAGCAAACGAGTGATAAATTTGCTTCGCTTTAATTTTAAGAATACATTATATTAATTATTCAAAGAGGGTCAAACATTCAAATGAAAAATGTAATTCTAATTAATTTGTAGTAAAGTTGGGTGATGCGAAACTCATGAACTTGATTATCAATCGAACTGGCATCTGATGCCAGTTCTTAAAAAAAAAAATCTTAATCCTCTTCGCAGTTTTAGGCCATAACAAGACAAAATTATATTCTATTAATTTAAGCCATTTATAAATCTTCAAAGAATTTAAATAATAGTTTAAATAAAATCTCCTTTCGCACTTATTTCAAGTGAGATGCACCATTTGAAAGTTTCATGGAGTTCAGCGCATAATCCTGTTTTGCATAAAGAAGTCATTTAAGCGACAACTTCACCTAAAACAAATTTCGAGTCCCGATTCAGCGAGGCTCTAATCAAGTAAGCAAAGTACTTATTCAATTTATTACATACTTGCCTGACATAAAAGATTATGATGCAAATGTTTGAGGACCGAGTGCCTGCAATATTTAAGATCAAAGCAAGAAACCCTGCAGTGCAAAATAATTCGTATTCATCGTACATCTGAAAAATTCGTAATGATTGAGTTCAAAACAGGAATTTTTGTGAGCCTAGCGTGATATGGCATAAATTTAACAAATGGATTGCAAATATAAAGAAAGTCCCATCAAATATCGCGGAGATGATGACACCCAACAGAAATATTAGAGTGTGCGTAAATTATGGGCTCGGGTATTTTTCATTAATTTGTTTTTAGTTAGCGCATATTTGATGCATTTCAAGTGACTAAAAACCATTTTCACTCTAACAAATATATGAAACTGAAATATTCAATTAAATAAAAATTCATCACACATATTACTTACTTGAAATTCATCACTCATATTAGGTACCTACTTTTTTGAAATTCATCACACCTACAGATTACCAACGACAGAAGTTTGCAGCAGAAGTTTGCTGTGTGCGCCAATCGCACCTAGAATTTTTCCATTAAATAAATGTTACACGCTTTGAAGAATGCTAAATAAAAAACTGTTGTTCATCAAACACGACGATAAATTTTTCCAGAAATATTTAACACATTCCTCATGTTCTGTTAGTTAGCTAAATTCACTCTATAATATATGTTGTGGTTTTCATGGATACAACATCGAATTGGGAGGAAACGTAAAAACACTAGAAAAATCCCCGAAAAAGTTTACGATGCAACCAAAATTGACGGTTTGATGTTTCTGAAAATTCTGTGTATTAAGCTATCGGTAATGTTCGGTTTACAAAGAAGAGAAGGAACAATATATTCAATCTTGTTTGTAAATTAAGCTATAAAAAACTAAAAAATTTCTTTTGGGCAGTATCGTAATTATATACAATTCTGCCTTTACCCTCTGCAATACAGGTTTGAGCCGCAAAACCTTTAACTGAACACAAAACGATGAGCATGGCTCATTACAGGGAGTGGACAAATATTTCATTGCAGGTGACTACAGATCATGCCACATGTTATTGACGCTCCATGATGAAGCTTCCAACTCCACAATGAAGCTTCCAACTCCACGATGAAGCATCCAACTCCACGATGAAGCATCCAACTTCACGATGAAGGCCTAGAGGAAGCCTCTACTACGACAGCTTGCTCGCCACAAAGAAGACGCTCTTGTACTCTGTCTTGAGCATTGAGTTCGGGTTTTGAGCGTATGAAGAAGACACGTTCGTACGCTCCTCCTGACCAAGAAAATTATTTATCTTATTATTAATTACAATGCACTATACGACTGCGTTCAAAAACTAACACTTGTTATCAACTAGACAAGATCTAATAAATTCACAACTTTAGGTGACTTCATAACAGCCAAGATACAATTTGTCACAACGTTATTAGTCAATCAAATCCAACGAAGGCATGGCATCAGTGGGCACGGTATGACATCGGTGGGCACGGCATGACATCAGTGCGCGAGGTATGACTTCAGTGCGCGAGGTATGACATCAGTGGGCACTTCATGTCACCAGTAGGCATGGCATGACATCAGCGGGCATGGTCTGACATCAGTGTGCACGTCATGTCACCAGATGTCACAAAACTCACCGTTATGACGAAGCCCACTTTCTTGATGATGGCGATGAGATGGTCGTAGGAAGGCTCGAGACTCTCCTCGCCTTCCTGGTCGGCGTAATGGTACAACAGCGGCCCCAAGTTGATCCATTGCCCTCCTGAACAATAAGAAACACACTGAATATCCTCACTGAAATAACCCTGTACAATAAGAACCACACTGAATACCTTCACTGATAACCCGGTACAATAAGAACCACACTCCTTCACTGGCATAACCCAGCACAATAAGAACCACACTGAATACCTTCACTGACATAACCCTGTACAATAAGAACAAAAAAAAATGAAAATTACGCGTTGATCGACATTCGCATGCCTTCTGAGAATCACTTTGAGAAGAATAGGCTTTAGAAAATATAGGCAAACTTGACCACAAATTCTTATATGATCAAATTATAACTTTAATTACAGTATTTAGTATTGTATTTTACAGTATAAAACTTTTAATTACAGTATTTAGCCAGCTCCTAATGCGACAATGAAAAATATCATAATGTAATAACAATCATAATCCTTATATTATTATTAGGTAATGAGATAATATAATTTCTACTTGATGTGATCAACTGACCAGGTTTGAGGATGTTGTAAATTGTCTGGACGAAGCTGACGATGTTGTTGGCGCAGTCAATGAAGAAGCAGGTTGCCACGCAGTCCCAAGCATCCGCCTCAGTGTATATCTGTCAACACTAACGCCATTACATTTCGCAATATTGCTCAAAAACTCAATTGCCCTAAACAAATTGCTGCTTTTCACTCCTACAGCACTATTACAGATGCTACGAAAAAAGATGGCCAATAACAAAAAAATATATTAAAATCTCAATTGACCTCAGTTCGGAAGAATTTTTAGTTAGTTAATTGCAGAATATATTCATTCTTATCAATCCCATTCAGACTCCTAAGAAATGTGTCTTATTATAACTATCTTACCGACAACCTATAACATTCAATTTAGAAAAATCAAGATGACAGCGTCAGCAAATGCAACGATCTCAAAAGAAAAATTCCGCTGCACATAACAAATAACACTTTCAGGACAACATTGACATTAAAACATGAGATTGAACATAAAATTTTGCCAAACATAACAAATGAAGACCTCAAGGAAGTCGCCGGCAGCCATGGTGAGCTGGGAAGAGGGTGGCAGGTCGGAGGGGTTCACGTCGGGGAATTTGACGGAGCGGAGCTGGTCATCAGGAGACAGGACATTGCAGACCGAGTGCACCCACGGATAGATGCACAAACTTTCAACGCCACTCGATCTGCGACAGTGGAAATTAGTTGCCAACAACATGTCTTATTATTGACTTTAGTTATGCGTACAATGAATTTAATTCCAAGAGAGGAATTTTTGATAAAATATATAGTTCCAATGAATTTAGCGACAAAATTCTTAAAAATTACTCAGGCAGCATGACAAGATAAAAGAACGTGAGTAGCAAACATGATAATAATTATAGCAATAACAATGACACAGGTGCCGAGAAATGAGAAAAAAGTTTGTATTATTTAAGAAACCGGACATCTAACACTAGAAGCACCTTGAATTTTCTTACGACATTGAACACCGCAATAGTTCAAAGCATGGACCCAGAAACATGATAAGGGTACGAAGTAGTAGGTACTGCAGTCGGCTGATCTTCCAGAGAATTAATTTATTCTAAATTATTTTATTCCAGACAAGAATACAACTAAGATTTATTCTTGATATACCAGTGCTTAGTGGCTACTTATACCCATGAAAAAGACCTGTTCAAGACGAAGTTTGAAGCAAAGAGCATGAAGAGGCTGAACTCATTGCCCTGACAGGCATATCCTCTGTTGGCAAGCTCATAGCTCAGGCGCCCCAAGCCTGCACCAGGCACTAGCACGTTGATGCAACTCCGATCTCTGCAAATTAAGCAAACAATAAATCAGTAAATTACATTTCGAGGTAGTACAATACTACATACAAAATGTTCATGGCATTCTTTCTCTCATTGCAAGTTTTATTGAAAATACATAGTGACAAATATCAGAAGTGGATTAAAAACATTAAACATTTTGGAAGAGTTTCAAAATAGAAGAGGAAATTTATTTTAATGTGCGTAGTTTTTTCAGTATCTACTCTAAGGAAAGAAGATCGCAAACAAGCATAACAATCTAATTAGCCATAGAGGTATTAACACGCCTCACATTTTATCTTTAGGGTATTTTTTATCAATTATTTCCAGTATGGGCCCATAACAAAGGTCGCGCTCAGCCGCCCCTTCTGCCGTCCAATCTCTGACGATCTGACGCAGGGTTGTGTAGACTTTCTCCAAGTCAGATCTCAAAATTGGTCGTTTCTTCACACTGGCCTGAGAGAAGAAGATGGTGAATGAATCATCACCTGTAGCATTGGTTCCAAAGACTCAATAGTAAAAGTGGTGTATTATTTACTAACATTATACTATTCTGGCATCACTAAATCCATGGTCTATTTTACAACACTTCTCTTTAACTTCACTTCTTGTTTGTCTGTCTGTTTGTCTGTCTGTCTGCTACAAATCTTGTAATCAAAATTTAATACACTTCTACTTATCCTATCGATCTGAAATTTTGTACACTTGTGTAAAGTTGGAGACAATGCATGAATCAAATGTCAAAATAAATAAATGAGAAATTCATTGTACATTTGTAAGATTGAAGACACTGGATTCTTTAGAAGTGTTGTCTTTAAAAAGTAATTTTTAAATGTATATTATTAACTATCAACTCCAATAAATCTTCCTGCAATAAAAATGAAATCCTAATAAAAGCCTCTAAAAAAAATTGGAATAAACATCTAACCAATAGGTACATATTCACAAAATCTCTACAATTATGATACTTCATAAGAACATGAATTAAATCAGCACATAATGAAAAAAAATTTGGAAATAACACTGCCAGAGACACTTGGGTACAAAAAGCACACTAATGAGTCACTCACCTTACCATCTTCCTCATGTTGCACATTCTCAAACATGTTCTCAACATCATTGATGATGAGTTGCACCACCTCAGCGTTGTGGGCAACACAAACCCTCATCTCGGCCAGGTGTTTAGTGTAGTCACTCAGGAGCAGCTGCTGTTCTGGAGACAAACTCTTCACCAGAGCAATTTTTGTCTTGATCCATTCATCTGTCAGGAACCTGAAATTATTGAAAAGCATTTAGAAATATTTCCCAAGCCATGTGATTATTTTTTTGTCTCCAATATCAAGAATTGAGTAAATGAAAATAGCATGCTTCTTCACCCTCTCACGGGCAAGCATTGAAATTTACAGAAATTAAAATTTTGGAAACCAGTTCAAGAAAGTAAGAAGTATTGCATGAAATACTTATTCATATGTATTTTCAAAAATTTTGCATATTGGAGGTTTGAATTGCACTTGAAGAATTTATTTATTGCTGTCATTACACGAATTACTTTCATTATAATTAAAACATAGTTTATGCAAATGAAACAATTGAAAAAATTAAAAAATGTAAATAATTCAATTTAATCAAGTTACCTTAAATAATTAAATATATATTGATACTTCTGCCTTTTAAAAAAGGTGGAAAGAGCGTAAATTTTATCATCCAAGTAAAAATTTTTGTTTAAAAGCTCATATTTTAATTTTTAAGCATGGCAGGCGGTGATGCTATGGATGGAACGATGGTCAGATAATTAGTGATTGACTGAGGCAAGATAAGGAAGCCTCAAACACAAACAGGAAGCCATGGTGGGTCTCTTTTTGAGGTGATTTCAAGTAATCATATTTGGTAACTTCACTGACAAACAAGAATACACAGCAAGTCATTGACAAACAAGAATAAATATACTCACTTTTGGAGACGAATAAATAAAAAATTCTTTGGCCATGATAACCATCATTCTATGAACTATGAACCATCCAAAATGCCTCTTGGCATCCTCAGCTTATTTGTGGAGGTACAATATATGCAAAGGAGCTGCTTTAAAAATGAAAAAATTAGGAAAGCCTATTCTTGTAGAGAACTAAGTCTTGAAGCTTATTAGGATAGAATTACTGAACCTCAAACACTCACTTATATGACTTGAAGACATTAACAATGCGCTGGAAATGCTCTCTCTCCTGGATTTCTTGTTCAGTCTCATGATTTGTGGTAGCCATGGTTTAATATACAGATGAAATACACACAAATTATTGATCTGATAAATACTAATAACTCAATGGAAATGGAAAAAATTTACGATGAGTAATTTGTATACTTTTTTGCTTAGGGCTTAGAGCAAAGCAGCATCTGTTGGGAAGATTTAAATGGCTGAAGGTTTAAATTGTATTGTTTTAAACAATTGTATTCAAAAAGTATGAATTAACATCAATAATGTAACAGCAGCAATATCTTACATAAAAACATTTTCCCTCACGTTTGATTGATGAGCAAATGTTTACTAGGCAGTCAAGCCTAGCAAACAAAAATTTACATAAAGAGAAAATTTTTTAAATTTAAATATTTTTAATCATAAAAATTTAGCAAAAAAACTAAAAAATACTTAGCATAGCATAGCATGAATCGACGCAGATGATTCAGCCAACGAGGGCCTGTCATCAAGTCTCATTGTATTGCAGGAGGTTGAGTCTCATCTCCTTGCCTCTCTTTTAATTAATATAATGTTATATTAATAAGATTAATATAATGAATGACTAAAAATGCTGATACTACAAGGATGCATAAAATATTGAATGATGCAAACATAACAAAAATCAAAACATCTGTCCTGCAGCAATGAAATGTGAAAAAAAAAATACTCATCTTCCTGAGTGTCAATGCAAGCTAAGCCATATTTGTAGCTTGGAAAATAAATATTAGTTGTGTATTCAGTCAGAAGCAAGAATGGAAAAATCCTCCTTTTTTGGGAAATATTGTAGCAATGAAATCACATTGTTGCTGGGAGGCATATACCATTATGTCTGCCAACCATCTGCTCTCCATCTGATATATGTGGATGATTGATTATTGTTATATTTACTTTGGTAATTATTAACTGTCATAGGTATTTGTCATATTCTTCCTGTTATTTTCAGCCAGTAAATTTGCAATATTTCTTAACTTGGGTAATATGACAGCAATATTGAGCATTATGAAAAGCTGCTTATTTTTGCACAAACATGAGAGATGAATGATTAACTTTTAAGTGGAAGTGCCACAAGTTGTGGGCGAGTTCAGTTAATTTTGATCCTTTTACCTGTGATATTTTTGCAAGTGTTCCATAATTTTACCGCTTGCTTATCAGATTTTTACAATTTGCGCTTTACTGTTTTTTTAGGGTTTGTTGCAATTTTTAATTTACCTTTCATTTGGATAGAAGTTGTTCTTGAATGCTTTTCTTATGTTATTTATCTTCGCAACTTTTACAGATTACTCAAAGGGTTTACTATGAATCTCTATCAGCTTTTTATTTGTAAATATTTTACTGAATTAAATCAGAGTGTTATGGTTTTTTTCTGGTTGTTATTCACTTTTTTTGCTTACTGCCCACAACATGCTTGCTATCAGTTAATCTACCCAACTTGGTGGAATTCTAGAGGGGGTTTTAAATGACCAAAAACACATGGGTGGATACATGTCCCTCTCCAGCAATGATTGGTTGAGATGTCATCCTCTCTAGACTGTGATTGGTTGTGGGATCAAGATGTCTTCCCATCCAGACTGTGATTGGTTATGCAATACCATTTCCAATATGCTATGTGATTTTGGTCATCTAAAACCCTTCAAGAATTCCACTATTGTTGGAAATTTTTGACGTTCTTAAGTTGTGACATTTTGGATTCTTTTTCTCCATGCCTATCGTTAGGCATAGGTTTGTAAATAGCATAGTGGGCATTGTAACATAATGGTGACAGCACCGATTTTCTTGCACAGTCTGTATTTACCGCCATACCATCTTAATTCTATTTTTTGTTAGTGATCACTCTCAGTTTTCGTTATGTTTATTTGAGTTTAAATGCATGTTTGCTCTTACTTTACTTATGTCAAAGTTGGAATAACTTTGTCAGAACTCTGTCAAAGTTGTGAGGGACACTGCTTGTGTGTGCCACTGTCAAAGTTGGAATAACTTTGTCAGAACTCTGGTTCTGTCTCTGTCAGATCTAGAGGATCTGATAATTGATTGAAGAAGAACCTGAGAGGTTTTGGTTTGTTTATAATTGTCCAAATAACATATTAAATATTCATTGGCCAGGGAAGCATAATGATAAGACGTGTATCTCAGCGTAAGTATTAAAGATAGGTTCACGGGATACACTAGATAGAAGTTACAGGATCAAAGCACTGTATGTGCAGTAATTTTGGAGATAGAGTATAACAACACTGCGTGTTGGCTGAGTGCCAGAGTCTAGAGTTAACTGCATGACTGCAGCTGAAGGCTGTCTGCCTAAGACTGAGCCTGCTTGTCTGCGACTGCTATTCTAAGACTGACTGGCAGTCGGCTCTCCGAGCTTATATACGCGGTGACCCGCAAGTAGTGACGTCACAGAAAGTGACGTAATTGTCACTAATGACATCACGACCTGACACTTAGGAGGCACACTGACTTAATCTTAGGGTATTGCCCTTTCCTGTGGTATAATCACCTTGACTGTAGGCATAAACAACTTACTAACAAGGCATATAAACCTAAATTAAATTCCTCGATATATATATTCCTACATTGATAAGAGTTCAGTTCAGTTCTCTCCACGCCATAAGGGGCACAAGGCTTGGACGTCACTCCTCCACTGGGTCCGGTTTGCAGCTGCCTGCCGTGCTATGTTCCACGAGTTCCAGCCTGCTCGGTTTCTCTCCTCTTACACCATTAGTTCTCACATTCCAGTGAACGATGGTGAAAATGTTTTTGGGTGTCACTAGAGATCTTGTCAGGCGTTGGGCTTCCCTAAGACTTTGACCCATCGCCGTCATAGGGCCAATATTGGCGACCTCTGTTTCACCCGGGTTTACTTGCAATATGCTGTCCGTTGTTTCTGTAACAAGATTGTTTCTGAGAGTAGGTTGTTAGCCTTCTGCCCAACCCCCAGGCCTGGAGGGCCAGTGGTTTTCTGTCAGGGTTTCTTTCCCTTAGACTGCTTTGGTCCACGTCACCTTACGGTGTTCCCTCCATCCGCCACCCGGAGGACACGCCTCGTACGCTGTGCAGTCCCAGCGCGAGGACATTGATAAGAAGAACAGAGTTCATAAGAAGAACATAGTTCTTCTTACAGTTAAATTGATTATTGCTTTGGAGTCTGCCTCTCCTACTTTCATAATTTCCTTTTACATGGCCTCTCAAAGTTACAGCTTAACTGCTTGGTGACTAAAGATTTTAAAGTGGGTACAAGGCAGTTAATATAGTGACAGTGCATCTTACATTTAGGCTCATAGAGCTTATAATTTTGATTACCAATTAATTTACAGCTATGTATTCCTTTTGCTCACTAGAATAACTGCATATCCGGTGGCACACATCATTCAATTTTTTGGGGGGACTTTCAGTGACACAGTTTACAATACAAAGAGCCTTCAGTTTGTCATGGGACATGGTGTATAAAATTTTGCTTCTGTGAATGGATCTATTGAAACTTGTTGCAACATTTGAATAAGGTTGCTGTAATGCAGAATTGTAAAATTTAAAAAGTACTTCTTGCATCTGAGAAAATTAAAAATGAACTGATTCCAAAAAAAATGTGGGTTGTTAGTAAAATTGTTACTCTGCTTAGTCCATGGTCAGGATTATGTGCCAGGTGCGCGGGAATTTATATTGTCATTTTAACGACCTGCGCAGTGCGCCGTACGGCCCGTACTATGCCGGTAAAAAGCGCCGTGCGCCTTACTTTTAGAAAGCTAAAATAGTTTAAATATGGATGCGCGGCAATGCAACTTACGTAATCACACTGACCATACACACAAACGTGTAACCGCATTGTGTTGTGGTTGGATATGAGTTAACCAGATTGCTAACGCGTCAACTCAGGACTCAGGTTCTAAGAGTCAGCACAGTAATGAATATCCATTACTACGAATACCAGTTTGTACGAATACTACAAAGAAATTCTTGATTCTCCAGAGGCCGAGGCCGCAGGTATCAAGAGCCTTGCAGTGACTGGGCCTTGTATATTACACAAAACAGAAATCGAATCAAGTGAAATAATGTTCATCGTGGATCAACATTTAATTGGCAATGTTCCTGTGAAGAAATTTTCCGCACTCGCCTGGTATGGTTGATGTCGGTATGGTTTTCAGCACTCACACTTCTGTTGACCCTGAAGAGCTTTTCTGTAAAATATTTGGAGATTTCAGATCACAGTTTGGTCAGAATGAACCTGACTTTGCTGAGAGTGATTTTGGCTACAAAGCATCTGAAGAGGTTGGCTTTCATCCTGTGTAACATATACCTGCCTGTTTATGTTTGGGGAAATTTACTGGTTTTATTTTATATGTCATAGATCCAGTCATTCATTCATAGATCACAATTCAATTGGACATGAATGAATGACTGGACTGGTTGCGGCAAGTAGGGTATGAACCTGTACATCAATAGTACAATCCTGCATGCCAATGTTGGGACTACATTACCGACATCCTCCCGGCCGGCGAAATCGACACGATCAATACCTAATAACAATGCGCATAAATGGACTATACAAATTAGGTCAATATGGCATAATTACAGAGCGTAATTATACTATGTGATACAAATATGAATATATATATTTGCAAGATAAGTAAATGGTCTGTCGTTTATTTTTGCTTCATTTGAGTAATTATGGTTTCCAAATCTGGCCTAGGTTATCTGGGTGCATTATGTTATGTCATGTGTACTTTGAATGTGCAAAAATTATAACTATCATATGAAAATTGTTATGTAGGTTATCATAGCACAAATCACAATAGAGTATCAAGATTGCAGTTCTGCTGCCACCCTTTATTGAATTATCCCGCCTTTTTTCTAAAATTCAATAATCTCTCTTCCAGCAAAGTTTGCAAAATTCATTAGCTGCATTGAAATGTCCGGGACCGGGACTCCGGGTTACTTCTGACTCTTCTGCTTGTCAGATACGGAACATACGGTAATCGTAAACTGCGGCTATTAACCATACAAAATGTCAAAATACGGTGTTCAGTGTTGCCATATGACTTGGGAGATAATTTCTTCCAAAATAAAGTTCTAGATTTCTCATTCACCAAATTTCCGTATCAAGAAAAATCATATGTTATTGAAGGATAATTAAAGGCATATTGTACTGAGTATTGCGTCTGTTCCTCCACAAACTGCTCTTGTGCGGTGTAGAATTGATGGCCGGGATTGAACGAAGTCAACGAACTGCAGAAGTCAAGATTAAAGAACCACACGGCCACACAGCAAATCATTCACCGTCCATAAGGCGCTCACGCCCTGCTAATAAGTGCTAATTGCATAAAAAAACACAGGCACTGGAAGAAATCTATCTTAATTATAAATTTTCATTTTTATTGCAATGATGAAGGTTAATTATAGAGGCGAACAACAAACATTAATAAAAATGAGAATAGCTTCAGAGGGACACCTCATACTCGAAGTCGAAGATTGTTCAGCGTTACTTGAAATCTACAGACGATGTTGCCATTCCATTCAGATGAAAACTGTGTCTAAATCAGAACTGTTGGACGGCTCCGCGGCCCATGCCGAGTGCTGCGCGGCGTGGAATCGATGACCGTGATTTGCGCGAATGCCTGCGCAAAGAAAATATGATTAGATTGTGTTGCACGAACTGCGCTGACCTAGGGCTTCAAAAAACTATGTATGCGCGGGAAATTTCCCCGTTTATATACATCTTCCTGAGTGTGGTGCTAAGTCTGCTACTGCTTGGATGGTAAGATTCCTAATGTGTAAAAAAATGGTCACTTTGGACTTTTGGAGATACAATATTCCAATGCTTCTTTCAATTTCCAAGACTAATTTCCAAGACTAATCAATTTCCAAGACTAATTTGACCATAACTAAACTTTCCGAGTCCGACAGAGTACAGACAACAGCAAATGCCTCCGCAGATTGGTAGCTAAGTTAAGAACGTAAGAGTTATGACTGAGAACCAAAGTTATTTTAGGGCCTATATTGACATAATAATATGAGCTATATCACAGGCAAAATTAACCACAGCATTTTTAAACAGTCTGTAGCACTAACAGCATGAGCGTTATTTTTGAGGTGTTGTTTATATCGGATTGAAGGTGAAGCAGAAGGAGGCAAGGAGCCGCCGGCGCCAGCTGGCTATTCCAAGTTTTGAGTTAGTGTGGCACATGCAACGAGGGAGGCATTTTAAATATGGTGATGCGGAATATATAGTATACAAATTCAATCTATACTATAAATGAAGCATAATGGAATTCAGTGAGCAGAACATTTTAAAATTTTATATGTGTTTCGTTTCATATCAACATGTAAATTTGGACACACGAATAAAACATCTCGACACTTTTGCGTCCCGTTTGTCCCTAAGCAAAAAACACTGATGACAAATGGAAAGGAAATTTTGCTTAGCCAAGAAAGTACTGCCATGGCATGGTTGAATAAATACAAAGTTGACCCACGCGCAGCTGCGCCTTACTGATGTCATTTGTTACTCCACCCGTGATGTCATCTTGGTCGTTGTGACGTCACCGTGCGATTCAAACTGATTTGTAACACCTGTTTTGCTTAAAATAAAACTAGTTGCAATAAATATTTTTTGGGACCATTTTAATGAGGTGAATTTTTTACATGGTTGAACTAATACGTTTTTCCTAGTGCAGCTGCACCTCGCGGATGTCATTTGTTATTCCAACTGTTACGTCACCTTGGCTCATGTGACGTCACCTAGTGACGTCAAACTCAATTTTGTTTAAAATGATACTAGTTGCATTCAGTAAATAATTTTTGGGGCAATTTTGATGAGGTCACTTTTTTAAAATGCTTTCGAAGATGACACAAAAATAAAGTCTTGATCTACACTATTTAAATTTTGTGCCCACAGCGACGTCACTCAAGAGATGCGCAGAACGGTGAAAAATCGTCATCGCCGTGGGTCGACCTTGCTGTTGCGCCATCACTACCGTCTACCATCAATGGAATTAGGGTCTTATATGACCCCAAAAACCGGAAGAAGAAACAAATAAGACTTTTGTTCGACGCTCAGGTAAAAAATGGTGGTCTTACAATGGAAGTTCATTTTGGATGTCATGTGCGACTTCTATCATTTTTGGATGAACGCTTAAAATTAAATTGAGCAAAGTTGAAACGAGAATAATCTGCAGTGGTAACAAAATGACCTTAACTTCTCGTATTTTCGCACGTCTTACGGTTGCATCAGGCCGGTTATTCAACACACAATTTAGAAGTAATTGTTTGCCAATATGTACGATAATCTATAAAAAATAATTTTTTCACCGTTAATATTCCAATCCATTGTATCCACGAATAAAATTGCAGCTAATCTGCTGAGTAGAGCTATTAAAAAAATTATCGGGAATTAATAATGACGTCAATCTGAATTCATTTTTATATAAGTGAGGCCTTGAAAGATGACAGAAATTTTTGACAAAATCGTAGAACAGAATTCGACGTAAATGCTAAAAACAACGCTACCTACGCGCGATTTATAAATAAACTGCACTCAATTTTGATTGTCCTTCGTTAACGCACCAGTCATAACTTCCACAGGACCACAATACATCTGCATTCCTATTGAACCGACGAATTTCTGCCATCGCATTCTTTAAAATCTTCTTGTGAGTTTCAAATTAATTCCTAATTTTTCAAAAATCTCATAGGTGCAAAATTGAAATGATAAATAATCTTGCGAATGAGATGCCGCATCAATGAAAAATCAAACGCCTGGTCCTGTGCCTCTAACAAAGCTTGTGCTATGTACGGACAGCACGGTAGCTCAGCTGTGCGACTCTTTTCGAATAATATATGTTATAAACTACTACACATGCCCGGGTAAAAGGGTAAATAGAAATAGTGATGGTGCGATAACGTACTTTTTGTTACGTCTCGGACAAATTTATGGCCGGAACCGCGGCCGGTCTCGCGGCCGCCGAACTCCAAAATAGAAAAAACCTAGCTAATCAACGAAAACCTCGCAGGTTAGGTCCAGTTCGGAACAGGTTCCATTAAAAACACAAAAAACCTGGAAAACCCCATAAAAAGACTAAGAAAAACCTTTTTGGCCTCACGACCGGCCGCGGGTCGGCCGGCAGGTCCGGCCGTAAATTTGTCCGAGACCTCTTTTTGTTGGGGTGCGGCGGCTCTCTTTCTCTCTACGGTAGCCTATCACAAAACATTAATTTTTACAGTATTAACAAATCACACGCTCGAGATGCTATTTATAACTGCTATAGCTAACTAACAGAGAGGTGTATGTTGTTTTTAAATATAACGTTGGAACATAACAAGTCAGGACACGTTCGCTGATAAATGGCGCAATCGTGCTGACTGACAGGCCACACTTAGGTGTGCTCAGTGCTCACTGCTCACTGTCACTAGTGATCACTACGACTGCTTGCAAGGTTGCCCCGACTCCCCGAGTTGTGTGGAAGTTACGATAAAGATAGTTCAAAACTGACTTCTTCTTCACCTTCAAGTTTCAACCCGCCGCCACCACCAAAGATAGTTCAAGTGCCGAAAGTTCGGTGACAACTCAACTGAAAGACAACCACCAATCTTTTGCTGGTGCTGAGTTTAAAAGTAAAATTTGATATTTGCAGTGTTGTGTTCAGGAGTTCTGACCTAAGCTATGCCTCCTGCTCCTGGACGTAAGGCAACATGTGTGAGTTGAAATAGAGTTAATAATTTTATTAATAGTAAGGGATAAAAAGCATGCAATCCTAAATCTCAATCGTGGCTTGGCTTGTGAAAATGTGAACTTTGCTACACCAGCACCGGCAGCAAGTCATTATCATATGCTATAATTTCTATCAGCATCAACCATCAAGTTGTGATCAACTTTCACTGTGATTAACAATCAACATATAAGCCTGCCTATTAACTTGAGATTTAAGCCTATAGGTATTTTACGGCAGTACGGTTTGATACTAATGATTTATTTACAAAGTAGGGTAAACGCAGGATATTCCGACATCGTAGGTAATTCCGTCACCTCTTCAGCTTTTCCTTTATATTAACTTATTATTAAGCTTTGTTTTAGTTCCATGCATTTGTTGATGGTTGAAATGATGACGTCATGCATTTGCGAGTCAAAATACTGCAGAAACACTAGGTCTTGGCCATCTAGTGGGAAAATATTGAGATCCAAAGAGAGACAATGCATGCCACGTGGTGAGATCATCGAAAAATGTGTCAAATTTGACAGTTGACATGGCTCTACCAAATAGTGAATAACTGTTTTTATAGGAAGAATATTATGGTTTAAGACTTTTAAATATCTCAACTTAATCATCTATTAATTTATTTACGACTTGAAATCAGCAAATACAAGTATACTTAAAAGATTCCTAATATATTCACAGACGTATTTAAAAGTCTCAAACCATAATATTCTTCCTATAAAAACAGTTATTCACTATTTGGTAGAGCCATGTCAACTGTCAAATTTGACACATTTTTCAATGATATCACCACGTGGCATGCATTGTCTCTCTTTGGATCTCAATATTTTCCCACTAGATGGCCAAGACCTAGTGTTTTTGCAGTATTTCGACACGCGAATGTATGACGTCACCATTTCAACCATCAATGAACGCATGGAACTAAAATCTAAAACAAAGCTTAATATAAAGGAAAAGCTGGAGAGGTGACGGAATTACCTACGATGTCGGAATATACCGCGTTTACCCTAAATTTGAAGCGCTGACGCAATACGACTCACCACGTGTCGAATATTGCCACACAAAGTGACGGAATATATGGATTTGGTAGGTTTCCATTCTAAAGGCTTTTTAATAAATATGGCAACATTTTGTGACGTTTCATTGTTGCTGACGCGTCGTGAAGTGTTTTGAGAGTCATGTGAAGGCAACAGAACTTACGTAACGCATACGTTTTTTTTTATAGTTTTTCATTTCTCAATGCGTCCTTAATGTGTCGGAATATACCGCGTTTACCTATCTTACCATTATATGAATGTCAAATTTCAATGTGAATCATGATAAAAAAAAGTGTCTTTGACTTTTTGGACATTATAATACTAGTATCTGCACAGTTGCATGAACATGAAATTTAGGGGGATAGTATTAACTTCTCAAAGCAATGGAAAGTTGCCATCAAATTTTATAGATTACATTAATCTACAATTCTACATATAACATCAAAATGTGTAATGTATTCATTTTCAACCATTTCTTACAAGCACCACTCACCAGAATTACTACCTATATATTATGGGATACTCACCAGTCACCAGGGATAGCATGAACTATGAATGTATGATACATACTTTTTATAAGGTAATTTTAACTAATAATTGGATTTAATGCTTCAGGAAGGCATTGTTGTGGTGCTGGATGTGGGTCCCCACACGAGACTTGGACTGCCTATTGAGAAGACATTCTATAACAAAGCAAAGCTTTGCCTCATCAACATCCTCCAGAGAAAGGTTAGTTGCTTGCCTTGCTTCTGATTCATTGATGGTTTGAAGTTTTTCCAAGCATTGATGTTGCTTGTGAATTCTATTGACTATAAATTAATACACAAGCTGAGAATATTTAGTTGTGTATATATGCCTTATGTTTTGTAGCTAGGTATAGTTTTCTGCAAGTTCACCTGCTTATCTATTGTTGTACATTTAAATTTCTTTCAACATCAAAGTGATCTTAAGTTGAAACTATTTTATACTTATTTTGTACAATAATTTTTCAAATTTTTCTAACCATATTTAGCAAGAACTCTGAGGCTCTGCTTGCAAGTGTGTGTCTGTCTGTATATATATTCTATTATTGCTGCAACTATAATTATTTTTTCAGCATCTGTATGTTTTATTTTGTATTATCTCATGTCTACAGTCATACAAAATTTTAGAATGAATCAAAATTTTTGTCAGATATTTGCTGACAAATGCCGTGACAAAGTTGGTATTTTGCTGCTTGGCACGGATGAGACGGACAACCCACTTGCCAAGCCTGGAGAGTATCAGCACATAACAGGTAAACTATTTTAAAACTAATTTCTATTAATTTACCTGTTGCAAATTTATTATTTCATTTTAATTTTCTCAAAGATATCTATTGATATAGGTAAATAATATTTATACTATTCTTAGTATAAATAATTGCTCACTAAAACATTGCAAGCTATGACTGAGAAGGATTTTTGTTGCAATAAATTTGTCAGTAACATTACTGAAATGTGTATTGAAGTTGGTAGGCTTCAAAATATTAGATACCATTTTGTAATGTTCTTTTTCCATTGGATTTATCTCAATTCCTGCTCACTTGAATATTTATTCATTTTTCTGTTAGCCAAACTCCATAGTTCTGGTTTACTCTTTAATTTTAGTAGAATTCGAATCATTGGCATTTACTGTATTTTATTTCCCTGTGAATGTGGATCTTTTATTTAATGTAATCCTGAGTTCCGTTGCTACTCGGTACCACCCGTGGTTGACAGGATTTTGGTAGAGCTTATTTCCCTAAAAATTCTCCTGAGGGTAATTTTCATTCAACTAAACTCGCTATCTTTAGTTGGTTGGTTTTTGGAAATTTTAAAGGATAAAATCCATTTAACCAAATTGTGTGTGCAGTGCTGCAGTCACCGCGCGAAGTTGACTGGGCTTGTGTGGAGGCCGCTCAGAAACTCCCTAGAGGGTCTCATGCCGCTGACTGGCTTGATGCATTGGTCATCGCCATAGACCTACTCCACGATCCTATGTAAAAATAACTGCAATCTCTGTTAGAAGACCATTTACTTCAAAAATGGAGATTTCATGCTTATAGCTTTCATTACTAATATTCCTAAAGTTATTACAAGTCGAAATGTATACTAATCTTATTAAATCGTGGTAAACTATTTCACAGTAAATAAATTACAGTAAATAATCAAGTAGCCTGGTACCTAAAATTTATGGGTAATAAAAGTATCTCAAGTTTACGCAAAAATTGCTAACATTTTTGAAGAATTCTTTTAGTCATTTCATGCAGCAAATGTGGGTCATAATTTGTTCTTAGTTTTATTTCATTAGAAGTTTATTCTGTTGGATTTCTTGCTTTACTCTCAACTTGACCCTATTCTTGGAACAACTGAACTTTTGCGCGCCTAACAAACCCCATCTTCATGGCTCAGGGGCGATATTTACAGTGCTACAAAAATCGTTCTCTTGACGGACTTTTGTGCGGACTTTAGTGCCGACCAGACGGACGTCATCATCTCGAGCATAAAGGCCATTGGGGCTGACTTCAGTGTGATGTAAGTCTTAATCATTTTCAACCTTTGTCCAATTAGTTATGAATTAGAATCTGTGATTCCGTGTCAATCAATGACAAAAGATCAGTTTGTTTATAAGTTTTCCCTGTTTGAGTAGCAGCTGTTAATGGAGTAAGTGAGTTCTGTTTTAATTACATTCTATTTTTTCGATGTTGATCGCGTCTGAACTTTAAAGAATATTTTCTAGTCCCAAATGCATTTGGATCCTTCCTATGAATTTGATTATTTGATTATTTATTTATACAAGCCCGGTGTTTCTTTGTTGATCATAACTTTGCTCCTCGTGATATACCCTGAGATGCATTGTTTTTACCACAGCGTCAGTGCAATGGCAGAAACAAGTTAATCTTCTCAAATGCTTCCAGAAATTATTTTTAATCTAACGGATCTGGATGTAAGTGCATTAGTTATTGTCTTACTAGACAAGTTAATTGATTAATTAATGGTTAATTAGTGATTGGGTTTTGTTATTGAGTTGCCGGTATGAATGTGACTTTACACTGACGTTGTTTCCCTCCAGCGGCCCGGACGTGTCTGGCGAGAACCCGACCCAACTGAGCTGGAGTGGCAAACCCAAGACCACGGTTCAGCGTGCGGGCGAAGCTCTGGCTGCCAAAATCGTTCAAGCTGTAATTCGGTTATCTAGAAAATGAGCACTTATTAAAAATTAAAGTAACCGTGATTCTGTGCACACATATGCTTGTATAGGCGTTCTTAGTTTTCGTGTCTTAAGTTTCAGCGAATCACTGTTATCTGTTGACTAAACTTGGTATGTGCTTAGCCTTGTTGTTGTCCGTATAAGGCTTGCGTGTGGGCGTGTCGATCGTAGTTAGAATGATACTTGTTCAGGTCGGGTAGCATGTACTGTTAAACTTTTTATCACAGGCTTGGTTTACATTTCATTTATTTAGTAGAAAGTCGTTGAAAAACACAATTTTGTTGCCAGAAATTCGTCAGGCAGAAGAAGTGCAGTATTAGACGTGGAAGTTAAAAATCGCTATTGTTTGATCAATTTTTAGCTTCAATGCAATTAATCATTTGTCAGTCTACTCCGTATGTGCTGTTCTTTGATGATTTTCATGGGCATGATGTATTTTAGGTTGATGGGATCATTTGCAGCTTTGACGAAGCCATCCCGCAGCTTCTACTCTTTCAAAAGAAGACGAGTGGCAGCAGCAACTGGAATGCCATGCTCTCCATCGGTGAAGATCTCAGGATCCCTATAACTGGCAGAATTAAGGTAGAGGGATTTAAATTTATTGATACCAAACTATCAAGTAAAGGCGGAAGAAGAGAGATCACATAACCTTTAACAGAGAGGGCGTTTGAATTGAAACAGCACAGGCAACATCAAACACACAATTATCCTCTTAAATATTTGCAAACCAGAACGTTTTATAAAGCACAAGCATGTTTGTCCGACTAGATTGAAAAACATCAATTTTAAATTGGGTCTAAATTCTAATGACAGATGCGCCGGGCGACGCCTAACACATGGAAGCGATGCCACGCGACGGACGACTCGGTCGTGACCATCAAGGAGAAGAGCTACCACCGCACCGACGACCAGCAGACCGCCGTGCCTGAGGACGAGGTTATCGACGGCTACAGATACGGCACCACACTGGTGCCCTTCACCGGTGCGCTCTTCTCTGCATTAAATAATCATTGAATAATATCTTGGAGAGAAGTCCTGTATTTCAGAAGTCTGGTAATACCTTGTAGAGAAGTCTTGTATTTAGAAGTGCTGTATTTGAGAAGTCTTGCAATATCTCGTAGAGAAGTCTTGTATTTAGAAGTGCTGTATTTCAGATGTCTTGCAATATCTCGTAGAAAAGCAGCTGTCTACATGCTGCTATTCTCACTCGATGTTGCAGTTCTGTAAGGACAGCCGCATGCGATGGTGTAGGATGACTTTAGAAGTTTTTTGTTGGTTGGAGGAACAATTTCTGAAATATTCTGTACGAGATGATGTGGAAGAAACAAATAACGTATTTACTGCTGTCATTTATGTATAGCAGGAACTCTTTCATCATCAAACAACACAGAAACATGAACAGGGGCTTTAAAATTTTCGTATTTTGATGATGTTGCTCCTCTCCCACTTAAACGACTGCCATTTTAGGCATACCAAGCAATGGCAAAGGATTAGTTTTATACTTTCTTAGTGAAGTTTTAATGGAAGTAATGTATTTTACGGAAAGTTGAGCAATTTTTATACATTCTTTTTTCTTCTCGGATTGATTTTGGCTGAACGGCTGTGATGATTGATATCTTTTTAGATCTTATAAATTTTAATGATTTATTAATTACTAGTAATGGCTAACTAGCTTTAATGGTTAACCAGCTTGAATGATTAACCAGCTTAAATGGTTAACCACCTTTAATGATTAATCAGTTTGAATGGTTAACCAGCTTTAATGATTAATCAATTTGAATGGTTAACCAGCTTTAATGATTAATCAGTTTGAATGGCTACTCGGTTGTGTTAAGCTATCATTTTGGACGAGTTATCAATTATGCAGCTCACACAAGGTGGTTAAGTAAGCCGTGTTGCAGATGAGGACCGTCAGATGAACTACAGCAGCGGCGCAGAGAGCGCCGAGCTCTCCGTGCTCGGCTTCACGCGCTCCGAGTTTTGCGGTCTGGCCGAGCGAGCTGGCGATCAAGTTCTTCTTGTTACCGCCAAGGAGGGCGATGAGGTCAGCTTAAAACTATTGTTATTATACTCTGAACTAGTAAAGTATATATACTTCACACCATATACTTCACTTCACACCATAAACTAATGAAAGAAAAAACTATTTGTTAAATGCCATTTCCTTTTATCAGCTTCACATCTGCTCAAAGCTTGTCTTTCGTCAAAACGCTTGAACTATTTTAATAATACCATAAAATATATAAAATATAATATAATACGTAGATATTTCACTTCATAACATGAACTAACAAAAGAAAATAAGTGATTTACGTCAAACGCTTGAAGTTGGGGGGAGATGTTCTTCACTTACTATTGTTCCATAAAAATATTTAGTGTCGAGTGTTTCTCCTCATCTGATGTAAGACTTTAGGCTTAAGTGCTATAAAATGTTTCTTTTTCACTAAAACCTTCAATTTGATCGCTCCAATGATCTCACGGGATGGTCTAATATCACGGGGTGGTCTAATATCACGGGATGTTCTAATATCACGAGATGGTCTATCATCACGGAATGGTCTAGCATCACGGGATGTTGTTGTTGTTCGTTGCGACCGTCACGCTCGCCTGGGGGGGGGAGGCTCTGGTGGTTGCTGGGGAGAGGCTCTGGTGGTGGGCGGGGGGGGCAGGCACCTGAAGAGAGGGGAGATGGGCGAAGGCAGGGAGGGTGGCCAAGAAAGCCACTGCCTCCACGGGGCTGTCCCACAGTGAGGAGACGCTGAGAGACGTGGGGAAGGCGGGGCAGGCGAAGAGGTGCTGGACGGACTGGAGAGGATCCCTGCACCCCGGGCAAGCGGAGTTAGGGGAGCGTCCGATCCTGCTGGAATAGGACGCCAGGGAGCTGCAGTATCCCGAGCGGAGCTGGGATAGCGCCGAGCGGTAGGGGCGAGGGAGTGAGGCCTCCACTGATGCAATCGGCGGTGGCGGGGCTGCAAGTACGGCGTTTATGGCGTCAGTCGCCGCAACGCGGGAGGTGATCTCCCTGCGGAGGGACCGCTTGGCCTCTCCGTAGGCACCGGCAGGCATAATGCCATTACCCAAGAATAGTCTGACCAGGTGACCGAACCTCGACTGGATGGAGGCTTTCATGGGGCGGTCCCCCGGGGGGGGGGCAGAAACGGTGTGGAATGAGGTATGGGAGGGCTGGAGAGCGCTGGCGAGGAAATGGGCACAAGCCAGATCCAGATGCGTGGCTAATGGGAGGACGCCGGTCTCCTGGTGAAGATGGGTGATTGGGGCCATTTTGAGGCAGCCGGTGGCTAGTCTCAATGCAGTGTTTTGTATTATCTACAGGCTGGCAACTGCTGTACGTGAGGCAACAGGGTACCAGATGGGGGCCGCGTAGTTGAGGATTGTGCGCGTGATGGGTCGGTAGGTGGCAATAATGTCCTCCTTGGAGAAGCCCCAGTTGGCACCAGCTAGGGCTTTTAGGACGCGAAGAGAACCCGTCGCTTTCGTGGCGATGGCTCTTGCATGAGGGGAGAATGTGAAGTGCGTATCCCAGGTGACGCCCAGGATTTTAGGGGTTTTGTCCAAGGGGATGACGCCGTTGGAGATAGTGGCAGCAGGGTGGGATCGAGATTGGTGGGTGTCTGGTGTGAAGAGCGTGACCGAGGATTTGCCAGGGGCCACGCCCAGTTTCTTGGCCGCCGACCAATCCGAGACGTTCCGAAGGAGCACAGCGAGCTCAGCCTCGGCAGCGTCGAGCCTCGGGGACGACACGAAGAGGTAAGATCGTCCGCATATGAGGCAATGTTGGGGGTCGGAACTGGGATGTCGGAGATGAAGTGGTTAAAGAGGGCCGGCGAGATGACCGAGCCCTGGGGCACTCCGAAGTGAACAGCCCTGAAAGGCGACTGCGTTCTGAGGTAGAGGCAGGACGCCAGCCTGCTTCTAAGGTAGCAGCACAGCTAACGGACCAGGTTATGATGTAGGTCCGAGGCCGCGATCATGCTCAGAAGGAGAGGGTGGCCGACGCTGTCGAAGGCCTTCGGGAGGTCGACTGCAGCGGCGATTGTGCGGGCTGGAGGGCGCGTTAAAACCCGTCGCGATCTGGTGCGCGAGCGGGAGGAGGGCGCAGGGCGGTGACAGTGGAATGTCCTGGCTTGAAACCATGTTGCGAGGGGACGGTGGTGAGAGATCCTAAAATCTATGGGAGCACCACGGGAGCACCAACATCACGGGATGGTCTAACATCACGGGATGGTCTAACCTCACGGGATGATCTAACATCACGGGATGGTCTAACATCTCGGGATGGTATAACATCACGGGATGATCTCTTATATCGTGGTGGTCACGGCGTCTAATACGACCCTCGCGTGCACAGGACGCAGCAGTGGCGCTGTCTGCGGTGGTGCAGGCGATGGCTGAGCTGGACGTGGTGGCGGTGGTGCGGCGCGTGTACAGGCGAGGCTGCAAACCCGTACTGGGGGCCCTCTACCCCAGCATCACTCAGGACTATGAGGCAAGACATGATTAAAATATGCTATTATTCCCATAATTAATTTCATTCATCGTCATTCAGCACTGCAAGGCAAGACGCCCTGAAAATCATTCCTTATTCCCATCCTTAACTTCATTTATATTCTAGTCTTCTCTTGTTCAACTTACGTCTTAGTATCCTTGCGATTTCTGGAGTTAGTTGTGGGCTAAATCTAATACTTAATTTTAAAATGTGTAATTAATTTGCGTGGACAGCCAAACGATAGAGATTTCGCTCTGAACTCGAGCAATTGAGTGCGTGTGATAACAGATTAGATGCTCGCACACTAACTCTTCGCAAATATTTAATCGGTGCTTCCGTCGCATTTAACGACAATGGTACATAATTGAGAGAATTTTAGCAAAATTAGGTGAAATGCAATGAAAGATCTTCAAAAAAGTGTCCAGTATTATTGAAACAAAACAAGGGGAAAAAGAATAGAGCAAAATATTAGTTATTTGAAAATTCATATTCTAAACTATCGAGTTGTAAGAACCCAAATTCACCACAATTTTAGAAAGCAAATCTAAATCTGGAATATCATATAATGGAATATTTCACGTCCTCTCTTGGTTAAAGAACGGATTTCCATCAGGTGCAGTGGAATATTTAAGTGCCCCTGTTAAAGTTGCACTTAGTGACTTGTGCATCTGGCAGTACTTCTTGAAGTAATCTCTTTGTTAATAGTATTATGGGATCCTTAAATTTGGAGAGATGTTGCGTTTTAAATGTTTTCTTTATATCATTTATCAACTTGGTATGAACTTCTAATATAACGTCAACGTAGTGCCTAGTGTGAATGACGGTATTGATCAAGTACTTTCTAATATTATTATGTTTGTACGATTCTCAAGCTTGAGAGATATTAAGTTTGAGATGTTTTACAACGCAGTGCCTAGTGTGGGTGGCGCTGCCGTACAGGGAGGACGTGCGAGCCCTCGCGTTCCCTCCCCTGCAGCGTCACGTCGCCAGCCTCACTCAGCAGCAAACGCACGCCATCGACGCCCTCATCGACGCCATGAACCTGAACATCACTGACTCGTGAGATGTTGTGGTGCATCAGTGAGATGTTGTGCTGCATCAGTGAGATGTTGTGGTGCATCAGTGAGATGTTGTGGTGCATCAGTGAGATGTGGTGCATCAGTGAGATGTTGTGGTGCATCAGTGACTTGTGAGATGTTTTTAAACACTGATATGCGGCTTTGAAGTGCTAATTAAAGATTAAAGTTTGTGTACAATCTAATGTGGTTTCGATTTATCAAATACATTATTTGTTCAATTGCAGTGAGTTAATACTAGATTAATTTGTCAGCTTAGTAGAGTCCGCATGTAGAATGTTGACTTAGGTTTTCAATGATTTGCAATTAATAAATTTCCTTTCAAGACTGTATTCTATATGAAAATGTCTAATATGCGTTTCTTATTCAACAATCGTCCATGAATAGGCTATATTCTTACTGACAGTGTAATTTAGTTTGAAGAAGTTTTACATAAAGCCTGGTCACCTCATCTTGTACACGCACTTCACTATTACGTGTTTGGGAGCTGTGCATTATTTACATGCACAGTACTATTACTATTACTATACTATTATGCACAGTACTATTACTATTACTATATTACTAATACTATTCACTATTACATGTTAGGGAGCTGTGCATTAGGTAAACTCACTTCACTATTACGTGTTTGGAGCTGTGCATTAGGTAAACGCACTTCACTATTACGTGTTTAGGAGCTACAGTTCCGTTGTTCACAGTGACGGTGACGCTGAAGAGCTCCTCGACCCTGAGACCGTCCTGAACCCCCACCTCCAGCACTACTACAACTGCCTCACCGACCGAGCCCTGACCCTTACCCGACCCCTGCCTCAACCCCACTCTCACGTCACAGTCAGTATGGCAAACCCTAGCATCTTCAATTTCGTTCTCCTTCACTAATGAAACGCAAGTTCCTTTTTCGGTTTTATGATTATAACATATCATAACATAGTGATTTCGGCGCTGAAGAGTACCTAGGCCTGATGTGGCCTGTCGCCGATTCTTGTACTTTTCGTGCCTTGTTCACAGAAGATCTAAAATCGTGTCATTTGACCGGATTTTTTCAAGGCTGACGATAGTTTCAAGTAGCTATTAGACTTCCACCGGGTTCGATATTGTGCTAGGCATTTCAATTCTGAACATATATTTTTCCATAGCATTATCTAGTCTGTTCTTGAACGCGTTAATTTTGTACTCATTCACTCCTGATTCTTATTCTATCGACAACGTTATTATAAGGAATATTGGAGATTGAAACTAATTTGTAACGTTATTTCTTACTTGCAATTTTCACCAGATTTTAAATTATTAATTGACTTATGAAAACTTTTCCAATTCTCTTATATTTATACATAAAGTATTACGGTTGAAATAAAAGACTTGCTTTTATTTAATTCGTTCCATGTTGCAAACTTCATAAATTAAGCGAAATATTAGCGAATTTAAACCCAAGTTATATTTTAATCAACTCGTCGATACATACCTATATTTTTAAACTTGATGACGAGAAGACAAAATCAAAATTATTATTCACAATTCTTTGCACTGCAGGCATTGTTGTCGGTGCCTGTAGAGCTGCGCGAGGCTCTGGACGGCGTCACAGAGCGGCTCGTGCAAGCTTTCCCAACCACCAAGATCGTGAAGCGCACCAAGAGGGAGCGACACGACTTATTTGGGGCGTGAGTTATTTATCTAGACATTAATGACCTGCTTGGTATTAATTATTTATTAAAAAAGGGTTTCCTTCGTTTCACTTCTTTTTAGGCAATGTGGCGGCTAATTCATTAAATATTAATCATTTTACAATTTGCCTGTCTAAACTATTCAGTTACGCTTGTCTCTTTAATATTCAAAGACGTGTACCAGTGTATAAGCTCATTTAGTCTAGCAATGTCCTTAATAAGACGATTCCACAGCGGCGATGATGCCAATGAAAGTAAACGAAGTCGGGGAGACGAGGACGAGAACGTGGAACCTGGAGGCCCCACAGCGCCGCCTCCCGTCACCCTGGGCCCTCGCGTGGACCGCGTGTCTACGGCCACGCCCCTGCAAGACTTCCAAGTCCTCCTCTCGCAGCAGCCATTCAACTTCTTCGCGTGTAAGACTGTTTTTTTATTTGCTTCTACAATCCTTTCTGTGTGCGTGTCTCACACAACTTCTTCGTGCGGAAAACCGGTTATTTGTTTGCTCGTAAAATCTTGTTTGTGCATTTGTCTCCTAAACATTTTTCTGGTGGTTTTGATGATTTCCCGTAGAAGTGCTTAGAATCTTGTGTAAAAAGTTATCAAGGTCAGATTTGATTTAAAAACTGATTGATTCTGCAATGAAGTTGAGAGCTTGTTTGTTTGCGCTGTTTGTGTGAATGGATAATTCTGAACTTGAATTTCCGTCAAAGCTTGACCTGCAAGGACGAAAAAGAATTTTTTGATCTTATAACATCTACCACTTGATAAGGAATCGTATGAAATTTATTTCAGTACCTGTTTGCCTGCTATTTAGAATAAATTAATGACGTTAAATTTTTTTTTAGCGCCTAGTTCGGCGGTATCGTCTTGTACTAGTGTTAATCTAATAAATAATAACAATCGTAATGAAAGATTTACTATTATTCAATTTATTTTTTGTCGAAAACTCCATAAATTTAGTGAAATGATTTGAGTGTCATTATTGTGTGTTTTTACAGTATGTGACGACCTCGGCGAGGTGCTGCTGCAGATAGTTGAGACGATCTCCCAGGGCTTGCTGTCCGAGTCGTCGCCTGCTGAGCGCGCTTCTATCGATAAAATTGTGGCTTGCATGCAAGGTTTGGTCATAACGAAAGTTTCTGCCAGTCATTTTTGTGCTTTTTTAGTGATGGAATAATTTCACATAAGTGAGATTATTTCTCTCCTCTTAAATTACCTCTGGTAGGTTTTCATTCCGAGATCCTGCTGCTTGGTACTCTAGTCCCAATTGCATTTTCGTAGTATTATTTTTGATGATGCAGTTTCTCCTGAAGGAATAATCTGCTTGAACTTATCTTACGATTAAAAGATATTTGGTTTCGGTAGTTCAAATCAATTCTTCATCCCGCAGCGTTGCGCAAAGAGTGCGTGATCATCTCGGCCGACACGTACAACTCGTTTATAAGGTCGATGCACGCACTCTGCCTGGGCCGCGGTGTTCTCAACAAAGTTTGGGGACGTGTAGCTGAACTTCAACTTGGGCTTATCACTTCAGCTGAGACGCCCAAAAGCTCAGTCGATCAAAAAGAAGCCGAAGACTTTTTGTCCGTGGATGTCCCTTCGGTTACAGCGCCGTCAGAAGCTCCTGCAGCACAGATGCAGGACTACGACGACTTGGTATGGAAACATCACTTTACTGTTATTCATGAGGTTGCTTTTTAATGCTTGTTATTTATTAGGCCTCTGTATGGCTCGTGTGCCATCAAACTTTTTCCGTTGTGACTAATTGCTGTACATGAATACTTATACGTTTTAACTTCTTGTCTTGCAACCTGATGCAAACTTAATTTGTTCTCGTGTGAGTGAAAAGGAGGAATAATTCACTCACGCTCTTTTTCCCCTCAACAGTTGGACGACCTGTGAGCATTTGGGCAGCCACAAGATCTCGTTCAAAGCCACCACAGGAGACCTCGTTTGGTGATCGAAATGACACGATGGCTGAGGTCAGCGTTGTTGTTGGATTAATTATTTTAGCACCTCATTATTTGACCGCGGCGTTTCACGAGCGGAAAATGATAGTGAAGATGAATCACTTTGTGAAGCGTGTTGTTTCGTATTCTAGTTTCATATACGGCCACTCTAGAGTTGGTTATTTTGTCATAGACGTTGCTGACACTTTATTCTCGTAATCTATGAAGCGTTACACCTTTCAGCAAGATAATTCACGAAAGAGTATCTAAACCAGAAGGAACTTGTATCCCGTAATTGCAGATTTTTTAAATACTATTAATTTGGGGAAAGCTCGCACAGTAAATAGGCAAGTCTCCACATGAGAGGTTTGGTGAGAATTAGCACAGTGACACTTCATGAATGGTTTATACTTTCACCTGCACATAATATACTGTACACATAGAATAAAAACTCGAACGAGACCACATGAAGCCTGGCCATTTCTGCTGGAGATACCAAGATTTGAGATACTATGAGCCCAACGAGATGTCAAGATTACTGCACATTAAATATTAAATTTACAACAATTATTTCAAAATTTTACTTACTCCGTGAATAAAAATGTCCAGTATTAACTGGAATAATGATTCACGAGTTCATTTTTTTCCGTTGAGATAATATGCTCGTGAAAAACTCGTCGAAATTTAAGCCTGAATATCTAATGAATAGCCAAGGCCCAAGGTAAGAAAATAATATCAACAGATGGAGTAATTATTACACGAATACTCGACAACTATGTTGAGTATTTGATAACGGCAGAGATTGAGAATTTCAGCTATGGATGATACTTGATACTGCGCAAGGAAAACACTGAAAATAAATAGTGCATAAAAAACTATTTTTGACCGGCACGGGACATCCTAACCAAAATTCAACTGCTTCTAATTAATCAATGCCCCGTTATCTAGCGAATGATGTATTGTTACAACATGAATGCGGCGACTCCTTTCATAGCTTAAGTGTTAGCGATAAAAAAAAGCACACGAACATATTTTCCATTAGCCACACATAATCTATGCTGATGGCGAAGTTCTTTAGCTTAAAATCATGTATAATTATTTGCAGATGCCTTACAAGCTTGAAGGAAGATATTTATAAACTTACTTTACAGGGCGACATACATGGAAGCTATAAATCCTTTGAATCTTTCTCGTGGCTTCGAGAAAATTAAGACGATTTATAAATACCTTAACATATGACAGTTGTGTACAACTTCGAGGTAAAATAGTATGATTACCACAGGTCTACATTAGCATGCCCTCGACCAACTTGTATCTTGAGTCATGCATAGGGTTTTGCTTGATCCATTTATTCGCTGTTTATATGTAATGCCTAACCTGATATGATTGATAAATAATTACCAATAATAATGATTTCCCGTTTTTTGTGTAATTAAATTGCTTTTTCGTTATAAAATAATGGAATCCAGATGTCTCATTCAGACGTATGAAAACATGTATGCATATTAAAATGACTACAGCCATTTCCATGTCCTTCGAAGACACGATGTGAACACAGTTATTCACAGGGGACATAATTGTCATTGTGAATATTCGAGTAATATTATTTTTATTATATGAATTTTCTTCTCACCTCAAATAAAAAAATGTCGCTAAAAATCAGCGCCAAAAAATAAATAAAAATGGCATCTAAATCAATTCATTACTAAACAATTGTAGAATAAATTGCAATAAAGAGATATCAAAGTTCTACATGAACGTCTTGGCCGGCGACTGGCGGAGGTTTTGAAGGCTGTGAAGTTTTTTTAGAAGACGTTTCCTTGTGTCGGGCGAGGACGCTCTTGATGTCCTGGTCGTACTGCGTCCACTCGTCGATGATGCGCTCAGCGGCCACCAGCTTGGCTTCCTTCGTTTGCGGGTTGTTACACTGACCAAACAAACACTCGTATATTTGGTGAAGAAATACTGAAATGTATATTTTATGTACCTACACTAAATAAACGGTAGACAAACATTAATATTCGTCATTGGATGAAGAAATAATACGGTAATGGTAAACGAACATCAATACTATAGTCAGAGGACAATGGAACCTGATATGTGCAGCATATACTACATATACGGTGAATGATTCTGTCATTCTATATGAATGCTTTTGAAATCGTACAGTCGTATACACTTCAATGAAAATTAAATATTATGAATCAGATGGTAGTTATATCAGCAGGAATGTCGTACCACATCGACATCGTTCACGTACCACATCGATGACCTTGGCGTATTTCTTGCTCTCGTCATCACACCAGGTCTCGCACCACAGCCACTCCATGGGCAGGGACTTGATACGCACTTGATGTATCATGTTGTTCGGGAGGTCCTGTTAGGTGCACGCATCAACCTCATTAACGTTTCGAATTATAAACACTTCTCCAATAATTAGATGGAGAGACAATTCAAATAGTTCACGAGAAAAATACTTGTTTCTGATATTTAATGAGAAAATAGTTCGAAGGAAGACTATACACGACACTGGAGCCAAGTCATCCTGGTAAGGCTTGCAAGACACAGGAGCTGCGATGAAACGCCAACCCTAAACGCAGCATCATGATTCAAGCGCCTCGCTCAATTTCTAGGGTGAACAATGGCTTGTGTCCGCGCTGCCTCGTATATTTTTGTCGTTACTGATGAGTGATGAGTGGCATTCGTGCGCCAAGTGAAAAATAAAACTAATGAAACTCTGATCATAATTTACTAGAAGTTTCGATTACTCGTAAATTTGCGATTCGAGCAATCACGTGATCGTAGTACTTAAACGTAATTGAGTTCTAATGAAAAATGTCTTCTAAAGCAAGTGTGCTTACCTGATCCAAATTAGACAGAGAATTAGGGTCTTGAGAGAGCCCTTGGTACTGCCCCCTGAGGCGGTCGCCCGCTGCTATGCGTCTGAATTTACGCAAGTCCACAACAAAGAGAGCTGAGATGTGGTACTTGCGCCCGCCCAAGTGGTTGCGCCAGTAGCCGTGCTTCCAGAACCTGGCAACCATCGAGACATCAATCAACTATCTAGTCCATATTCAATCTAGCCCTGTCAATGAGGGATCAAAGTCCAAAGCAAAGTCCATTCATAGAGAATTTATTCATTATTAGCCGATTCCCAATCAAGAAACTCTACATGATGCACAATACAAAACCATTTTGAATGATTTTACTTCCTAAATATAATTTCTGGTTCTACAAAAAAACTGTACACAAGCCTATTGCACAAAGTACTGAACGCGTTTACCGCCTTGAATATGCCTTTCTTCTCGATGAATAGTTGGAACTACAGCGCACGCACAGTCCAAGACGTAAAGCTGGTACTGACCTGAAGCCTTCCATTTCTTTCCTCGAGTCGCAGAAAGGAACGAAGCCATATGGGGCTCCTTCCAAATTGAGATCGTGAAGCTCTTTGATGTCAGCTCTCACGACCTTGAAAATAATTTAACAATCAAAAAACGTTCTCTTGTATGTCTCGCTAATTGCTCACCACGACCTAAGTCACACATATTCACAGTTAAAAATTACAATCAATATTCTATTCAATAGTATCCAATACTTTTCACAATAAGAAATGAGACAAACATCAAGGAGTGACGGGGCAACTAGTAATCTGGTTATGTATAGAAATAGTTCCTTAACACGTTGACTCCGAAGTGGTACATATGCGTACCACTTATTGTATTTCTCCAGGACGTAGTGATACATAATTCAGGGTTGCCAGATAAAGTAAAAAAAGGGCCAATTCTTAAAAAAAAGCCAGAAAAGGCCTGTAACTCAATATATACTACTAGTATATTTGTAGGTTCCGGTGTAAAAATTTCTTTTTTTTTTGCAATTTTTAAATATTATTTAGGAAGTACCCCTATCATAAATTTTAGCCGACCAACGCAATTAAAAAATAATAAATCGCGAAATTTGTCCGAAAAAAGACCGTCTGTCAACCCTGTTTAATAATAGTACAAAAATGAAATAATAGTAAAAGATGAAGCAATCGGGGTCAACGTGTTAAGTTACTGGAAATATAATTTACGGCTACCCACCTGATCCGCGTCAACGAAGATGATTTTCTTGACATGGAGCGGGAAGAGGACGTCCAGAAACAGGATCTTGTAGCCCCAAATGATCCTCTGCTTCTCTGTTTGTTGGTGCAGCCAGCGCGGCCACTTGTACTGCACCAGCTCGTACGCGAACCCGTACTCTTGGGCCAGAATAGGCAGCGAGTCCTGCACAATGTATGTCACATTGAGTCATATTCACTGAGCACTTAATTAATATAAAAAATATAACTCAGTACTCACTGCAGTGAGTGACAGAGCGCATTTTCTCGTCGACGAAAACATGAAGTCACGGACGGACGGGCGGACGGACAGACGGACATGGCAAGCACAATAGTGCATATTAATCATAAATGAGAAAATGCGCTAAAAAGGATTTCTCATATTAAAAAAAAATATATGGCCACGAAGATCGAAATCTAATCCCTACTAAAAAAACAAGCATTTCTTGACATTTCAGCAATAAACAGCATAAAATTGTTATACAGTCGCCATACGAACATGATAAGTGGATCACATCGTAAATACCCGAAACAAGGACATAGGTACTCGTTCTAACAAGAATTCTGCTTACTCTTCAGTAATTCGTGTTCAGCAAATAACTGCGAATTAAAAATTTTTGATATTATAAAACAGGCTCATTACTTGGAAAATTTTAGAATGGTGAAAGAAATCAAGCGTACTTTTAGCGATGGTGAAAGGAAGTTTTTCAGGAACCAGAACTTGACGGGCGAGTTGGTGTGCTTGCGGACGGACACCATCATGATCCTGAGGAAGCGTTCGTACAGATGACCGGACGCCACGCTGAAGATGTTTATGGTCTCACTGGAGTCGCCGGAGACACTCGCGTCACTGCTTTCTTCTCCCGAACTGAACGTGCTGTTATGGACAGACATTGTGACGAGCATGCAACCAATGTTGTTAAGAACGTGCAATAAATAATTATATGGCCGAGTGTAAATTTGGTGTGTGGAGCAAAGGCAGTTATGACCATACAATAAATCCTCTCGCCACTGGGTGCAAAAGTTAATATAAAATAAAACTCAGTGATAGAATTTGTCTATAAATAGAGCAGAAACTGGTCAATATGAATTTTACGGCAAAACACACAAATCACAAAATGTTGGTCAAGTTTTTATTTCAATACACATGAATGCTGTAGCGCTTGCACAAAAACGAAACAGAATATTCCATACACAAAGAGTGAAGAAATGTAACACAAAAAGTATAATAAGTATGTATGAAAGTAATAAAAATTAAGAACACAAAGCAGGAAACAAATCAAGGATTAATGCACAGTAGGAACTTAAGCTCATCCAACACAGGAGTAACAGCCCAGGAGTAAAAGAATACGATTAGAATAATGGGGCGTCAGCTAGAGTAATGCAATTTTGTAGACCTCAATGATATTGTAAATTAAATGTTTTATAGATTGCATTGCGAGTCGCCGTATCTAGTATGAACCCAACTACTGGAATATCCCGAAGAACTACAACTGAGTTGGGCGGGAGTTCGATAATAAACGAGGTGCGAAGTAACTAAGACGAGCAGCATTAGTTTTGTGGCGGTAATTCGTGATTATTTAAGTACCTGGGAGCGAGGAACACGTGTCGCAGCTCGCTCATGAGACTCGCCCACTCGCTCACCACAGCACCAACCAACGGCACCCTACAATATCATTAATGTCATCTACAACCTTGCTTTTTAAAGAGTTATTCCCTCAGCGGCCCAAGCATAACCGTCAGGTAATTGGTATCGATCTGTAATAATTTTGCAGTGTTTGGACGCAGTAAGTTTTGGTGGCTAGTGGCCAGAAAGCTAAGCAGGCTTTCCCCAGCTAAGCAGACTTTGAATGAATACAAAATTGAATGAGGAAGCTTTAGGACATACGTACATAAAAGTCATGAAGAGAGAGCAATATTAACTTGATTATCAGCTCTATAGACGAGTATGAGCGAAGACAAGAGTAAATCAAATTTTACCGATCACATGAAAAACAAAGTTTGTTAAGAACACGACGTTAATTGTGTTAAATTGATGAATTATTTGTAAATAAATTGCAACGATTAGTCCAATATCCTGATCTAAATAAATGAACGCTTATCAAAAACTATTGTTTCGTGTGGAATATTCTATAACATTTCGAGGATGAACAGCTACCAGTCCCTCTTGTGTCCGAAAATGAAAACGATTTATTGAAATAAGCGAGATTTATTCAATGATTTACTTCAATGATTTATTACTTACTTTAATGATTTATTGAAGTAAGCGAAATTTTAAATGATGTGTGTTGCACGTGATGAACTATTAGGAGAACACGCAAAAAAATATTGAGCTCGTTCGCCATGAGTGCATGATTAGAAGACAGCCATTAAATGAAGGCAAGCATGGTTTCATGTTCCTAAGCACCAAATAAGCCCAGAATATAAAATCAAATTAGCAATCATTACACCTATTAGCCATTAATACGCAATAAAATGTAAAATCATTGTATAAAATTGGCTTAAATTTCCTTTGCATTTTAGGTAAAAGTGATATGAAATACGAGTACACATAAATCGTATGGAAGAGGGCCAAGTATATATTTGACTCGCCAATATAAAATGAAAAAATTGCAGCTAACTTAGCAGAAGGGAAAAAGAAAAACCATGTTAATAATAAAAAATTTCTCTCATCAGGTAGGACAAGTGCAACCTATCAAAAAAAGTCCACCACATAAAGTTATTTTCAGTCAGGAGTATAAGATTACAAACAAACAAATAGCCGTAACAAATATTAATTAACGATCAACAATAATTTAATTCATGTATAATAATAACAAGAATAACTATCACCGTGTGTTTTACAAAGTGGCATATTAAAATACACCGGAGGACACACAGAAAACTTTGGAAGTCCACAGTAGGTCATTATGTTGGTCTAATTCAAGTAAGTCGAAGATTGTCGCAAATAAATATTAACAAAATATGTGAAAATCAAATGAAAACCACCGATAACCATGCTTCAGTTCATGCTAGACTGAGTTACTGGCCTCAACACAGTCCAGAAAAATTAATTCAGTCAAATTCAGACGTCCTCGTTCAAGTTCACTCTAATGCACTGAATTCGTCGTCCGTCCTCCTCATGTCGAAAATAATAAGCAATTAATAAATGAATAAGTAATATATGCGTAAGTAATACGAAAGAGCACAAATAAGTAGCTGACCTGGTGATGGTGTTCCATAAGCCTCCAGCCTCGTCGTCTTTATCGTCCTCGTTGAGGAGGTCCATGTCTTGTTTGCCAGGCAGCTTGGCGACGCGCACCTTGACCACGTGCGACCTGAAGGAGCTGACCAGCACCTGCACGGCGCTGCTGCCTGACGGCGTGTCCGTGCCTTCGTGGCTGCACAAACACAGGAGGTAACAATACCTTCATATTAAGCAGGGGCTGTACTGTGAAAACTCGCTCAGGTCGGAGAGTTTTGGCTGCCATAATATACGTATCGTCCTCAAAACTCGGCTGCAAGTAAACGTTGAGCCCGATTTTATGTCAGTGATTGGTGGGTTTAGCTTGCAAAACCGTCAGTGATTGGCTGACGGAGAATCACTGACACAATCATACAATTCATAATTATTTTTGCTGGTATGGCCCCAGTTATGGTGAATGTCCGCACACATTAAGAAGACAAGGTGAAAATAATTATGAAGAAAATAAAATTTATTAAAACGCTGCAATATGATGATCAATCAACCGACACCTTCGAAAATTGCACACTCAAATAACCACGCGAATACTTTTTCTTTGGCGCGGAAAGCGTATAAAATAAGAACTAATAAGAACGAAATATAAGAAGGCGGCTCACCTGGTAATGCCGTAAAGGTCTTTAGATCGACCTTCTCTCAGGTCCAGGTGCCAGGCGCCTGGGTTAGCTTTCAGTTGGAAATATCCCAAGTTCGCCATTACAATTGTGTCCACCTAAACAATCCGATACATGAATGTGAATTCTGAAACATGTGAAAACAATTCTAACCAAATATTTCCAGAATTGTAAACATTAGTTAGACAATGTAGCCGAACTTTAAGTTCGGCAGGTACAGGGTTGGCTGTGCACATCAGCATATCACAGATGAGAAATCATTTGTCATGTCATTATTGAAAATAAGAGATAAATTTAGAACCAATTATCGATTCTCAGAAGTAAATGAGAGCAGATTTAAGTCTTTAATTCTGCATTTCCTTAGCGCTTTCGCCTTAGTATCACCTCACCATGACAGGGTCATGTTGGGTGCCGAGAGTGAACTGCAGGCCACGTGGAGGGTTGCCGGTGCTCTGTTCAAAACAATGGCCTTCAACGAGTAGGTTTTCCAACTCGTACTCACTGAAAGAGCAGTGGGCATTCATTAAAGGTTTTTACTCAGGTGAATATTAGATGTTGACTTTATATACGATTCAAAAACGTCAAAATCAATCAGGGTAGATCAATCCCTGAACAAAAATTACAACAGTTTTATCATAAACATTAAAAATGATTTTTCATCAGGACTGAGCCAACATTCAATATAAAAAATGTAACGTCTCAGTGAAAAGTAGGTGTTACGATACGAACTAATTTTGAGAAAGATTCACTCCTCACTCACCTGACGACATTACTCTCCACAAGTTCTAGCTTGATGTTATCGAGATCGTATTTAGATCGCACCACCTCAACCAGCCAATTGTCCGGCACGTGGAAGTTCTGCGTCAGGATGGGCGTCTCGGGGAGCCACGAGAAGACGGCGCTAGGACCAGGCAGGCGCGCCCCAGTCTTGGCATGAAACTGCGGTGCTGCCTCCAGAACGACGCGGTAAAAGCTGTAAACAGTTTTGGTAAAGTGTTGAACTTGCCTCAAAAATCGACTTCCACGTTTGAAGTCTTCGGTTGCAGTTATTTGCCGGGTTCGAACTAGGCGGTAAAAGCTGCAAACAATCGCCAAATGCTATAAGACGATAAAAGAGTCTCGAAAATAGACTTTAGTTTGAAAAAGACCTATACAAGATTATAACTGAATTTGGCATAGAAAGAAGGAAAAAATCCTAGTTCGCATACATCCCCACAAAGTGGGGTTAGGGGGTAAATCTTTTTCTTCACCAGGAGATCAAAATCAATTGGCACAGTTCGAACTGTACACGTAATTAAAATCTATGAGGAGGCTTCAAACAGTTCGTGGAAAATAGACATAACTTAAAATTATATCGACAGATCAAGGTTAATGCACCAGAACAATCGTGTGCCAGCGTTTTGTAACGTGTTCTCACATGAACCCTTAAATTAATGTTATAAACGCAGGGCGCTGATTAAGAAGCAACAGCCCTTCAAACAACATGGCATCTGCCGAAATCGAGACCATGCGAAACGTCAAATTCACGTTGAAGTTTGGGTGGAATAACAGCCAAATCGTTAACTATCTTGAATAAGTTTATAGTGACTGTGCCTCAAAGTAATAAGCAGCCTACAAATGGATGAGTGTTTCCGGAAGCGAAAGAAATGAGACCAAAGATGACCCATTCAGAGGGTTCGTGATTTCATTGAAAAAGATGGGCGAATTACCACTGAATCTGTAGCAGACATCCTCAACATCTCCGTGATTCCGCACATACAATTCTTGTGACTAAGTAAGCACTCTGCTGGACGGGTTTGAAGGCTGTTGCGCTCAGATGAGAAGGAATCAATGGCAGATCTTTCTATGGAAATTTTAAACAAGTGGGATGAAAACCCTGACTTTTGAATTGACTTAAAGGCTAGTATCAGCGTTTACAGAAATGTATTGACCGAGATAGAATATTTGTTGAAAAATAAACCTTATGACTTTGAACGTGTTTCAAAATCGTTTTTCCATGAACTTTTTGAAGCCCCCTCGTACATACAATACTAGAGCCAATGTCATTCATTAGAAAGAATGGGTCGGATGGAAAAACATTTCAATAATTAGCAGGAAATAACTGCACTTTTAGTTACGTCAAATAAAAAAAGGTGTTACTAAAAATTCACGAACTTCACAGACCTTTTGAGAGGCATTTCGGAGTGTTTTTCGATGGCGTTCAGTACGACTGTGATTTTTGCATTCAGAACTTTATGTAGAACCTGCAAAATAAAATAAAGAAGTTATTGTAAATAACTAAAAGTTAATGGGATCAGACAAATAAATATGGAGGTTTGAAATGATTCTTGAATACCCACGTAACTCACTAATGAGAATTAGTACCAGATTTATTGTCAGGTGATAAGGCTCTAACATCAAACAATTATACAATCACATAGAAGGTATCATAATGAAAAATATTACCTATCAAAAGATGATAGTTATAATCCTTCCTATGATAACGCAGTAAATTTTAAAGGACAACGTAATCGTATTTATTTCCAAACTCTTATCAGGTTGCACGGACATGGCAAAAACAGAAGGAAAAACACGGAGTTTTTAAATCCAAACCTTTACAAATCAAGGTTTTCTATTCCTCAGGCAATTTAAAAATGAGAGATGCTACTCTGGCAAGACCCAAAACTCCAAAACATGTTCTGCCGAAAACAACAAAGTCCTTGGACACCCACCACCTGACATAAGCAGCACAGAAACCCAGCTCTCTAGACTGGAGAGTACACCTAGCCAGGCTGTGCTGCGGCCACCACCCCTCACTACAAACATACGCAAACAGAATAGGCCAAGCAGACACAGACACCTGCCCATCCTGCCAGGGAGCTCCTCACACGATCACTCACATTCTCCTGGAATGTCCGCTCTGGCAGGACCTCAGACAACACCACCACAAAACCTCGACCCTACAGCTCTGGAGCGACCCCCTGTCGGTTGTGTCGTACTTGCGCGAGGGAGGTCTCTTGTGAAAATGAGACCGGGGAACCACAACAACAACTCCAGAACACACCTGCAGCACAGGTCCCATCTTCTGGGCAGCTAGAGAGACAGGGTCGCACGCAGCCACCACATCAAAGCTGGGCAGTTCCGGCCGTCGGGGCTCTATGGTGAACGTCGAGTGTTCTGTCCCGCGGAGCTCTAGGCTCGTCCGGCTCTGCAATATGACCGCGTTGAACACTTAATTTATAAAAATATAAAATAAAAAAGGAACACTCAACTTACAAATATATAAGATATTAAGGGAAAAAATAAGTGTTCATTGAATAATTCTAATACTGAACATAAAGAATAAGCTTCGGTAAAGACTAAATGAAAAACCCTTAGCTCAATTAACTGAGACTTTAAACTGTAGATAATAATTCAGACCAGCATCAGTTGAATACAAATTCGAATTATTTACATATCCAAGAATTCATGCACATTTTTTTTGCAGTGATCAAAAATATTACTTATAAATTTACAATTTTCTTGTAATGAAATGCTGTCGTAGGTTTCAGTATGATGAAAATCCGAGTAAATAATCTTCGGGTCTGTAGGTAGAAGCTGCTGAATATCAGACAAGCAAACTAACTATATGTAAATTTTCAGCTCAATAAAAACAACTTAAAATATATATATATTCATTAATGTAGTTGAGTAGACGTGGAGGAAAAATAGGAACCTTGGTCTGAGGCTTGGTCTGGATGACGCCCGAAACTTTCATGATCAGAGAGCTGAGACCACTCGGGTCCGGAGTAGAATCTGTACAGAGGACAATTGTTCAGCGACACTTTTAAGTGTGGAAATTACAAAACTTTCTAATTATAGACATGACAACAAGATCTGTGAGTTTGAAAATGATGTGGTACGATACTTGTGGTTGGAAAAGGTGTCCAAACTGATGACCATAAATCAAGAAAGCGATGGTTGTTGTTCAATACAGGTATGACATATGAATCGAAGAAATATTAACATTGAAATCACAGTCATTTAGCCTAAAAAAAATTAGCCTAAGAAAATATTTATTATTATTAAAATATTATTATCTATTAAATAGTAATATCAAGATATTATTATTAGCCTAAAGAAAATCGATATTTTAAATTTGAAACAAAACCAGAAATCAAAAGATTTCGGAACAGTTAACACAGCAATGAGGTAATACAAATAAAATTCATTGAGTTTTACTAATTTTAGTCACTAAATCATGAGCATGACATGGAATGGACCAAGTTATTTTTTCTAAAGCTGTGATAAACGTTAATTTCTTAATTTCCACCAGAAGTTTAGAGCAGTTTGACCAACACAAACAGTTCAGCGTATGATTTCGGCAGTGAGTTGTGGTATCGTTCTCGGCTACCAAAGACAGTTCTTGTCAAAATCGGCAAGGTAGCAGGGCTTTGAAGTACAGCAAAATAGGAGCAGTGAGTTGCGTGTTCGAGAACACAAAAAGCTGTAAATATTCTGCGATGTCAAGAATCAGCAACAGGTCTAACGGCCTAATGAACGCTGAAACTGCTATTATAAGATCTATTATTTCAATAACAAGCAATACCTTTCATGATTTCCGTGATCTTGTCGGTGAGAGTGAACGCCGTGTGTTTTTCCAGGAGAGCAAAATCCTCGAGTACGAATATTTCGTCAGGATCGAGGGGGCCTAGGACGCGGCCGTTGGCGACTACCACGCGACTGCCGCCGGGCACGCCTACCACGCGCGAACTGAAGGAGGCGTGGAGCTTGAAAGCGTCACCTGAGAAGCTCTTCAGGCGCGCCTCAAATGCCTCATGGTCAAATCCCTGCACAAACATTTACGATCGAAAATTGAAGAGCGTTTGCATATCCCATGTGACCATGAGTTATGTCAGCAAATACATAGAAATGTGAATATTTTGCAAGTTTTTTATGTGAAGGAACGTTCTTTGGTAGGGTGTGAATACATAAATGAAATGGCACTGCATGCAACAGAGTTAATCATTTTGCAGAAATTGAGCATAAGTATTTATTTCAGATATTAAGTAATGAATGTTAAATAACAACTTTTTGCAGTTTTTAGTGGAAATCGTCGAAATATTGAGCTATTGCCTCTTATAGTAGGAGATAACTTACATTTAGTTTGATTTGGTCGAAGGCCTTCTCCCCGGCAGCAAGCCGAGCAACAAAATCAGAATCGAGTATTTTGACAAGAAGCTGTCGAGCCACAGGAGAAGGTAGAGTTGAGTGCGCCACTTCAATGATGTGACTGAGAGGAACGAGCGACGTGGAGGGAGCGGCGCTGGTGTTGCGGTGGTGGATCGCACAAAGCCGCACACTGTCGCTCTCACGCTAAGAAAACAGAATGAAATAAATTTAGAGAGAAGTCCATTTTAATTATTTTGGATGCAAATAAGTTGATCACTGCATAGAGATCGACATTATGGCTGGTTTGAAGGTAGTTTGGATTTTTCCATTTTCTCACGTGCCGTTATTTTTACTGGTCACTGTAATTATTTTAGAAATGGCTATTAATGTACGTAAGCTTTTGTTTTCTATTATAGCAAAAACAGAGGTTTTTGTTCTTAATAATACAAATTCGTACTAAAACTAACTGAAAATACTATCAATAGTAAATGAAAAGTTTAAAATCATATAACTTATTGAAAGCCTCAAGGGAAAAGCAACTCTTCAACAAATCTGAACATAAGCAAGAATAATATCTCACGAGCACAGTTCAGAAATTTGCGAAGCTCCAGCACGAAATTCCAACAGTAAAGTAATTAACCACCAACCGTGTATTTGACAGCTTCCAGAAGCAGATCACGCCCCTCGGGAGTGTCGTAGTCACCAATGACCCAAAGAGTTAGTGGCCTCACAGCTGGCTCTGTTTTGGTGCTGATGTAGTGACACGTGTTATCCAACACCCCAGTAACGTCACGCAGCGGCAGTGCGTCTAACGTTGACTTTAATTCAGCACCAGTTGAGGAGAGATGTGAAAGAGTCTCTGTTGTAGTTGAGGAGGTGTCGACACTGCGACTTGACTTGCTGTTTAGGATGCGCTCGTTCAGTCTGCAATCATACATACCAAATAAAATCTCAGTAGAAATACATCAGAGTTATATTCCATGTGCAAGTAATGTAACTGTAAAGCATCACTTGAGAAGCTCAGCGGGTGAGTCATTTTTGTTCAAGAAACACCACTTCTCATCAATAGATGATGAAGGTAATATTGCAGGGACGAATAAATTTTCATTGCATAAAAAATAATTCATCATGTCGAATATATTGAATGAAATATATTACGAATTCTACAAAAAGTAGAATAATTTAGTATAACAAGGCTTCGAGTGCCTGTTCACCTGGGCATGATATTTGGGGCGGCCATGAGCCAGTCTGTGACGTCCTGGCGGTCGTTGAGCTCACCGCGGTACACCGCGCGCTGTATCACCTGCACCAAACATGTTTGTACATTAAATTCATGCTATTTCAAATTAGGTTAGTTACTAACTTTATTATAGATTTATGAAATTTATATGTATTAGATGCAATTTCAAAGAAAGTCAATCCAGTTTTAAATGACGAAAGAAAAATGCTAGAGCTTCTTCGTTACGTCTCATTTTGAGTTGATGAAGCTAGTATAGTTCTTGAATAGTTAAGAGGTGTTTTGAGGAAAGATCAAAGTCAATTTTTGTTTTCTTAAAATAATATAACGTCAAGTGTATCGATATTATATAGATGTAAAATGCATGCAAGTTCTTGAAAGAGGACTAGGTAATTTCACGCTTTTGTTCAATAGCGTAATTCATTTTAAACAATCGGCAATCATTTCATTCAATTATATTAAAAGATAATATTCTCATGAAATAGCTTGGCGTTAGCGAAAATAAGCAGTATAGTCAGATGGGGTAAGACAGGACCAAAATCACTAACAGGCATGTAGCACCTATACCATGAATAACTAAAAAATCCCAAACTTATCACAAGGTGTGGTTATGCAATGGGCTTCAAAGCTACAACTCAGACTTTTTGCATACAACACAGTTTTCTGTACAGATTAAAAAAAGTGAGCTGTCCCATCTTAACCCAATGGGGTAAGATGGGACCAGGCTGGGGTAAGAAAGGACCAACAGGTAATTCTTATGTTACAAGGTTTTTAGTAAAAATATAAATCTGATGTTCAATATTATCCATCTAGAAACACATTATTTGATTAAACAACCACTTGTTACTATTTTGTGTTGCAGGAAGTCAACTCTAATATCAGTCACATTGGAGTTTTTGCAACGAGAAAACTTTGTTAAGCATAGAAATAGTAGGTTGGCTTTGATTCATTGTAGAGCACTGCTAAATGCTACATGTATATTCCATTAGTGTCATTGTCTGAAAATTTATCAAATTGGTAATAAAACCAATGGATAATAACTAAAGAGTCGGATGTCATGTGTTTTCTTGCTAACTGCATTTGGGGTGCACTTCTTCAAACATAGCCCATGCCCTCTCACAAAATTGTGATAATAATTATTTTTTATGTTTCACACAATGATTTTTCCCCCAACCACTCTTTCACATTGTTCTGCAGCTCACTAATGGGAAGAGACATCCCTATTTTCTCCATCCCCATGATGCATTTAACAATAGTATGCTAAATTTATCTAATTGAAAAAGCTAACAAGTTAGAATGGTTATTTTAAGCAAAAGATGAAAATTTTAACCAAAATACTCCATGTATACTTATGCACAATAATATATTCATTTAAAAGCTATTTTTGATAAACTATGGGGTAAAAGAGGACCATTTGTGGGGTAAGACAGGACCATTTATGGGGTAAGATAGGACCACTTGTGGGGTTAAACAGGATCATTTAGTGGTCCCGTCTTACCCCATGTCCGGTCCTTTTTTACCCCATTTTAGAATAGTTGTCAGGCAGTGATGGTTGCAGGTAGGAATGCCTAGTATATCTCTAAAGTTGCTTATTACTTGAGGTTACCTGCCTACATCCACAAACCTGGCCAAAAAATTTTTTGTCATTAGACAGAGCTTATTTCCTAAACAGGGTTAACTATTTTGTGACCCTTCTTTACATAGGTTTTCTTTGAAAATTAGCCAGAAATTCATTATTTGCAGAAGAGGGTTGAAACAAGCACTGAAATGACAGGCAATGATTGCTCTAACATATTATTCGGTCAAATTAAATTCAGTGCAATTAGAATGCATGCCATGGGCCGGTCCTTTCTTACCCCGTGAAGGCTGCGATCCTGTCTTACCCCATTTGACTATACAGTAATAGTTGTCAGGCAGTGATGATAGCAGGTAGGAATGCCTAGTATGTCAAAAAAGTTGCTTATTACTTGAGGAAACCTGCCTACATCCACAAACCTGGCCAAAAAATTTTGTAATCAGACACAGCTTATTTCCCAAGTAGGGTTAACTAATTTGTGACCCTTCTTTACATAGGTTTTCTTTGAAAATTAACCTAAAATTAATTATTTGCAGAAGAGGGTTGAAACAAACACTGAAATGACAGGCAATGATTGCTCTAACATATTATTTTGTCAAATTAAATTAAGTGCAATTAGAATGCATGCCATGGGCCGGTCCTTTCTTACCCCGTGAAGGCTGCGATCCTGTCTTACCCCATTTGACTATACATCAGAAGGTGGTACTAGCATACGGTTTTCTCATTATTATGAAAATCACTCTTACAGTTATTTGAAGGTATTGCACAAGACTTCACTCTTACAGTTATGTCAAGCATCGTGACGCACTACAATACCTGAGTATTGCGCATGACTTCCATGAGCATAACCTCCTCGAACTCGTCGCCTGAGAGATGCTTGCTGGGCAGAGGCACGCCATTCATCAGGGCCTGTGCAAAAGACGTTATAAAAAATATCACAACAGAAGGCAAATATGAAGCTCATTACGAACAAGGGCCTCAAATATTGTTTAAAGAACAAGAAAAACAGTATCTGCTGAAAAACTAGTTCTGCCTAAGGCATTCAAAAGAATCAAAATTATTTAAATAATGAAAGTAAATCAATTAAGATACCGGTAGTTCGATAAGGGGAATTATTCTAGCATTTCTCATTCTAACAAATCTCACGTTTCTGAAAGTGCATTTCCATCAAATTTATAAAATTTTGTACCATGAGAAAGATAAAAGCCTGTATACTACCTATCATTACTAAGGCGTTTGAAGTAAAAGTACCTGAGGGACGCTTTTGAATCCTCCTTTTTCAATGAATTCACGGGCAACTCTGCGACCGACGTCAAAGTCGGAGTCGTCGCCGAAGACGTCATCAATGTCCTCGCTCTTGTAGCGCTGCTTGAAGAAGCTTGTGATCGTGTCCACAGTCAGGTCAGATCCCACAGCCGAGTAAAGCTGCAAAAAAAATAAAAACAATAATAATATAAATATAGCAACAAGTAAAGACCACTGGCCTGCTGATGCTGTCCCCCGGCGTAACCACCAGACCTCTACTTCCTCGTAACCACCAGACCAGGAAGTATAATTAAGTAATAATACTAATACTGTAATAACGCAACAACTTCAACAACATTCATCCGTGTGTTGATTTTGGTTACCTCCCGCAGGTAAGAAGAATGAGAAAATAACTATAAATACAAGTATATATTGAGAAAAAAGCGAAATTAAATATCATTTTCGTATTTATTTGTACCTTGAACCTGATTAAGAATCAATGGTGGTCAACTGTCCCATATTCAATATCAAAGAAATCCGTTTACTTCCTCAAATTCATGCATTCTGCTTAAACATCTTTCAACACATTTATTTTGGCATTGAATAACAGAAAATTATTATGAAATACCAACAAGAAGAAAGGCATGTAATTCTTTCACGTCACACATGCATATGCATTATTTGAGGCACAACTTCACATGACATCAACTTTATTCAACCAACATCAGAAGAATTCCAAAACGGCACTCACGTCTTGCAGGAAATTAAATCCCTTCATGTTAGCCTCCTCGCCATCGTAGCTCTGCACAACATAATTGAAGGCACAGACGACGGCGACGCCAGCGTCCTGCAGTCCAGTGACTTTCTTGTCGGCCGAGACGCTGAACACGAGGCCGATCCTCAGCGGCGCGTTGTGGCTCAGGAAGCTGTTGACCTGCACGAACAGCTCTGACGTCGCTGCTGATAGCGGGTCAACCACCAGAACCTGGGGAAGGAGAGCATATATTGTAAAATATCAACAACAGCTAAAAATAGTCATATAATATTTTCAGAAAATGTTGATGAATAGGAAGAAAAAGATGTAAATCTGCAGATATTGTAATGCAGGTCAAAATTTTCAGCTTAAATTGCAAAAGATCAATTTAATTCAAGTTTACTTTTTATTACATAATAGGTTGCGTCAAAATCGTTGCTTGGTAGCTAAGAAGAAGTCAGCAAGAGAGACATAAAACTCAACAAGGGTCAGCAAATTTACAGACTAACCAAATTATGAAAATTCCTTCTGATGGATCGAAGCATGCCAGGATATGAAGGCCTCAGCAGCTCATTGACAGAAGATGGCCATTTTTTGGTGGTAGAGTCGGTCTCAATATTATTGAGCCAGATGATGGCCGTGTCTCGTATGTCCAAGCCGTACTCAGGTGCAGGTTGTGGCCCAGTCATACCACCTCGCGCGCTCTCAGCAGAGCCGCTCTCGAGACTCAACAGCTGCGTTAACGCTGGTCCAGATACACCTGATAGTAGAAAAATCGTCAGCCAGTGGAACATTTACTAACTGCATTGCCTGCTGCAAATTCTAAGAGACGATGTGAACCAATACGAGCCCAGTAGGTGGCACAATTCGGAAGATGATTGAAACACAAATAGCTAATTTGAACCCTCTAGATAATAAATACCCAACTTTAAACCTTTGAGATGCTAAGCATAACTCTCTAGATAATAAGACCAACAAGAAACAAATTTAGTACAATTAAATGTCAATGAGACATGATTATAGTGATTCCAGACAGTAAGACTGAACGATAACAAATTAACCACATTCACCAAGATTCGAGAGTCCCTCCATTGCCCGTTGCTCATTCTTGACGTGATCTAGCAGAGTAAAGATGTCCGTGTAGTCCATGTCAAAGTGCATGCCATTGATGAACACAGCAGCATCGCTGGGTCCGACATCGTGGTTGGATCGCAGGTAGTTTTGGTTTTTCAGAATCTCTCTTTTCATTTTATCATCAACCTACAAAGGGAAGGGTAAAAGTTAGTCCAGAAAATGCATGATATGAAATAATCTAATACGTATTTCTGTATATTTCTTAAATTGGTTACATTGCTTCAAGGTCAACAGTTGAAGTTGTGAACGGACTGTATTTAAAAGAACATACATATATAGGATCAGTGCAATCTAGCACATTCACACAGCTTTTCACGAATGTGTGATATAATTTGTCCTTCTAGAGATAAGAAAACAACTAATAAAAAAAATAACTCAGTACTCGCTGCAGTGAGTGACAGAGAGCGCATTTTCTCGTTGACAAAAACGTGAAGTCACGGATGGACAGACGGACGGACAAGCACAATAGTGCATTTTTTCCATAAATGAGAAAATGTGCTAGAAAGAAATATTTTCTTTCTAGCGAAAGAAAACAACATAACTTCTCAACATAAGGTTGAGATCAAATTTGATAACTGATAGTGAATTTTTATTGTAGCTATATAATTAAATTAATTAAGGATTATACACATTTCTTTACAAAGAAATTACCTTAATTTTGACGAGGGAACGGGCAAGTCTGGGGAAGTCCTGAGCGGTGTTAACCAAGGCATTGAGCTTCTCAAGAGGCTCTCCTGAAGACAACACACGCTGGGCAGCCTGCATGCTCAGGTGCTGCAGCTGCCAAACCTTCAGAGAGAATAATGTTCAAACTGATGGCACAACAGAAGTCAAAATCAAAAGGAGGAACAAAATCTGACTTGTAAAACAAGTTTCAACTCATTATAGTTGCATGATTGTAGTAATGAAACAAAAAATAAAAATCACAGGCATTCTTATAATAATAATTGTAATTTTTACAACATCATCTACACAAGAATTGTGGCTGATGTATTTATTATTTTGAAAGATGATCTCAGAAATATATACACACCTTCATAGGAGCCATGTCATGGGAGCTTGACACAAGGTGTTTCTTAAAGTCTGACAGCTCTGAAGACAGCTCTGGGTAACGTGTTCTGTCAAAATCAAACATTCTATAGTTTGGGTAAGAACACAGTAATATTGTTCAAACGCAATTATATATAGTTCAATTGGTACAATTGCATATAAGAGATATGGATTGTATTTTTTAGAGCTGTCACCAAGTTTCATGTCATGAGGGCAAACATGAGAATAAATTTTTAATTCTTAGTTACAAACAGAGCAATTAGACCAACAAAAAGATACAATAACAATGAAGCAGCATAGAGATCAACCTCAGGGTAGAGAAGAGAAAGCCTTCTGTGTGCTGCTCATCTTCTCCTTGTTGCTGATGTTCTGACTCTTCATCCTCTAATTTGGTGTCATCTTGGGCCTTGTACTCTGTACTCTTGATGGCCAACTCTACTCCATAGCCACTCAAACGCACACGTTGGCTACCTGGACTCTAAAATTTAATAAATATTTAAATACAATATAATTGACTCAATAATTTTGTTCAACTGGTTACTTGCTACAGAGGCTTGGGATGGCAAAAAGTGATTGAATGTCTGTTTCAAAATGAATGATGACATCGAATGAAATTGAACCTTCAGTTAGACTAGTATCAGGTCACAATAATTCAAACTCAATTTTTACAGTTGTACCCATCAATTGATGAACTTAATTATGTGCAAGGGCAATAAATTTACAAGTAAAGTTTTGTTAATTTTGTTTACAAATGTAGGTACTTGCACCTTTCTATTTCACCACTAAGTGCAAAAAGCTTCATGACAAAGTTATCTTAATAATACTTTAATATAAAAGCAGGAAGAATGTTATGTTAACTTGCGATCAAGTCAATTCAAGAAACAAAGAGCAAAAAACAGCATTACAGAGCATTAGATATGAAAACACAGTAGGAGCATTAGATTTGAAAAATTAGAATTTTCATGACATACCTGTACATATGGCCTCAGAATATAGTCAATTTCACCAGCATCAACCAGTTTCACCATTTCACTGTGGCATTCACTGAATGCCAGTGTACCAATCTCAGCATAGAGCACCACTTTCAACTGAAACAAAATGCAAGTCATGAACACATATAGACCTCAAAAATAAGTTGGAATAAAGTTTAGTAATAAATTGTGAATTTTGCAGACAGGCTAGGATATCTCAAGCTTGCAGTTTTTATGCAACAAAATATGCAACAAAAACAAAATATTTCAAAAATATAGTTTGAATGAGTATCAATAAATATTATTACTTTACAAAACAAACCTTATTGGATTCACCCCCAGGGTAGTGGTGATCAACATCATAAATAGCCATGTGACTGGCAATGCCAGTGACATCTCCCAAGGACTTCTTAAGACTCTTCACTCCACAAATTAAATGTCCATTGACATCAATAACAGCCTGGCAGTTCTGGGTGTCAGTTCTATTAAGGATGCCCCTATCAAGAGCAATCTGGCGGAACATTTCAATTTTGGGGGAGTGCACACGAAGTGCTAGACTGAGCTGCAATAGCTCCAGCTGATTAGTTGAGAGAATTTTACTGCTTGAGGAAAGCAGCTCATCAAATTGATTCTTCTCATTTTCTGAAATGAAGTCATGGTGTTAAATTATATCAAAATAACTTATTATATGAAGGTAGTTAAACTATAATCAAAATATTATACATATTAAATATACAAATATCAATTTTAATGAAGTAGGTATCTTAAAGGAAAACAGAAGCTTGACACCTAAAAACTTACTTTGAGCATAGTCATGCAGGTCCCATTTAGAAACATATTCAACAAAAGTCCAAAATATTGCAGGACTTTCATCTGCCATATACTCAGCAGCCTCAAGTAATAATGGAGTGTTGGCCCACTTTGCATTGAGATGAGTGGCAACTATCTTGTTCTGGTTGCCATTTTCTGATGCATATGCAACTCCAAATATTAGAAATATTCTCAATAAATGTATGAAAAACATTGTAATGTACTAAGAAACTGTCATCTACTCATGTGAATGGTGCAAAGAATTTAATATTTTGTAAATTAATAATCATCTGCACAAATAATTGATTTTATGTACAAGTTTAAATTTTATTAAAACATATAACAAAACATTATTAAACTAAATGACCATTCTATATATTATGTCCATACTCCATAGTTTAACTCTGACAAATAAAAGACTAAAAGTTCTCTGGATAATTAAATGAGTAGTAAAAGTATGACATGTAAAAATATATCTACCTCTAACAATTATGGCACAACTAGAAGTATTCCATTGTGAGTCACAGTGAAATGTGAATGCATTTTAGTTAATGAATTGTCATTTTAAATGAATTGCTGGCTACCCAAAAATCTGGAAAATCAGGAATGACATATGGGGCATGGGCCACCTATATATGCTGCTGCCAGTGCCCAGTGGCAGTGGGCATGTGACCATTACATAACAAATTATGCATCCTAATAAGAAAAAACTGAAGTTTATATTGATAGATTATATAATGCTCTATATGGTAGATAACAAGACAGGAGCTGGCCATACGTGTAACACCATGCTCCTGAACTGGCAATAATTGTCAATATCAGAGATATGAATTCAAACTTAGGCATAGTGGCAAACCAGTGATTTTTTTTTTTTAAGAATCAGTTCATTACAACACTTTTCTTTAACTTCACTTCTTGTTTGCCCGTTTGTCTGCCTGCTAAAAATCTTATAATCAATTTTTAACACACTTCTACTTCTCTGATCAAATTGAAATTTTACACACTTGCGTAAAGTTGGAGACAATGCATGGATCAATTGACAGAATGAATAATTTTAAAAATAATTTTTTTTTCAATATTAAAAAAATTAAAAAATTATTTTGTCTGCTATAAATCTTCTAATCAATATTTAACACACTTCTAGCTGTCCAATCTATCTGAAATTTTGCAGATAGATTGGATTGGAATTTTGCAGATAGGTTAAAAAATGAAAAATTTGTAATTAAGCTTGTTCCAAGCTGTGTCATATTCTGATACAGCTCACACAGGGCGTCAGAATTCCAACACAGGACGCCGGAATTACAATTTAATAGAGTTTGAAGTGCTGCCGTAATTAGTCTCAAAATATGCCAAATTTAGTCACACACAGCATCAGAATTCAGGGATTTTGTAGGTTTGAATTCTAAAGACTTTTAAATAAATATGGCAACAGTTTGTGACGTTTCATTGTTGCTGGCACATAGTGTGGTGTTTTGAGAGTGACGTAAAGCAAGCAGAACTTGAGTTGCGCAAACGGTGATATTTTTATAGCGATTCATTTCTTGCTACATCCATAATGTGTTGGAATATACCGCGTTTACCCTATCTTTAGAAAGTAATTTTTACACATATATATACTATTATTAATTTCCTCATTTATTCAAGATTTAAACCATTATTGTATGTATGATAATGCTGGTATCCATGATAGTTTGATGGTCTACTTATAGGACTCAAAATTGAACTTGAAGAAGATTCTAAAAAAATTCTCTGCTTTGCCACTATGGTCAGTAAGGTTACTAAGGTACCTACTAGGCTACTCAGGTGCAGAGGTGGGCAGTAGTGGTAGCAGCGCTACATTTAAGGCAATGTAGCGGTAAAGGTAGCGCCTGCTACATATTTAAGTAGCGATACAAGGTTTTGCTGCTACAGCGCTACCGCTACATTTATAGATAAAGCCTTTAGATTTTACTTAATAGTATTAAATATTATTTAAAAACCAGCACAATACAATCGGATACATACATAATATAAATTACTGAATAAAACTGTACGAAAGATATGTAATGTTGTCAACCTCAGCCTGTTACTAGTGTCAAGTTGTCAACATGTTAGTTGTTACTTCACTTGTTAAGTTGTTAGTTACCAGTTACCACTTACAGCCTTACAGGTATTTTTTCATGTTTCAGTTTGCTTACAGTTATTTTTATGTTTCACGGTCACCTTCTCTACTACTACTAGTAGGGAAATAAGGGCGGAAGGCTACTACATCATCATCTACATGGATGTCTACTTTAATCTAATTCTAATCTACCAATCTCAAAAATAATCCACCTAGGTATACCTATATACAAATAAAAGACTGATTTTTTATATGTAGGGTAAACACGGTATATTCCGACACATTAAGGACGCATCGAGAAATGAAAAACTATAAAAAAAACGTATGCGTTACGTAATAATCACGACGATTCACAGCGGATTATTCTCACACTAATCACGACGATTCACAGCGGATTATTCTCACACTAATCACGACGATTCACAGCGGATTAATCACAGTGAGTCGTGATTAGTCGCAATCACGACTCACTGAACCAAATTGACGTTTGACCAGCCAACGAAACGACTTCCACCTGTTCCAAGTCAAAGATTTGATGAAACTTCCTTAACTATTTAATCATAAATATTTTAGATGATATTGATATAATCATTTGCAATGATTCAGGAATGAAAAAAGCTCATGCTGAATTCTAAAAGTGATATGCACACAACTTCTTCTAATTTTTTGGTAAGGTATAACTATATGTTTGAAACTGGATGCATTCTCAAAGAAAATCTTTGAAACACTTTTCAAAAATTCCCAAACATTTTATAATTGCGATTTTAAAATTCTGCAGCCAATAAATACATCAGGCTGGGCAAAAACCATCTTAACATCCACACAATCATGTACATTGCCATACCTCAGATGTCAATAATTCGGGGCACTATAAGGAACATCAGAAGCTAGCAAAACTTTAATGTTGTTGGCGTCATAAGGAAAAACTCCATGTCTGCTGGGACTCCATGTCTGCTACATGGATGTAGACATCCATGTAGCAGATGTAAGGTAAAACATAAAAATAACTAACTTTTATTTACTCCTATCTAACCCGTACTACGTACTAGTTAGCAGGGGTGGAATACATCTACTTTTAACGGAAATTTCGCGGCCCGAGATCTCCCATTTATATGTAAGTTTGAAATCTTGCGGCTCGGAAGTCAGGTAAAATATATTGATTTAGAAATGTCACGGCTCCGAAATGGGTCACGTGACGTGTGATGGAAGGGCAAGCCAGCGGTTGGCAGTTGTCGGCNGTTGAATTGTCATTCATCAGAATTAGAGTGAGTGCATACAAGATAGTACGTTGCAACGCATTTCCAAAATTGATAGAACGTTGGTGTAATGTCTATGAGAGCCTGCATTCTTAAGGACACTCAATTTACATGATGTATTCATCTCTCATTATTTTCCAGATCCTCGAAGAACAGAAGCAGGCATGGATGAGGGCATGGAACTGGAAGTAGGCATGTCGAAGAGAGGCCTGTTCTCACCACACCAGTGTGCTACCATCTGACCGTGCCTGTTCACTACCATCTCACCGCACCTGTACGCTGTGATATCACCGCACCTGTTCGTTACAGCCTCACTACGCCTGTTTGCTACAGTGTTACGCACCCGTTTGCCAAGGTCTGTACCAATTGGGACTCCTAAGCTTTACCTATGTCACAATAATGAGGATCAATCAATTACTGATGGATTTACAGAAGGAAGTGCTAGGGCGCTAACAAACCAAGTCACTATGACGATAAAGAAGCTTTGTCTTGCATCAGGACAATGCCTCTCCTATGCTAATAATACCATTAATTCTTGTACACCATTTTGCCTCGAATAAATTGTCAAATATGCCTCTGAACTTCTTTTTTCACTCAGTAATTTATACATATGTATTGGGTAAGTCGGGGTTATCTCTCAAAACCAGGTTTCTTAAGTTCCCAGAAGTCTCCTGCCAGCTGGTAAGGATGATGCGATGCGCGATGCAGAAGTATGTACAAGTTTAACTTTTCAAACATGAGTGCAACTGTGAACCACCGATTTTGTGCACCAATTAGCCATGAATGGAACGCCTAGCACATTTATATGCATGAGCAAACATCAGCGGCGGATCAAGCCTGCCGTCAGTAACCTGCCCATGACAATAATAATATAATAATAGGAGTATTAGCGGTTTCAGAGTTTATTCCACCGTAGGCCTGTTGCCGATTCTTGACATCGCAAAACATTCACACTTTGTTGTGGTCTCAAACATGCAACTCACTGCTCCGATTCGGCTGTGCATAACCCCCCGGCCTCAAAGATTCGATCCAAAAACCATCGCAGAGAGCTGGGATCGAACCCGAACCTCTCTGCTCCAATCCTGGTACTCTAAACTTTAGCGATGCGACTGGGCCACCCTGCTCTAAACTAAACTGTGCTCAGCAAACAATGAACTGCGATCAATCAGCCCAGCTCGTCAGTGGAATTGCATGAAATCTGACATGCACCACCAAACAACGGATGGAATATGACTTTTGTTACATCATTATATTGAGTAATTTTTAGCTCACATCATCTGAGATTAGGTTTCACATAGTTTAGTTATGTTCCAAAATTAATCGTCTTTTGATGAATGGTCGTTCTTATCATAGGCTGATTCGATAAACAGGACGGGTCGGTGGCGGGCACCATATGCACTGCAAGGCTGTGGCACTAAATGTTCGAATGATGCAAAAATGTTTTTGCGTTTGCAGATGACGCTAGGCCATACTATAGCAGGTTGGTTTCCTGCAGGCAGATAGGTCTACTCAGTGTTGAAGGGCAGGCTACATACAGTATTGGAGGAAAGAACCAAGGTGGTATTATCGAAGCAGGGCAGTGTTGGTCTCCTACAAACGACCCTCTCAAACCGCGTTTCTCTTTCCCCTTTCAAGCTCTTCTGATGAAACGTTTTTTTTTATTTCTCTACGTGGACAAAAAGGAATCCCAGGTTAAGAAAGAACCATTTTTAACATGAATTTCGCATTATAGGTAGTTTATTTTCTCATTTATTCCTTGAAGTGTGACAAACAAATAGGTCTTCCATCATGCTCGTTTCCATTCCAATTAAAAATAAATTAATGCGCATTTTGAATGTATGTATGGCCTAAGCATTCGTGTGTATTTTTGAATGTATGGCCTAAGCATTCGTAAACATTTCGAGCTGTGTGAATTAACTCACATTTACATTCAAT